AATAGAAATTACGATGACACATAAAATAAAATGTTGGCCACTTTTTGCTCTTTCGTGTGAATAGTTTGAAAGGGGTCAGGCACGGAGGGCATTTCTTTTCATCTCAAAGAAAATTCTGTTATTGAATTATTACATTTTTCCGCTTTGCTTTGACAGCACTTTTCACTAACTTTGTTAGGGGCCGGTAGGACAAGTGCTAAAACTTCATGCCATTCTGTTTGTGGAATGTGGTAGTTCTTTTAGTTATGCTACGGAATGTACCAAATAGTATATGCATAGTGTGAAAAATATATGCGCATTGTCTGCAATATACAGCAATGTAGTCTTGTCGAATATCTTTGAAAAGCTTAGACAATAAATATTCATTTGCAAGCACTTTCTCTACTGTTTGCATACAAGTTTTTTCTGGGAATCGAAGGACATATTGTGCAGAATAAATTCTACAAATACTTTATATAGAATAAATATATTTATATAGCTAGCTTTAACGAAAACAAATAAATATCTGTGCAAATTTTGACAAAATAAAAACTAACAGAAACACGTCTGGTCTTCTTCGTTTCCAAATTAAAAGTGAGTTTATTCAAAAGTGTTTATATATAATAACTGTATAAAGTGTGTACATAATCAATAATTCAAATTAACTAAAAAACTGCTGAACTCATTTTAGCAAAATATACAAATTTTCCCGAATGACAATAAAACCTGTATTGAAATAAAGTAACTGGGGCAATATATTCGCTAGTTAAGCTCCTTATGCATTTGCTATTCCTTCTTTTTATTCCAATGTTAATGCTAATTTTCATGCATGCTATTGCCTCTGTTATTGTCGCTCTGCCTCTGTAATTAAAACTGTTAATGTTAAGTTAAGTGGGGACAGAGGGTCAGCTCGGCTGTGAGTACGATTGCTATTGTGAATGGTTGGCAAAGCGTTTATTTATTTATAAAAATAAATAAAATAAATAAATACAATAAATAAAATAAATAAAATAAATAAAATAAATAAATTAAATAAATTAAATAAATAAACACAAATAATTATTTTATTACATAAATAATATCCATTATTCATGTAAATAAGTATATTTATCGCTTTTACAAAAACTCGAAGGAAATAGAACATAAGCCGTTATATAGCAAGAAAAGCAAAGTGTGCAGCTTCTCTTTTCTCTACCTGCCACTTCAGCAATATTTTTGCCTGATAGTTAGTTAGACCTGAAACTTTTTTGGGCAAGCGTGGGGGCACATATATATGTATATGTATGTATGTATATACAAGTATGCCTATGTGTATATGCGTTCCATTTGATTATTTCCGCTGTCACAGCTGTCAACATGTTCTCGCTAGCTTCTAAGGGCAACACACCCATGCCACACATCCCATTAAAAGTTTTATTGCCTCGCCTGGTTTATTAATAAATGATACAAGAAAATGCCGCAAGTAAATAAACTAAGCCAAAGTAGTGTGGCTTTGGCAGCTGCACAACTTTTCACCTGATTATGCTGCTACCCGACCAGTCGCTTGGGAACGACCATAAAATTCAGCCACAAAATAGGCAAAGTAAAGTAATGGAAATGGGCCCGACACGTGGATACTCGGGCCTGTCGGCACATAAGTAAAAGCCAGGCAATTTGAACCTAAGCTCAATTAAAATGACCCTCTGCACAAACACAAGGCGCTACAAAGCCGCAATTAACGTACAGTTTAAATTTAAATGCTTGCAGCAAACAACAACAACAACAACTTGTACAAGCAAAGCAAAGCTCAAACATTTACTGTCGACAAGGCAAAGTCAGTTAAACAAGGCAGTCGAGCGATTGTGGGCTGCCAGCTGTAGGCGTCTTCATCTAAAACTTGGCACTAATTTCAATTAAAGTTGAAATGCATGTGGGGCATGTAGGATGCAGTCAGCTCTTGAGACATACAGACAGACAGACAGACAGACTATGCAGCTACAATGCATTGGGAGGGGAATACCAGACCTAGCAAACATTACCGATGCAAACAGGCAGCACTCATTTGCATACGCAACCACACGTTACATGCAAGCAGTAATTCGAAGGCAAACAGGCACACGCAGCACTAGCCGATGTGATGCCAAATCATCCTAAACATTCCCGGCAACAAATCAATTTGAGCTCACCTAGTGAAATTGATTTGAGCTTCGCTTTGTTGTTTGTTTTACTCGGCCCAGTGCCACGCAGCTCGGCTGCAATTGTTTTAATTTGTTGCACACGTAGAGGATTTCAAGATAGGGTCTTCTTATATCAGTCATGTGCTGAAGGAATGTGAGCAAGTGGGAGCAAGTTTGTACAATGTGTTTCTAGAAGCAAAGTTTCGGATGACCAATAATTTGTTTGATTACACTTAAAATTTAAATATTTATGATGAGGCTTCACTCAATAATGAATACAAACATTGAAAAAGTCCAGAGTTTCATAAATCTATATGAAATAGTGATAGTCGCAAATTGAAATTAAATAGACGAACTTTTTCTTCCAATGCAATAACAAAAATAATAAATATAATTCTCATTATCACTTGATTATTTTAGGGTATGCACGTTGGTATGCTCACACCCTACTGGTAAAAAATCACCCTACGCTAGGAACTATCATTATAGAAACTATCATTTAAACTGTTTCCTGTATTCTAAACACATAAATGTTAATAGAATTTAACGTGTTTTAATGTATTCTTTCGTAAGAAATATCGGCGTAGTAAATGCATAAGATTAAAGGCAAAATAATAACATAAAAAAGTTAAAAGTTTCATAAAAACATAATAACTCATTTATTTCTTGTCGATTTTCGATTTTCACTATTAAATATATCCAGGTGAGACCAAAAAGAAGCAACAAAAATCTATTCAAATAATTTCCACTCAAAAATAGTACCATTCTAAATACTATACGTACATAAAAAATGTATAAGTAATCTATTTATTTTTATAAAACCACAATATTAACTGCTTTTCATTTTTGTGGTACGCATTTAAATGGCTGCATAAATAATGCACCACTTTTGACCTCCGACCATTCGATTCAACCGCAAATCGGAAAGTGCAACTTTTTCAATCAAATGCAATTTAACGCAAAACAAAAACAGCAAGAACAATAAAAACATGACAAGCAAACCGCCCGCAACATCAACATGGAAACTTTTTGCCCTGCCCATTTTTTTTCACACGCCCCGCATCGGGAGCAACTCGCTCAACTTTACAGACAGCAATAGTTCATTTGGCTTTGGCCCAAGGCAGTAAATGCCCACAGGGCGTATACGTATTATTTTTTTTTAAACCAATGCTCTTTCTAACGCTACCACCTCTGTGCATTTGATTTGTGGGCCATAAAGTTCGAGCAAGCAACGAGAAATTTACAATTTTAATTCAATTTGTCGGAGGCAGGACCCCTCCATTTGCAGTTTCATCCTCGACTAACGTCCGCAGTGCACTGGCAATTTTCTGCTATTTTTGAACATTAAACTAATCGATATTTTATATGCGATACATGAACGGAAGGAACAAGAGTTAGATGCAAGTATTTTTTAGATGTTTTGTGGTACGTCGATTCGATGGTAGCTTAGCCGAAGGATAAGAGGACATGCCACACAAGCAGACATACAAACATACAGACACTGTTGTCAGTAAGGGAGAGGCGCAACAAAAATAGCATCATGTTGTTGTTTAATTGTCTGTAAAATTGTTAAATTGCTTAACGTATCAGTGTATGTTGTGACGGAGAGGACGGAGGACGCGGGGATATCTGTCAACGACTAACGGTATACATGTTTTTGCAATTACATTGCCCGACCGCGTGGTTCCCTCTAGCTCGGCGATTCAAGCAATTGTCATGTTAAGCTTCGAGGTGGCTACCACATTTAATGTTTCTTTTATTTAACACAAATGGTTTGCACGTTCTCAATAGTTTTTCAATCTTTTTATAAACTCAACCAAAAACCCATACAAGCGCCATTATAAAATGGAGAGGGGGAAATGGCCATAAATGAAAACTTGTGCGTTATCGTTTGCATGCCAAGTCAACCCACAGAAAGCACAACCATAGCCATAACAATTTTCAACTAACGCTATAAATAATTCTCATTTTCTTTGCAAACAGTAACCCTGAGATCTTACGTGATACAAATTTTTAATTTTTTTGAAGCTTGGCAGCCGACTCACTCGGCCGTTAGACAGTGTTTTGGCAATCAAAAGTTGTTTTGCGCCTTTGTAGTTGCCAGTTTCCTACGCGTTTGGCATGCCAAGCAGACCTACTTTCACATACATATATACATGTATATAGTATGTATATGTGTGTGTATGGATTTGTTTGTTCTTAAAGCCAAACCTTGACATTGACACTTTGAGCTAACCGCTCAGCCTTGCTAGCAACGTAATTGGGCATGAAGGGTTAAATTGAATTGCGTGGCCAGCGGGTCGGCCAAGCCGAAGAAAAGCAAACAGAAGGAAAACAACTAAACAAACAAATAAGGAAATCCAATGAAGCTCGAAACACCAACATCTTTTTAGCCTTGATTTTTGGTCTGCACATTTTGTGTGTGTTTAAATGTTTGGCATAAGTACAATGCACTTGATTTCGATTTTATAAAGTTTCGCATTCGAATTATATTCAAAACTCAATACTTAAGTTACTTTTTCAATTTTACTGTTTACTCAGAAATATTATTATTGTTTGCATCAAAAAGAGAAAAACCTAACAGTTTTTCAAACTTTAAAATGGCTACAAAGTGTTCCTTTAGCTAAAAAAAAATCCATAAAATCACTTTTAAGCAAATTTAATATTTATGTATATGCCAAGCCGGCTTAATGATTCATTTTTGGAGAAAACAAGAAGAAATTTTTGTTGTAAATAATAATAAGCATGAATAATAATATTGACTATGAAAAAGAGAATTTTTTTGATTGATGAGCCACCAGTATAGTATACCTTACCTTCTTAAAATTATTCTTAACGTATAACTTGTATAACTTTTCTTTGCAGGCAAGACGAACGATAAAAGCAAAGAAATGCAAGTCAGATGGGCGTACAACACCTGTAAAAATCAGCTATATATACAATATATATACAATAACTATATTCAAAGCTTCATTAAATATGTGTGCCAGGGAAATATTTGTTACCATTTTAGTATGTATAGTATGTATGTATTTATTCTACTTTGTGATGGTTTCTTAGGCTGACCCTTGTGCTATATACTCGTACATATGTACATGTAATTTATATACACACTATAAATCTAATTAAATCAAGTAATTAATGCAAATAACTAACAATTGTACTCGTATAATGTAAACGTACCAAGAACTGTAAGCAACAAATATGGGCAACAAACTAAGGCACATATTCTAATCAACACTACTTGCAAAGTTTATGCGTTTAGTTAAGTAAGTAATATTTAAGACAACTCTCACATACTTACTATACATAGTTGAAAGACTCACCAACTACTAAGGAAATAGAAAGCGACAGCAAACTGTCAAAATATATATAGAACAACACATACTATATGTTCAGCATTCGCAAACCACAAGATATCGAGCGGCGGCTTGGCACAACTTTGCTGTAAACTACTATACAGGGCTATCGACCAGAAACCCAGAAATTTTACCAACACAAAAATGCACTATCTACTAAATAAATATGAGAACAAACTACATATATACTATATAGTACAACATCTATATATGAGTATAAATTATATGTTCACAAAACAACTAAGAAAATAATTAAGTAATCTCTCAATAGAGAAATCCAACTAGCAACACTACAAAAACCGCTCTGTGCATCACTTAATTTATTTTAAGAAAATTTATGTAAAGTTCTGACAAATCTGTACTACAACTACAACTGAAAATAGCTTTATAGTTCTTAAGATGTCGCTCGAGCATATGAAGGTAACTGAAAATCATTGCCTAATTAAGTGAATGTATTAAATATTATCCCTTATTATATTCCGTTTATATACTCATAAGAGCAAAATACATTAGCACAGACATACTATATCCATAGAAAAATACGCCACACAATTATTCGTACTAAATAACTTGTTCAGTTGAAAGTTCTTAGAGCCTAAGCAATAGTTGTAGGATTGCCGGCAATTGGTTGTAGCCAGGATTGGGAGCGAGTGAAGCCATTTTTTTTTAGCGTTGAAAAACGTGCAGAGGAGGGAGAAGTGAAGTTATAAGGTAATATCTTTTAAATTTCTCTCTCTCTCTTTCTCTATCTATCTCTCTCTCTCTCCTTTCCCCTTCTCTTAAGTGTAAATGTTAAATATGTTGAAACAAAAAAAAATATTGTATTTGAAGTAAAAGCAAAATAAAATATCTATTTGAACCCTGAACAAACTTAATTTAAATCCGAATTGCTGACGAAAAATTTCTGATATTTTGCATAATATGGAAAAATCGGTGAGTAGTGACATTCCAAAACAGCATAACAAAATAACTTGAAAGATAATTCTGACATCTTCCAACCAGAAACGAAGTCACTTCGAGAAAGGTCCTAGCCAAAATTTCATACAAGCTATTCTTGGGTATGTTTTCTCAAAAGAAGAAGAGTTCAATGCCAACTGATCTGAATTAGTTGTGCTATGCTATTGTGCTATTTGTGCACCCCCTAATTCCCTACTATGAATGTGTGTTTTTTTTTAAACCATTGTAATTATTAAAATTATGGACCAAAATTGGCATCCGGTAATTGCTTATGGGCCTTCGTGGCACTCTTCTTTGTGGCACACTCTACTAGAAGCTACCACTGTTCTGTTTGGAGCTGCAAAAACAAGACACAAGTAGATACAATTCCGATATAAGCGTATACAAATAAAACTATATTTTTCTTGTTGCTATTATTATAATACGTTTAATTAAACAAATTTATTTAACAACATGTTTTTAACAAATTTGTTACGGGGTATTGAAGAGCTGAACTCACTCGATTCTATCATACATATTATTCTTGTTTTATTTTCACAATTCATAAAAGTTTATATCACAATATTGAATACTCAAGGATATGTTGTCGTATATTTTTAGTGCAGCTCATGTAGATTTCATGATGCCATTAGCTCGCCTTCATGCCTTCCAACTACGCTTGCAGTCGCTTCAGTTTCGATTTTGGCAGCAGGGCTGCCGCTGCCTCCGCCTCCTCCTTGGCAATGCGCTCACGTATCCAATAGTTGGCACCGCAGACCAACAACAACAGGCAGGGTATGATTATAAGCAGAACCATACCCAACGATATACTGGCGACGCGGGCGGAGTGCTCCTCGTTTCCTGCAAAGGTAAAGAGGGTATAGAAAGGAGAACACACACACAGACACACTAGTATTTAGTCAGAAGATGAGCTCGAAAAAGAGGCAAAAAAACGGGCCACGTGTTTGTCTATTTGAAAAATAGAATTCATAAATTAAACAGGCAGCAAGGTGGTCAGCCATGCATGCATTTGTCAGTTGTATGAGCAGTTCGACTCACTGGACTAACGGCAGGACATAACCAGGACGACGGCTAGTGTTGCCTACTTTTGAGCGCCACTACATATCGTTGTTTTCTTTTCGATCAGCTACATACAGACCCTGCAATATACTCGTACATACATATGTACATGACTAGCGCCAAACTTGTCCATCAACTTGTTCAAGATTGATTGACATTGGCGTAATGTACAATACATTTGCAAGGGTCGGGCGGAAGGGCGTGGCTGGTAGGTGGGCGCTCAGCACAACACATGACAGTTGGCCCAAGATTAATGTCTTTGCTTGGCAACCAGACACATTTACAACGCTGCTTTATTGCTCGGTTATAAATTTGATGTACTTTTGTGTTCACAGCGAGCACGTTTCATGCAATTTTATGTTGCACATTCGATGATTTGCAGTGCAATCAGAAGAATTTGTTACGCAAATTATAATTGGAAAACTGTCAGATAATTGCAAGCAATGAAGCAATTAATTTAAAGAGCTATAAAATGTCATTCATACGTAGTTCAAATGAAAAGAAAAACATTCTCATTTTTTACAAGTTAATACAGAAATGAAGAGAAAAAATTATTCATCCACCCAAATTACACACTATCAATACAATATTGGATTACTAATTATAAATGTACAAACAAACATTGCCCAATTGAATAGACCTAGGTTTCCGGTAACACAACTTTTTAGCAAGATAATTTAATCATTATACTAACTATTCAAATTCGTTAATCCAAAAAAGAGCTTGTATCAAATTACGAAACTGCCAACGTTTTTTTGGATTCAGCGGGCCAAATTTCTGTTAATAATAAACATGTTTTTAAATAATGTTTTTTCATTTGAACTCAGTATTATGTTTCAAAAGAAATAATTGCATGTATAGTAATTTTTTCGAGCTTTTCATAGGTTGTTGCAAGTTATTTGACGATTGCGTAACATAACTCCAATAAGTAAACATTTTTAAAGACATTTTGTTCGCCGTCTATCAACTTTCATGCAACAATTGGCATTATCGTTGCGACCTGCGGAGGAGATGCAAGAGAAACATTATTGTTATAATGATTGAACTATAAACGACATTTTTATTGTAAATTTATGAGTACGGCACATATAAACATTTTTATTGATTGCAAAATCAAAGTCCGCATATTATGGCATGCAATTTTCCCAGCGCCAATTTGTTTACAAATCTGTTTAGTTGTTGGTCTTGCAATTTATAAATGCGTACATACAAATGAGGCATTAATTTTTAATGGGCAATACAAAAGGTTGCAATTATTTATGCAGGCTATTAGTTGCAGAATCTGCAATTAGATGGGTCATGGCCGCATGCTGGTAGTACGTTGGCGGTGGGACGTAGAAGAGAGGAGATGATAGAAAACAAATACAAATTAAACGATTATGACAGGTGGGCGGGTAATTAGCAAAATGTTTAAACAAAGGCCACAACATAGGCATAGAATTATTATAACAAATACTTATAATTATTTGGGGTTTCTGCTTGTTAATTTTTGATTTATGGTTTAATGTAAAGTTTAGTATTATTATTATAGGTATTAATTGTAAATGAAAATAGTTATAGTACAAAATTTGAACATTGGAGCTTGCAGAGCAGCGTGTACATACATATATATGAAATCTTGTGTGTGTGTGTTTTGTTATGGCTTGTTTTAGACCTCAGTGGACTTTTGAACTGAGGGCGTGGGTGAGGTGGTGTGCGGGGGTGGCGACGGCAGACCACTGTCTTGCGTCAGATGGGACACAGGCAGCGGTGCCACAGTGGGCGCAGCGCGCAAGGGCGTGGCCGTGGCCGTGGCTGCGGCTGTCGCTGCCGGCACACCAGACGGGGGACGATTGTAGAACTGCGTGTTGCTGGGCAGCACGGGAACGCCACCAAAACGATTCTGCTGAGCCGCCTGTGGTGTATAGTTAATGGAGCTGGCACCGCTATTGCGACTGTCCAGGCCACTGAAGGTGGGGCTGTATTGTTGCTGGTGCAGATGATCGGCCTCCTCGGGCGACATCGGTTGATGGTAGCCGGCCGGGTGAACGGTTCCAGAGTGTATGTCGCTCTCATCAAAGTCATCGTCGTGGTCGTCATGGTCGTCATGGCCGCCATCTACGTTCGTACCAGCGTCATGTTCGTGCTGATCCAGTTCGGTGCCCGAGGCGGAGCGGAGCGAACGACGACCCGTCTGCTTCGGCTTCTCACCTATCGCGTGGGCAACGTTTGCGTTATTAATGTAGGAAATGTCCTTAGCTACTTTTGTACTAGTTCTATTGTCACTACCTTCCGATGAGGTCACATCCTCGTCGCGCTCATCCAAATCCCATTTCTTAGCTGGAAAATCAATTTGCGGTTTTCCCGGTAATGGTTCGTTCGTGCGATATACTTTGTCATAGGACCTACTTTTCTTAAGCGTGCTCGCATCGGTATCGCTATCGCCGATATCGTCATCATAGTTCAGGGTGCGCAGATTGCGTGCCGAAGAGGCGCGAGAGCGCGGCAGCGTCATCTGCCAGTGCGGGTCCTCCTTCAGCTGCTTCTGGCGATAGCGATAGACGCCGCAAATGATGCACAGCATCAGCGGCAATATAACTAGCACGATAATGCCAATTGCAATGAAAGCGACACGACGCGTGTAATAAACTTCACCTGTGGGCGGGTCGAGGGTGTTCAAGGTGGGACAAGTCGTAAGTATACAAATTAAATGCTTAACTTAGGGCAGTACTTACGCAGACATTCCGTGTAACCGTATTCGGGAATATTCCACAAACCATCTGCTAGACACTCGCGACGCTGATCTCCCACCAAAATGAAGCCCTCATTGCATTCGAAGGACACCTTGGCGCCTGGCATAAAATCGAAGCTAAGCTTGCGGCCAAACCGAGGAGTTTGCAGCACGCCGCAGGAGACAACACGTCTACAATGTTGTAGAAGAATTGTTATTAGAAGTTATAGGGATAAATTCTTCAGCTAATCGCATCATCATCAATTGCATACTCACTTGGCATTCTCGGCTCGTATGTTGACCAGACTGTCGTAGTAGTTCTTTGTGAAATGTGCCAGGTCCCGATTCAAGGTCATGCCATAGTCATACCGACATTGATAGCTCTCACCACATAGCTCCTCGGCGCGCTCCACATCGTAGGTGCGATTCGTGGGCAAGAAATCGGCCGGTTCGATAACATAGTTGGGCAGGAAGGTGCTATTGGAATAGTAGCTGGCCATGCGTCCGAACTCGCGAGTAAACAAGGCGGCGCCGACGCCGGGCACATCTCGATCCGTCAGCATCCACTTCAAGCCAAAGTTTGTATGTATGCTGCGCAAATCGTTGAGATTAAGTGAGGCCACCTGCCCGTTAGGCAACGCAAAATCGTCCATGGCATTGAAGCTCCAGTTGCCAAACAGACCCGCTGTTTTGTTCTGAAAAAGAAGGGAGAGCACAGTTGTTAAGATCTAAGGATATACAACTTCTCCCCAAGCACATTCTATTTGCGTGCTTCCGAAGAATATTTTTGCCGGTGGCTTTAAAATAATTATGGAGCGCTTCTCTTACTATAAACTTCCATGGCAAATAAACACGGCCGGTCATGAAGCCCTCGTTCTCCACCACTTCGACGCCAATGCCAGCATCGAATTGCACAATAACTTGGGACTGGTTAAGCAAGTAGGTGGGGGTGTACACGGTAACGCCATCAAAGTGCTGGAACTTCAAGCTTTCGCGATCAAAGTAGATGCGGCGTCCATCGGCCAGCACGTCCAGGCGATAACGCCAGCGGGCATGCAACGGACGCAGACGGACCTCAATGGTCGTTGTCGTATTGCCACGCATGGCCATTGCCGTTAATTGTGTGGCCATAACCTCGCCGTAGTAGTTGTTAGGCAGTTGCTGGAAGCGACCCTGAATCTCGAAGCGTTCGCTTTCGTCTGTACTGCGAGCCAAAACAAACTCGCCCAGGCCGTTGAAAGTGTAGGCAGAGCCATCAAACGTTATGAAATGCGGGTCACCAAAAACTCCGGCTACACCAGGTGCTTGATAAGCTACACAATCCTGGGACGGTCGACGTTCAAAGCGATAGGTTTCGCAACCGACTGCCTGTTCCTCCTGCCAGTAGCAGCAGGAGTAGAAAGGACGCATGTCATGGAACCACATAGATAGGGACGGCACCTTGCTAGCCTCATTCCAGGGCATCTTGCCTAAATTGTGAACGCGACGTGGTCGGGAGCCCCACATTTGATCGTAGGTAAGCATCAGGAAGCCATAACGATCATAGCAGCATTGCTGCTCTGCGCCCTGTGCACTGCAGAACAAAACAAGTTGTTCAGTTGCATGTCTATATTCAGTTTAGCCTTGCTACTTACACTGGCGTACCACTGACCACACAGTGAATAGCACCGCGTTGACGCAAACAGCTGGGATTGGAGTCCTTGTCGCACTCGCGATCCGGTCGGAAACGCCCCTTGTCCAGCACGGCCTGCTCCAGTGTGCAGGGACACAATGGCAAATCAGCAGCAAAGTTTCTGCATGAGAACAAATATATTTAAATAATGGACTTGTTCCAAAAAACTACCAGCTTAGGGGGGCCAACTGTCCAATTAGACAATTGCATCCCCGTGGCCTTTTGCAGCTTTTAATTAGCGCGCGGTTACAATTCCCCCAACAAGCCAGAGAATGCGGCATTATCACAAATAAAAGTGCACTGGAAGCAGGTGGGTAGTTGGGGGAATGTAGAGACCAATGCCGCTTAAACCTACCTCAGGAATCTGTCGGCGCGTATCCAATTATCGCACAGAGCGCGCGGCCACTTCTTGCCATGCATACGCTCCCATTGCGGCGCCATGTACCAGGCCAAGGGCACCGGCCGGGACCACAGAACACTGTGAACATGAAAACAAAGGTGTTGTAGCGTAATTGAAATGGCGCTTCAAATGCTAACTAAAAAATTGACAGTTGTACGCAATATTGTGCTAATATCAATCATTCACCAACTCTAGCCATCCTTAAAGCAAAGGTGCTCTTTAAATTCAAATGATATCCGTCTCATCGTTTGGGCCTGTACTATCCTCAAAAGTCTTCTCCCAACTTTAAACAATTGACATTGACATTGAAGCCGACTTTGACATTGACAATGCGAGAGAGCTGTCGACGTCATCGTCAACGTCTTGTCCTAACATTTTTTACATGCGAATGCTGTAAAATATTTTTCATTAAGTCACAATTACACGGCCATAATTTAAGCAGCGCGTTAGACAATACAAGTATAAAGAAATGCGCGCAAGGAGGGATGCCTTAAATGTAAATTAAATCTTAAAACAATGCTAAAGGCGTTCGTCTAACATCAGTCGCGCTGCCAGGGTTTCCATTTGGGCTTTTTGAGCTTCCACTGAGCAGCTACTAATGATAACGAGGCCCCAAGGTGTCATAAACTAAAATCCCCAAACAAAAGAGTTTTATTTCGCGCACATTTATAATACTCCTACGTCCTCGGTACAGGCCACAGTATTCGCATCTACCCGTTTTTACTGCCCTTTGTTAAGCGCGGCCAACTGTTGGCCAATTGCCTGGCGCTCGCTACACAGACCTAGCCTTTAAGGGCGAAATAATAATAGGCTGATAAAACACGAGCATCGTGAAAGCTGAATTATCATGATGCCACTGGAGCCAGATCCAACTTGCTTATTAAAACGAATTAAACAATGAGAATTAAGAGGAACCCTCACTTTGCAGCGCTACACTTTATTAAAAAATTTTATTTGGAAACTGGATCCCCAATTCTTGCTAAGCCGTATGTGAGGTTTGCTACATTTGCACGATTGTGCGTCATTAAATTAACCCAAAGTCTTAAAAAGTTGCAGTACTGGTTTAAGAAATGAAAAAGAAGAAAAGAATCAAATAATTTCATGCAGGCGCGCTCCAATTTCAAGCTTTAATTTCAAGACTTTTTGTCCAGAGGGGTCTTATGTTTGTGATAATGGAACATAAATAGACGCCAAACAAAGATCAACTATTAGGAATTGCATTAAACTTGCGTTGAAAATGTTTTGCAAATGGAATTCCCAAATCAAATCTATATTATTTTATCTAAAAGACAAAAAATCTGCTACTCCCTACAAGCTTTGGGTTGCTTAAGCCCTTCTTTTTTAAATACGCGCATATTTCCTTTACCCCTTGTAGGGCTTACAATTATTTAATATGCGCACGCATTATTTTTAAGCTACATTATGCAAATGAAGTGACCCAAAATCCTTAAATTCTGTCCCTAATCCTGGCATACGGCCTGCCACGTGTTGCGTTGACTTTGGGAGCGCATTAAATACGCATTTGTATTATTAATTAGCGGCCCGGCCGCACATAATTACAAACTGTCATAATACGCTCTCTGTACGAGCATATCTGGCTGAAAAGCTAATAGATATTTCAGCAAATTGATTGCCTGCCCTGGCGCAATGGCCCAGAGCAATGGCAGCAACCACCCGACGCTTGTCCTAGACTCTTGTACTCGGCTTATTGGAATTGTTGAGAAATTAAATGAAAACATGAGCATGTGTGGCAGCTCAGCTGCGACTGCTGAAAATCAATTAAAACATAATAAAAATGTCGTCGATGGATGGAAGCCAAAGTGGCGTATGATCGATGTGCTTGTGTGTCTCTCCATATATACTCACGGACTGATAGCCAAGCCAGAGTACTGCTCGGGCTGTGTTAGATTGATTTGCAAGAAGCCAAATTGCATGTCTTTGTTAACGTTGTTGCGATTGACGTAGTTTGAGGGATTTATAACATAGCTGCCAGTGTTGGTGTAGCTTGCCTCGATGACATCAATATACTCCAGCTGCGGCTCAATTTTGGTCTCACGATAGCCCCACAGGGATATCATCACGTTTGCATTGGCATTCGAGGTCAAATTGAAGGCGTTCCATGTAAAGCGAATCTCACTCGGATTCCTCTTGTGCACATCATCGGTGTTGAAGAAGATCTTCTCAGTAGCCGCCGCGGGTGTCTCCACAAAGTATTTGCCGCGCCATTTGAAACGCTGTGTACCCAGTGAGATCTGGAAGCGTATATAGCCTTCGGCCTTTAGGAAGGGCTGCACACAAATCACTCTATTGCGATCCACATAATGACCCAGCACAGACTCCGTATCAAAGTGACAAGTTACGCGTATATCGGGATCGAAGCAGGGACCTGTAATATTGACCACCTGTCCGCCCAACATATTGCCCGACTCGGGTGCGAAAGTCAGTGGCAGCAGTGCCGCATCTATTTATATACCAAGTTAAATGTAATTAAAGCCAAACATGCCAATTACCACAAGCTAATACGCACCAATGTCCTTATTGCACGAGCCAATTAAAATTTGCTCATCGATGCGGAAAATGTGGCGACCCGGAAAGCCGTTGGCCCAACCACGATTTGCCAAGTCGCGAATGACCATATTCTGGCTATAGGGATTGTATTCATAAGCCTGTGTACCATTGCCAGCGTTGAAGCCAACCTAAAGAAAGAAACGAGTGCAAAGGTTTAATAAATAATCTAAAGATTGTAGCTTATTTAAGAACCAAAAAAAGTGCTCCAACATTTTCGATTAATTTATTTGGAACTGAAGTTTAATTTAGATAGGATAGATACCATACTATAGATTTATTCGACATGCTTAACATTTTTGGAAGCAATTGACACCATTTCTTAAAAATTAGTGCAAAAAAATGAATAAATTCAAGGTTTCATTAGAAAAAAGTACAAATAAATGTATCGAACTGGCTAAGCAACGAAGCAAATGTTTTGCAGAATATCATAAATATTTTATTACACTAAAAACCAATATGCATTGCAACCATCATGTTAGCTGGGAAATCGGCAATTGAAAACTGATGCTATTCAATTTCAGTTTGACATTTGAAAATTGCGATGCACATTGACGTGTGCGGCTTAAATGGCTGCCACTTATGTTTGCATCTGTGTAAATTTGTGTGCCTGTGTGTGTGTATTTAATTTGCATTTTTAATATGTCAATCGTTAGGCAAATGTCGTATGAAATACAATTAAAATCAACTAGTTGGGGATAAAACTAACATTTGCATTTTAAACTCTACAAAGTAAAACATTTAATTAATTAAATGTGAGCACCAAATGGAGTAAAATACACACTTTTAAACCTCACTGTGTATTTATGTGTGCTCTCAAAAATGCAACAGGAGGTTCATTTCAAATTACATGCCCTGACAAGGTTTGCTTTGTAAAATGAAAGTAATGTTTGTAGCCGCTTGGCTGGCGTCTTTGCTGTTAATGAAATGGCGCTTGAGTTTATTTGAGAGCACAGGTAAGTTTTCAAATGTGCAAAGAGTTTAATTAAGTGTGCCAGCAAGCACACACACACACACACAAGATAGAGCCAACAAGGTCAGAGTACTGCAGCTAGTTAAATAGCCAGGAAATTAATATTTCAATCAAGATCAGTCTAAAAACTGTTTTTCATGAGACAACTTAAGGTCGCCCTAAAAAGTATAGAAATTCTTACAAGATAATTAGTTGCTGCCAAGCACGAAGAGAGGCTATATCTCCTTGTTATGAAAACTCATTTTGTGAGCATAATAATTTATTGAAATCCTTTTACTTTATTCTAATACGAATACATTAATATTAGTTAAGGATTAGTTCAACAATAAAGTTGTAATACTGTTATTTATCAGACATCTACAAACAGCTCCAAATCTGTATCTATCACAATTCTCACAATAAAAGAGGAGGTTTAATGAGAGAGAAGCTGAAGAGCTCACACACTATTGACCTTGCCCATAGTTAAATAAATTATAAATGTAAAATTGTAGATAAGGCTAAACTCCTAGTTTAAGTTGAATTTGTATAAAGCTATAAGTTTAATTAATTAAATAACAGTATAATTAAAGTGAAAAAATCACAGTTTATAAATAGTTTTAATTTAAGCCATAGTTTATCTGTTTTTTAACCAGTTTCGAATCTAGAAAATAACTATACTACATAGCTTTTAAATATTTTTTAATGAGCAAATGTTGTTCCTATTTTCTGGGCTGTAACTATAGACAATTAACTTATTCAAATGCCTTACGTCTACAACAGACAACATTATTCTCAAATGTATTAGTTAAACATTAACATTAAAGTTGTAATACTATTTTCCATCAGATCCCCACAAACTGTTTGACAACTATGTCAATCATATTTTAGACCGCTTTTTCAATTTAAACCATTATTTATCTGTTTTTTAATCAGTTTCGAATCTAGAAAATAACTCTACAGCACAGCTTTTAAATATTTTGCTTAGGAAGTAAATTATCTGATTTTGTTTTCAAGAAAATTCAAGGGAGCCACTGTGCTGTAACAATAGACAATTATGTTATTCAACTGTGTTAACAACAGACAACTCAATAATTATAGCTATAGGAAGGACTTGATCTGCAGTCGAGCTCTTCATGTAATTCTATATACTTACGAATGCGGGCACGCCACCCTCGCCTTTAGTGGTATCGCCTCCTGCTTCTGTGTGTGAGAGCCAGTTGAGAACAGCATAATTCCAAATGGCATATGTGTAGACCTCGTCGGTGGCCAGAACCATTTGAAAAGTGTTTGTCTAAACATGAAGCGAAATAAATGCATTAAATTCATGCCATTTAGCATACCCATGCCGGTGCATTCAATTGGAATTCACCACAAAAAAACCAGTATCGCATGACCAAACAATTTCTGAAAACAAGTTAGAGCCGCATGTTTAATTGTCTGTCAATTAAACTCGCTGTCAGAATATGAAAGAGCAAAACTGTTAACTGGTTTTTACTTGCACAGAAATAGTTAATTACAATATGCAGTCAAATGCCAAATGCCACATGCCTGTGGCAGGCTGGATGAAAGGAGCAGCTGTGGCCGGCACAAACTTACCGTAAAGAGTGAGTTGTCAATGCCACCGGCAAATGAGACGTTCTTCCAAGTGGCGATCAGCACGTGCTTCGGCACAAAGGTATCGGCTCCCACAACTCCTTGGCGAATATCCCACATAGTGCGCTCACGCACCTCGACGCCAAAGCGGTCCGTGCGGCCCATCAGATCACGTTCAAGGCTGTAATGTGAACAAAAATGCGAAATCAAATCACAGGCAAACAAAAAAACAACAGAATAAGAACAAAATATGCGCAAAAGAAAGAAAATAATGAAAAAATGAATTTGGTTTCATGCCTGCGCCTTCTCGTCGCCTCAGTTTGTCCGTCTCTGTCTTTGGGACCTTCTGTTTGTCTGTCTATATCTGTATTCGTTTGTTCGTCTGTTCGTCTGCTCCCCTGTCCCTCTGTCCGTCTGTCTGGCTTTCCAGCTGTCTCGCAAAGGCAAAGAACCGTGGGCTGCAAACTTTCTCTGACATCCGCTACTTTTTTGCCTTTGCATATATGAAGATAAATGGATTTGATGTTTGGCATATAAATCAGCACATCGCACACATACGCATTTTCCGCCCTTATTCATATACACATAATCACACACACACACACACACACCAACAAAGTATTGCGATTTTTAAACATGTTTGCCATATTTTGTTACACATTTCATTTTTTTTTTCGCTCTCAACGCGCTTTCATGTGTTTTTCATTCAGCCATTGACGTATCGGCGGCAACGTGGCGTATGATTTATTTGCTTTAATTATTCATTAGATATGTATGCCTCGTTCAGCCTGCACAGCGTTGCGTATTCGGCACTTTCTTACACATTTCTCGGATAGCCTTCGTGAATTTAAACAAATATAAATTAGCTTTTGTTTTATTACATTCGGCCACTCTCGCTATGCGTTGCTATTGCCAGAGCTCGTATTGCTCTTATTGTTGTACTATATGCCATAAATTGCTTTAAGCCGCTTGTAAAATTACATTACTCAAGCACATGCAAATGGGTAGACAACAGCATTTTGGGGCCACTCTTCGGGGCCACAGATTTCAAGAGCATTCAGTTAGTGTGTGTGTGTGTATTTTGTATATAAATGTAAAGCCGATTTACTTGTTTTTATGTCGTTGCATATTTTTTGTCGTTGACCACAAAATGGCCAAGCGAGCCAGAATTATAGTGTGCTTCTATACACATGTATTTGTATATGCACAACTTCCTTTTATGTTGGGCATTTAATTTTGATTTAATGCCATTTTAGTTCAAATTGTTGAATCTTTTATTAACCCAACAAATTTAGTATGTGGCATTTAAACCAGAAACATGGAATAAGCTCCTTAAGCTTCCAATTGCAGTAATTTCCCAAGTAATAATAAGAAGATATTAAGAAAATAAACGGCAGTCATAATTGCCATTTAGTATTTGAGGACTTCAAATAAGGTTTTAATATTACAATGTAATTTATTTGACTTTGAAGGCTCCATATACAATTAAAAGCTTGAGCATCGCTCTCTTTTATGTTGGATATTTCGTTTTTATGTACATATTGCAAATTAAGGTTAAAACTGTTTCATCTTTTTAGTTAAACAACAAGTTTATTCATTAAACTCCTAAGTCTCTCAAACAAACAAATTCTTGAAGTAATAATGAGAATAATTTTATTTTGAAATTGAGTTTGGAAATACTTGTAGATATATGGCTTATACTCGTAGAATCAAAATTTAAACCTTTTGAAAACATCAAACTAAAAACAATGTACTACCAGAGAAAACTTACTTGCTTTTTAACTAAGCCAACAAGCTGCATAAATTATATATGTATTTTAAATGAAATTTTTCAATCAATATGATTACAATGAAAAATGAAAATGCACCAACTACGACTATCAGACGCAAATGACACTTCCCATTAAATTCAAATCAAATTTCATTTAAAACATGTTCTACATGCAAACAAACACATTTGCTCTATAATCAAGTCAAAGAGTTAAATGGCTGACATTTATTTATAATTATGTTGTCTACTTTGTGGCTTTTGTGCAATATTTTTTTAACTTCATATTTTATTTGAATATGGAAATGAATCAATCCTGCTTTAGTGCTATCAATATCTTACCAAATGTTTCTATCTGATATCAGAGTTTATTATTTATTTTCAAGCTCAGGCTCATTACTCTTCAATCTAGACTAGAATGCCACACGTCGATTGATAAATCACTTTTATTTGTGTTTGGCAAAGCGGATTCTCACACAACATTTCATTGATTTTGCGCTTGCAACGGCAACAACAACTACTACTACATATTTCAACGGCTGCCCCCACCTACCCGCCATTTTGTTGCCTTGCCAACTACAAGTAAGTCTAAATAAATGTGCACATGCAGTTGGTGATAGTGAACACCAATGTAAATATATACACATGCACATTTTTACGCAAATGCAAATAAATTGCTGCAACAGCAACAACAACAACAAATATAAACAATCTGTAGCAACAAAACCCAAACAAAACAAGCTATGAACGCCTGTGAACGCAAAGATGCAGATGTTGATTCAAATGTGTATGAATGTATGCATGTATTTTTCATTTACGAGTACATATATCTGTACAGTTTCCCAGTATTGCGACGCGTCGCGTAAACGCAACGTGCAAAAATTTATCATCACTTCAACGCGCTTGCAAAATAAATAAAGGCAAACGTACATATACTATGTGCAAATTGTAAATATAAAATTGAAATTCATAATATTTTATGATATCTTTCATTTTTTTCGGATTACTGGCAATTTGCAAGTGTTTTTAATGCAATTAAATGGGTCATAAATTAAAGTAAAAGCAGCTGTGGCACAGCCTCGACTCCCACACTTTATTAATGGCCGCAAAAAATGTAAATAAATGGAAATTCGGCCACAATGCTACAGCTGACTTGCTTATGTGGCATCCACCAAACGCACACAAACACACCATGCTAGCCGCATTGTTAGTGCGTCCGAAAACCGAAAAATTCTCTCAAACACACACACACACACGCAAAGACAGCCAGTCAGCAGTAAAAAAAAATGTGCAGAAAAAAAAGAGAGCAGCAGAAAAAAGATATAACCGCATAGTAGAAACCTCAAAGTGCGCACACATGCTCGCGCACGCATACATAGATAAGAAAGTGACACACACACATATGCACTTGCATAGTTTATCATTTTTGTCTGCCGCTCCAGCAGCACCGTCTTTGCGCCTCTCTAATGAAACTTTAAATGTCTGCAATTGACATTTAAGAAGAGCACAAAATAAGAAACGCTGTCAGCCAAAAAACTACGAGCACCAGCCGCCAGCCTCATAAGCCCAAAAGGCAATTCACTCACTCACACAGACACATAGGCTTAAGCAGAAGCAATAGAAACTCGCATTCCCATATATACACGTACAACAATAGTAACAACAACAGCAGCGAGGGCCAACTGCTCGTTTTGCATGCCGCTTTCTTCGTCGCCGCCCCCAAAACGTCGCGCCTTACAATCTTTACATTTGGCGTGCCAGTTCTTGAACTACGCCATTTTGTACTTTATTGCATACAGTCGGGCTGTTGCTGCCGCTGCCGTCGACGTCAGCGTCGACATCAACGCTGACGCTGACGCTGACTATTCCGTTGACGCCGCCGTTTTGTCTGCATTTTGGGTTGATGTGCTTTTTTCACCGTTTTTGCATGAAACAGTTGGCGCAGTTGTGGTGTGGCCGCCATTCTTACTTTTTTATTATTATTTTTTTTACTCTTGCTTTGTCCCAATTTCGTTTGGCTTGAAAATGAAAGTGAAACAATGGGCGTACTTAAAGAAAATTGCATGTGCGCTGCAAGAATTTCAACATGTGCAGCACAAATTTCTGGGGCAAATGCCTAACAAGGTATGCAAGCATAGTTATGAGGGAGGAATGGTAGGTGTTCGTATAACCTATATAACCCACATAAGGCTCCACTTTTTTTTTAGATTAAATGTGCAAATTGCTTTATTGATTACTACCACAATGTTGTAAAAAATTCGCTGTTTTTTTGGTGAATATAACTTTTATATTCATGCGTTCGTACAAACAAACAAAGGCATTCTTAAAAGAGCTATATGGTTTTATTCACAATAGCACTGAGATGGACTCTCTAGAGATTTTTCTTTCATTGTTGCTTGATTTATTTATTTAATCAGTTAATGTGCCTGGAATATTTTTTCTAATTGAACATGTGGCTTCGAATGTTACAAATAAAAGTTATTTGGAAACTCTAGTTGAAAGGTCACGCTGGTGGAGTTATTATTGAATTTGACTCCATTATAATAATTAAAAATCTGGTACATTCTAAGCTTATTTTTATAAAAGCGAACCACACCGACTTATACGACACAAGCGTTTGCCTTTTAGATAACTAAGCAATTCAAATTCAGGTCTATCAACAAGATACGCAATGTTAAATGAATGTTGGCTTTAGTGACTTAAAAATCATTATAGTTTTCCAAGCATAAACCCTTACTATATGTTATCCTCCATTCCTTATGGGTGCTACGAGGGTATGAAAATCATAACTTCATCAACTAAGAACATCAATTAGCAGAAAACGAACATAAAAGTCAGAGCCATTGCCGCATGGACATATTTCTGAATTATAAATTAGCACTTGGATGTTTACTTTACATCTTATTGATCATTTTCATCGATTATGCTTACACACACACATCCCTCGTACGCATCGTTAAGTGCTTGTCCGTGCCATTCCTTGTAATGGACGCACAAATGTTTTAATTGTTTCATGCCGCTTGCATTACAATTAAAATTCACTTTCTGGTGCTGGAACTGGGGCTGGTGCGATTCGCAAACAACAATTAAAAGCTTAGCTGGCTCACGCCACAGATTTACACACTTGAACGTTTAACAAACACTTTTAAAACTTTCAACAAACAAAACCCAGTGTGCCATTAACTTTGTTGTTTTTTTTTTTTCTCATTTTTCTGCCCTGAAGGTAGCTTAGCGCACTCTCTAGATGTGTGGCGTTTGCATATGTAATTATACGTGTGCGCTCATAATGAATTTAATGGTCAAAGAGCTCGCACACTCACAAACACCACCACATACAAAGACGCAGTAAGCGTCTTATATAGAAAAAAAGCAGAAAAAGAAGTATTTATAAAAATAAAAGGTAGCTTAAGGCATCAGGGCAGACTGCAGCTAAATTTCTAAATGCCATTTTTCAACACGGCCCTGCACTTTGGCTAATCCTCAGCTGAGCTCTTTAGAGCCAAGTACGTATATATGTACTACATATTATGTATGTGTAGTGTATGGTATATATATATATATATGTGTAATTAATTTTATTGAAAAATATGAGTGTAAGCTGTTGATGGAAACTCAAGTGGAATTTTCATTGCTGCCGCTTGCTTAAGCTGCTCGCATTTCACAGCCACTTCTTACCCGTTTGTTGGCAGCCATGCAAAGCAATTTAAATTAAATTCCACTTTGAATATTGAGCCACCCGTCAGCTTTCGCTTTACAATTTTTGCCCGACAATTAAATGTCAAAGTGTGGCCGACTCGTCCAATGGATGGACTGTCCCTTGGACTGTGCATTGTTCAATGACCAGAGTTCGCAGATGGGGTACAGTTATTTTTTTGTTCGCTCTCGCTTTCAACTTATCAGTCTCCTCTGTTCTCGTTTCCAGTCACTTTTTTTTAGTAGATAGCTCTCAACAAATGTGCTTTACAGCATGTTAATGGCTTTGCCGCACCAATTTGTCAGTCGCCTGATGCGCCAACTAGCAGCCTTGACTGCTGATGGCAGCACACACACACACACACACTAACTCATACAACATGCACATGCAGTCGTCACTTGTCCAGCTTGTCTGTTGCTCTCGTCACGTTAGCGTAATTTATGTGCTCGCCACTTTTTGTCTTTTCGTCTTTCAATGAAATTTAAGCAAGTTAGGGCAATAAATTATGCTTTAAATGCCACACAAAGTACTTTATTTTATTGCGAGCGACTCAACCGATTTCAAACATTTAAGGCAAGCAATTCTACATACATTTCAACTAGACCACATAAAAGGCAAGCATAAAAGCTTAACCACAAATTGCCAAAAATAGCACACACACTCATACGTACACACAATTGCCAGCTAAGCGTAATTCTATCTAACTATGTTATAAAATTTGTCTACCAACTGTAGGAGAATTTCAACGCCAACGGCGGCGGCTAATTAATGCAATTTTCATTGCGACTAATGCAACATTTTCAATGTAAATACCCACACACACACACACATACCCTCACCCTCACTCATTTGCATAATTAGTGCAAACAAAATGGCGGTTGCTACCAGCGAAAAAGAAAGAAAGGACAAATAAATTTATGTGCAAGTACAAAAAAGTTGACAACGCGCGTTCCGCAAGTGAATTTTTACTCCGCCGAAATGGCGAACAAGGAAATTAAGGACAAATTAGGACCGAGCTCACGTCTGCTGTAAAATTAGCCAACCACATAGAATCCCAATACACTAGAACGATGCAAAAACCATGCGTGTGGCTTTGCGGCACATACTCGTACTATATACACCGACCTGCCACAGTCATGCAGTAGATGAAAAATCAAAAATCCCACATCGAACTGTACGGCAGTGAAAAGCATTATAATTAAATTGCAGCAACGAACGCATGATGGTGCGGTGGCAAACAGTTACCCTGTAGTTCGGCGGCAACTTGGAGAACATCGACCAACCAACAAATAGGTAACTATTCACCGACAAAAAGAAACGTCATTAAGGCGTAAGGTACCTATAGGACCTTTAATGTCTCTGATTGTGCAATAATATACATATGCACTTATTGCTTGTACATAATGGATCAAGAGTATATTACAGGCGGGAGTAAATGTGGCATAAGCGATATATATATATCCGTCTCTTATATTTATTTAAATATTTTGACGTATCGAATTAAAATTCAATTTAAAGTTTAAAAAATAAATGTTTCAAAGCGTGTACAGGGTTACAGGATTGATAAAGATACCGTCAATAATGTGGTATTCACGAATTTTGTATATCCTTCAAAAACGTTTCACTATATCATGGAACAGGTATCGACGCAAGAATCAATCTAATTCCTTTATCATAGAATTTGTTTTAGTCATACAACACAATTTTGAATTTTGTTTGGCATTAATTCCATTGTATAATCTGATTAATTAATTTTAATTTCAATGTATTATCTGAGTTTATACAGCTTCATATTCACGGCAAACAAATATCGAGAGATATCCAGATATAATTTACGTAATCAGAATACCGTTCGTACATATATACGCATAAAACGTATAACACAAGCCTCCTTTCGTTTTCAAATATTACTCATTGTGTATTTAATCGAAACATTACAATTATGTATTGGTGTTTTCGTCACTTTCTAGCTCGTCTTTCTCATCCAACCCTCTCTACTGACTAAAATAGTATTCGAATTTTTATCTTTTGAAGAAAACGAGTTCATCACAGATATACTTCAAGTGTTTTAATGATGTGTAAATAAATCATAAATACTAAGGTCACCCTTCAGATACGGTGATGAGGCAAACCAATTCGTGCCACCAGCATGTGGCATGACTTGATGTGACTTGTCGAACAACAGGGTATTGTCAGCTATGCCTCGAGGGCTGCTCTATATCCACACATACAAGCAAATGTACACATGAATATCTGGTCTGTCGGCTTTGTTCACGCGACCAGCTATTGCAAAATGGATGCAGGCATAAATGAATGCTGAAATCAGCATTCAGCTGGCAACGTTATCAGAGATGAGGGGACTGGTAAAGCGTTTGGCCTGTCTGTCGGTCGGTCGATCGGTCGGTCGGTTGGCAGCTCCTATAGATAGAGGCGCACGACAGGCAAAAGGTAAAACCTACAAACAATGCAAAAATGCTGTGGCAATAAATGACAGTAGCTAACAACAGCAACTACACCAACTGTAGATATACATAGCAACAATGACAATGCGTCGCGGCGTGCCAACGGTAAATGCAAAACAATATGCAAACGGAAATGGAGACAGAAACAAACAGCACAGCACAGCACTGCGCATCGCACCGCACTACAGAATGTGAAAAAAACTGTAGCATACCAACCGGCGCTGCCCCGCCAATTCATAAGCACAGTGAGGCGATTTGGCAAAGGATTTATATGTATTAACTAATGTGTACATATTAATTAAAAAATCGTCATTATATAAAACATATTGCCATCCCTATGAACATTTCTTTCTAGGAAATACAGAAAGATGAAGGATTAATGCGTGGCTTGTGGAATAAATAAATTATATTCATACGCCATGATACTATACCTACATTTCTAAGTATTTGTCAACTCGCATTTTAAAAAGATGTTTCGAAATTAACTGAATATAACATCTATATTAATACAACTTTCATCATTATATACCAAATCCTTATTAACATTTCTTTCTACGAAAAACAAAATGATGAAGAATTAATGCGTGGCCTGAGGAATAAATAAATTATATTCATACTACTATACCTACATTTCTAAATATTTGCCAGCTCTCATTTTAAAGGATATTTCAAAATATGAGAATATAACACCAGTATATAAATGACTAAAGGTATATATATGTTGATTTGTTAAATTATAACACGGAAAGGAAATTTATTTAATACATACATAGAAGACATGTTTATGTACAGTTTTACATTTACATCACGTGTCTATGCGTGTTTATATACGTGTATGTATGTAGCACAAAGTTGAACCACAGCAGCAACAACAACAACAGCTGCGGGCAGCGCTGCAAGCAGAGCATGGGCAGCGATTTTATTTATGGCTATAACTTTCTTCAGAATTGATCTATCATGATGAAACTTGGCATACATACACATAGTTACAAAATTTCGAAATTCCAAGAAAAACGGGAGTTATGGAAAAAACACGAATTGCGGGGGAGTGGGGGGTGTCAGAATAAAAAAATAAACTTGACCTGCCTAGGGCTTAGGGGAACCTGGATACCAAGTTTGGTTATTCTAGCTCTTGTACCTTCTCAGACCCTTGCGCTCATACAGACGGACGGACGGACGGACATGGCTATATCGACTCGGCTTGTCGAATTGAAGACAACACTTTTGGAAGACAAGAGTTTTCTTATTTCGTAGGTCAGCTACATATTTACATTCGGATTGTTCCATCGAAAACAAGGAATTTGCTCAACAATCTACGAGTATTTATCCACATAAGCACACAGTGCCACACTGTTGCCTTCATATGCACACATGACACGGACATGGACATGCTCACAAGCACGTACACGTATGTACTCGTATGTGTATGGATGTGAGTAGATGTATGTGTGCTCGGGTGCTTTTAAATATGCAAATGACAGAAGAAAGCAGCAATAAATGTTGTTATAAATACGAATGGCACTGCGGAATTGTGCCGCACTAATAGAAATTGAACAAACACTCACCGGAAGTAAACACCGGGCGTGCGTTGATCCAAATCCGATGGATATATGCGACCCACACGGCACTTCGAAAAGAAGATACCCATGAATGAGGGGTCATTCTTCTGTGGCCAGTCCTTGATGGGGAAAACCAAGGGATATGTCAAGTATTCTGGTGGATCGGAGAACTCCAAATACCCGTTCAGTGAGAGCTGCAAATACAAATGATGTGTTCATTATTATTTACCATTCGGCATCAATTGATGATGGGAAATGCAGCCTACCCTTGTGTAATTAAAACGAAAGCCGTAGAAAGGCAGCTGAAAGTTTAGATTTTTGTGCAGTTGCGTCATTGAGGCGTGTATGTCAAACTGATAGTCACCGCGGCCGCCGTACGTGTCCTTGTCGAAGAACCAGTAAAGGAAATTGCTGCGCAACTCGGCCAAGCGTTGTGTGGTGATGGTATATCCTCCAGCTGCCGTGGAGATTGTGTTCGGTGGTGCCACATTATTGTTGGGATCTGCAAGAGGAGGAGGAAGCATGAATAAGAGCTGCTAAGCGCAGGGCCAGGTCACAGTGAGTACGTAATTATAATTTCACATTTCAACACCTAATCCACAGAGATTACGTTTTCAATTTTGCAAAGAGGCGTCGCATGCAAAGGCAACGACTCGACCGGAGACATTCTGCAACTAGTAGTGCAACAACCACCTCCACTACCTATCTATGCCTCTGCATCCTTGCCGCATTTCAATTTGGCTTAGTCACTGCATTTAGGGGGCCGCATTGCAAAGACGTTGCCCAACAACTACACGCACATAAATTGAGGCAACTTGAAACTTTGCAACGGTGCCACTGCCACTGCCCCTGCAACCTTCTTACAATCTTCGCCAACTTTGCAGCATAAATATTGCCAACCCCCCTCCCTGCCTGCCTGCCAGCCTTCTCACCTTTTCTCGCTCTCTGCTACTTTCTGGTACGGCATGCCTTGGCTTGGCTTGGCATGGTCTGTCTTCATTTTTTTTTTTTTGTACTGCCGCTTGTTGGTTTTACTGCTCGCCAGCATCCGCCGGTGCTGACTCGCTTACAACTTTGCCTCGTGCCTTCCTGTGCACTTAGCCATTAAAGGTCACAGTTAATATTCATTTCAGTTTTACCAACTTGGCTGCTACAAGTTCTGGCGTGTTATTTTTATTTTAGCCATTTTCCTAATATCTTTTTAGCTGCCGTCGCTGCCAGTTTTTGCTGTTGCTGCTGTCGTAGCGACGCCTTAAAGCCAACACGCAAGGTAATTAAGCGCTGCCCACTAAGCATTTTAAACATTTCTTCCTCCGACTGCTGACTTCAATTATGAACGCTGCATTTAAGCTGTGGTCCACATACAAAGCGATTGTCGACAGCAGCAGCGCTGCCTCTTTAATAAATGGCCTTTCATTGTGTCCATAATGCACAGCCCTTTTATAAATTGCATTCGCGATGCTTTGACAAATGCCAGTTAATGGCCATTGACAGGCAAGTGCTGGCGGCCAATCTTGTGAAATAATCTGCATAATCCCGGCAGCAATTAACGCGTCATTTGCAATTAAGGCAACTCCTTTTTACCCATTCATGAAGAGCATTTTCAATATAATAATTTGTAATTAAAAAACTTGTCAAAGAATTCAAATGAACGGAACTCTGATAGCATGGACATAAATAAATAATGAATAAATAAAAGTATGAATTGGTAGCAGACAGGTGAGAGATACGAACTAACTAACTTACTATCCAACTACCACAAAAAAGTCCTTAACTTGTCTGTAAACTGTTGTCTTAAAAGAAACAATAGAAGCTTTAGGCCTTCAAATAACAAAGAAAAATCATCATAAGTAGTAGACCCCCTTTGCATGAATGCAGAGATTTGTATTTACTATGTCTGGCTATTTAACTGATACTTCAATTATTTCGCTGATTGATTAAGCAACCAATGCGATTTTCTTGTAATTCGAAATATTGTGTTTCAGATGACGAAAAAAAAGAAACGTTTTTTCAATATCGAATCATGAGATTACACACCAGTCGGTACAAAAAGCGCGTAGGAACCAGCCAATTCCCAGATGATTGCCTCATCAGCAGTCTCAAAAGAATACAACCGGCAGATTTATTAGATTAGGCTACTAATATTATTATTATATTATTATTAAATCAACTTCAAAAGTTATGGCATGCCGATTCAGAACAAAATACAATTTAAAACAATCATTAGCTTAACACTATTCAAGTATCTCAAATAATCCAGCCGTGTCCTACATAAACAAGTGCTATCGTTTCTTGCCTGAAACTAATATTTAAATCGTTTTCTATATTGCTCTTTAATTATATAAACTATGCAACATTTATTTACTTTATATGCAAAATAGAATATTTTCAAACGTTGCTTTCTTCCTATAGTTTAACGAAAAACAAGCACACTTCACAAACGTGCTGCAAATCGCCGCTAAGGAGAAAAGAGGTCATAAATATTGTCACATTCTTTAAGCTGCTATATTCGAGTGATTTTGTTGTTCAGCCAATGTGAGCCGAAGATGCTTGGTAGTTATCCAGCATCCAGTGATTAACTGGCTGTACTTAATATGGCTAGCATTCCTTAAATTCCAGACACATGCCATAAAACATATTAGACATATGCGCACCAGCATTTCCACTTTTTTTGCAATAAAACGCACAGCTGACGCGCAATGGATCAGTTTATAATCTATTTATGAATCAATGCAGCGGCAGGCCCATAAATTTTCTTACACCCAGGCCTGGCCGCATGCTAATCCTTTTGTCGCATTCGCCCACATACCTGAACAATCATTGGTATGCCGTCATAAAATGTGCATTACAATTGAATTATTGAAAATTGGGCATTCGAGCACAAAGCGAGCGGATTAGTGTGACAAGCATTTGGCCGATTTATGACCTGACCGCTAACAGAAATTGGTGCGCGATCTGCGAGGGGAAAATACGCAAAATGCGCGTGCTGTTTTGGAATTCGGTAGAAATTCGGGGAATATTCTTTATATTTGATTTTAGTTCGAACTTTTTAAAAATTCTCAGAACTTAAAGAATTTCAAAGTCAAGTCCCTCCACATGATGTATTGGAAGTCTCAAAGGCGTCAAGGTAGCTGCTCTGACAACCACAACATAATTGAAACTCTTGAAGTCGGCTTCTTTTTCCTTTTTTTATTTGTACTACCTGCCTCAAATCTGAGCAGCTGTTCATAGCCGGCGGACAGGTAGGCCGACCTCTGCTCTATAAATACGATGGACAAACAAAGCGAACTCAACAGTTGTTTAACAGCCGTTGAAGAAAGTACATATCTCGCCATCATGAGCATCAGCACGTACAACTTTCAATTCTACAATTACAAAATGCCCGCCTCTTCAAACGCATTCCTCAATGAACTGGAAATGGACATTGACGATGAGATGCCTCCAGTAACATCAACGCCATTGCCAAGCAACAAACAACGCTTCACCAGCGAGTTGGCTGTGGCACTCAATGCCCCCGAAACACCCAAAGGCATTCTGCCAGCGTTTCAATCCGAAGTTACTGCAACGCCTTCGGCCACAGCTCTGCCGGAGCTGCGACCCAAGCTGCATGCAGCACAGAAACGTTGGTCCATGGAACTGCGAGAGAAGGTGCTGGAGATGTCCAAACGCAACAATGGCTCCGATGAGGATGAGAAACCACAGCCGACACCTGTCCAAAACCTGCAAAGTCGATTCATGCAGAACATGCCAGCGCCAATAGCAACAACCACCACCACCACCGCCAATAACAACAGCAGCCACTCAAGCACAACACTTAATGCCACCTACATAGCCGCCGAGGCTGTCACAGAAGCTGCCACAGAAGCTGTCACCGATAGCCGTAGCGTCAGCGATAAAATCAATTTCTTCAACAAACTGACCAACACATATGAGTCCACAGCGACACGCAACAACCACAACAACAACAAGTTCATATCGTTACTCCGCTCCAGCAAGCATACTGGCACGGCAACCACCCAAGTCCCGCCACCGAAACCAAAGCGCTTGAGCGCCACTTTGCCATTGACAGCGACTCCAATGGCAGCTCCAGCAACCACACAGTATTGTTTTGCGACGCCCATGGCCAAGCCGCCGTCTGGCAGTTCGCTCCCGAGAAAGAACTCCTCAAGTACATCGCTCCGTCGCAAGCCCTCGATGGACAAGTCGCGGGCAACGATAGCCCGACAAAACTCGAATGTGACAGTGCGTCCGCAACGGCACACCATGATGGAGGACCTCAGCCTGGTGGTGCCCGTCCGACTGCGTATTGCTGAATACGAACAGCGCATCTCAATGAGTGGATGACTTTATTTTACAGAGAACCCCATAGGTCTGCCTAGTCTAGTGCAAATTCTTGTCCCAAAACATACTAATTGTAGTTTCGTTAAACACCCCTTATAATATAAGAAATAAAGTTGAAAATGTAAAAACTAAACATCAAGCCCAATTCGGAGTTTCTACAAAGCAAATATTGCAGTGAGGCTTCCAGATTTTGAACCAAAACGGAGTGATCCGTCATCGTGTGGTTGATTGATTTAGTTTCAATGATGGTCATAATTTGTCGGACTGGCATTCAAATTTTCCTTCAGTGGGTTGGAGATTTCCCTCTTTCTCTTTCTGCTCATTAGATCTTCTAATTAGCTCTCAAGTGGAATTAAATTAACTATTTGTTTTAGTTTGCTAAGTCTATAATGTCTCTGATCACAAATAAAATTCGGAGTTGAAGGCATTAATAGACATTATGTATAGTTATTTTTGAGGCTTTCTTATTTTTTACGTTAAATGTATAACATAATATTATTATATATCTTTATTGTAATGTTATATAAAACATTTTATAATAATCTGTATCGACAGCCAAAATTGTTGAATGTTTAAATACAAAAAAATAGAAACTATACGTCAAATAGTAAGTAAGAACATTTGCTTCCCTTTCATCTGATCGAGTAAAATTTTCAAATTAAGGAAACCATCAAATAAATTGATTTACATTCCTGACAAATGACGTGAGCCACGAGAATGTTATGAGTCAGCAGAGAGGTAGAAGGCGAAGGATGGAAGAGCGAGTACAATATCTAACCATTCATATATTTGTTATCACATTATTATATTTTCTGAATTATATGAAATGAAGAGAGAAAGACTGATAACTAGCCGTTCAGGGGCCACTCTTTAAACAACTGTAATTCCATACCTATTCCGAGAATTGAACTACGTGCCATGCATCATCAGCCACTTATATCAGATATGGGTTTATTGTCAATTGAGTCCAACCATATTTTATATAGTATGGAAAACGCCCAGGGCTTCAGTGCTTTAGTTGTTTTATAAGGTTGTAAACAAATAAGTGAAATAAAGGCTACTTTAGGGTCGATAGTTCATAGACAATAAAACAGTATTCCCATTCAAATGTACATAAACATATGTGTACTCGTATATATTCTCTGATATTTAGGTACATGCAATAGAATAACTCATAGGTGCGCGAATTGCGAGTTGACTCAACGGTCCAACCATTGAGCTATGAAAACAATTGCACCTCTTTCTAGCTGGCTGATACAAAAAAAAAAAAAACAAAAAAACAACAACACAAAGCCACCCATATTTTGCTCTGCAAACCTGTTCGATTTTAATACCGCAGCTTTTATCTTATCAATCCACGGTACCCTACACCTCTGTCGCTGGTCGCTGCAACACGCACCTGCTTGAGTCGCCAAAAGTCGAACAAGTTATCAAGTAAATATTGGTAAGCGAGTAAACTAAAAACACTGCGATAAGATATGCGAGCGTACCAAGCGGCGTATGAGTAATGGTTATATTGTTGAACTGAATCAGCGACTAGCTAACGGTACTATGCTTGTAGACCCACCCGCAACCCCGCCCTCACCCTGAAACTTACCCCAATTGTAGCCACTGCTATCCAAATCGTAGAGCTCGCCAAGGTAGGCCCCGGGCATGATCAGGGCCCCAGATTTAGACTGAGGACTGAGACCGGCCACTGTGAGTATATCGTCTTTGCCGCGCAGATCGACGGGCATCAATTTATTGGAAGCCACCTTGGCCTGGGCGCTCAGCTTGACGGGCGCCTTTGCGGTGGTGGGCGCCGTCGCTGTCGTCTTTGCAGCCTCTGGCTTTTTGGTGGGCTTGGGTGTGGTTTTTTGTGTCGTCGCTGCCGCCTTTTTGGTTGCCAGTTCTGGCTCCTCAATTATTTCCACATATTCGGATATTTTTTTCTGCGGTTTATTGATAATCTTGTCTTCCAGCTCTGTGGAAACATTCTCGTTGGCTATGACATAGGCCATGAAGCCACAGGCCAAAAGGCAGGCCAAAAACAATTTGAAACGCATTTCGAAGTGTGTTTGTGTGTGTGTGTGCTTGTCACTCTGGGAGTGAGTTTAGTTAACTCTTAACTTAATTCGATTTTGTAGTTCGTTCGTTTTATCGTTTCGATAGTTTTTTGCGGCGCACTGAAAAATTAACACAAAGAAAAACTTTATTATACTCGAACCGTTACATAAGCAGAGCCAGTTTTCACTATATTTTTCACAAAATTTTCATTTGATGACATCATCAATAAGGGTTAACTAGGCTAGTTAGGCTTACGCTTATCAGCGCAACGGCCTTATCAATTAACACTTGCTCTTTGTTTCAAGATTTCTGTCAATTCCCTTTGCACTTTACCAATTCCGATGATATTCTAGCAGGCAGAAAACACGTTCAATGCAGCGCCACGATCACTTTTAGACTGAAGTTGGGGCGTTGCCAAAACTTGGCCGTTAGTTCACCTGTCGTTGTCATCGCGATTGTGAAACGTCCACGGTTCTCGCTTATCTTATCAGTATGCTCATGGACTGATAACACACATTCTTTCTTTCCTTCACGATTCCTCCATATTCCAGCATGTTTTTGGCGCTGTACTCGTACATATACAAGTATGTATGCTCTGGTCTCGGCATGTTGTGCAAGTTGCTTGTTTCCAAATCGGTCTGTTGTTGTTTTTGTTGTTTGCTCAATGCTTTTCGTTACCCGTTCGTACCATTATCTATGGCTCTGCTATTGACTTTTAGCCACATTACATTTTGTGATTCACTTATCATTACACTTAATCACCATTCGTGTCCGCTATGACGCGACCATTTCTTCGTGAATCTGTGATGGGGCGGTGGAGGTGGGGGAGGAGTTGATTTTTCAAATCAACTTCTTAACTCGCTATAATAATAAACAATGAGCAATTATGTGAGCCAAAGTCGGCATTTCCGCTGCAGTTTTATGAATGAGACGGTAGTAAGCCATTTTATTTTCGATTTCGACAGGCTATGAAACGGTCAACAATTAGTACATTTATAGTTGCGATTGAGGCGTCTTGTTACTTTCAGAATGTATGTGTCATTGCAAAAGAAATATTGGCTGAAAATATAAAAGGCTACTTGAAAAGACGCCATGGCACATTTATAAAAACTTGCAATATGTGCTCTTGGCTGAGATTTCCTTTTGTTTTTCACGAATGCTAAGAAGAGTAACAGCTGCATGCATTTAAAATAGCTGTACAGACTTTAGAAATGTGGAAATGTTTGGAATATGCTTAGGCTGGGGAGGGAATTCAACAAAACAATACTTTCTCTGACTTCACGAAAACAATAAAATGTGTAAAAACTCTAGCAAACAGAAGTAAGGTTTTCAAGTAAAAGCAGTCTGTTTGCGTTTCTGATATCATTTTTTACGGCCTTTAACACAAATTTTCAGGTCCTGTTTCTTGTCTTTACTTCAGAGAGCCGGATGTTATTTGACAATAAAGTAAATAATAATATACATATTATTATTTATTAGAGAAATAGTACAAATAATTGTCTGATATATACAATAAACATATTAAATACATAGCTGCTAGTCGATGGTCAATGCAACTTATGTATAATTATAACTAATTGTACAGCTTGCTGGTGTATAAATCGATGAATTACATTAACGTTTGTGATAGTCGGTTTGCAGGAGATTTATTTTTAAAAACGCAATACAGGGCACTATTGTTTTGTGTGTGGGTTGTGCGTTATTGCAGCTACAGAGGATGGAGTGGAGCCGACCAATAGATACTCGTCATATATTTTTTTCTTTGCGATGCAAAGACGCACAAATGCTTTGTAAAGTCCCATGGAGTTTTAATAATATTTATTTATTTATTAAATTTGGTAATCTCTCTCCTATCGTTACAAGTATAAGGTTATTTTTTAACCGACTTCAAAAAAAGGAGGGGATTATTAATTTGTCTGTATTTTTTTTGTGTTTTCTACCTCAGCACCAATGGCATCCATGAGAAAACCACCTTACACATACCTTATTTAGTCCAAATAGCTGAAAATTCTATTCCTGAACAAGATGCTGTTACTTAATAAACAAAGCATTCCCTAGATCTGCAGTCGGTTTTTATTTTGTTAAAATTTTACTTTTAAGTTAGTACGCAAGTCATTAAAAATTAACAATGCATATTATCTAATGCTAACTAAATACCACCTAATTCTGTTTTATACTGTCTTTTTTACGGTTTTGATTTAACACGGTTTGAAAATTAAAAATTTTATATATGGTTACACTACTTTATTCCATTTAGCACGATTTAAAATAACACTAAATAAATAAATAAAAACACAGAGCTGACAAACAGCTGAAAACCATTCTTATATGGGTCGGTTTGCACATTACTTGTATATATGTGGCTTAATAAAATAAACATAAATCGTTATTTTTTCACAGATTTTAATGGGCTTAAGCTCACATATTTTTGCAATGTATTTTTTACACGGTTTTTCTGGAACCAATCCACCGTGTACAGACAGATTTAGGTGTACATTTCAGTTGTAATTTGTGTAGCGGCGCTGGAATGTTTTCCATTTTTCTAGTAAATGTAACACAATCAGAATGTTTAATTTTTGTTTATAATCCACTCATTTGATTGTCACTTACTCTTCACGAACACATGAATGAATTCTTAACACGTTGCTCCTAAAAGTATGCTATAAGAAATATCAGAGATCTTTAAGAGCGTGTGCGATCTTCTGCCACTCAGTTGCTTATCAGCTTGCCATGCCTAGAACTGTGGAGAGGGTCAAATTCTAAATGAAAACAAAAAATACACTCAGTTGCAGCTCAATCTCGAACGAGTGCGTACGCGAATCGAAGTAGCGGCATCATATAGAATTTGTTATTATTATTATTTGATAAACCATTTACTAATTGTGCAGGAAAATGCAGCGTCAATTCGTGCAGTCGAAAAGAAAACTCGCGCATTTTCTTAGCACTCGACCACGCCCATGTCCCCATCGAAGCTATCATAGTGAAGAGGGCGTCTGGGGCTTTCGACCGGCAGCTAAGCGCGTCTATACAGGTAGGCGACTATGTACATTTAAAGGAAAAGTGTAAATCTTATATGTATGCTATAAACACGTACATTTACTTGTTTAAACGCTAATCTGGTTGCTGTGCTGCCAAGACTTCAATCGTAAAATTTCATCCGTTAAGATAGCAATCGCTCTTGATAAAAGCCAACGACTTCTAAAGTGCGTGTGTGTGTGCGTTGGAGTGGAATAGTTCCACTCACAACAAAAGAGAGAGCAAAAACAAACGATATGAGCACAGCAAACAAACAAACCAACAAACCGGTGAACTGAAGTGATCAAACAAGTGTCATGTTAAATGGGCTCCATAATGGACTGCAAACATTGCGCACTTCTCTCTGAGCGCCCTTCCGTAAACCACCGCGTCCGCGTCCGCGTCCACGTCCACGTCACTACTGAGCCAGCATCAACAAATGATCAAAGCCAATTGAAGCAAACTCGTGGCCATCTTCAGCTGCACTTGTGGACATACCTGGATGGACGAGTGTGTCTGCACTTCTAACGTGTTTGAGTTCAACTTCTGCAACTCAGCGCACACGAGTTGCTGTTTTTTCTTTTACCCAAACTATTTAAAATGTTAAAGAATAGTTAAATCTAATCCATTCTAAAAAAATGCTTTTTAGTGCTTGCAACACCTAGATTTGGCAAAGGTTTTTTTGGGTAAAGGGTATTTCACATTCAATATAACTTGAGTGAATTATTATCTCTTGATTCTCTGTTGCCAGCTGATGGAACACTTTTTCTTTGGAGTGTTTTTTTGCTAATCTGCTGTTTATTGTATATGTTCTTATCATATCTGGGAGGCGTTTAAATTACGTCAATGTTGTGTGTGAGCCAAGCGACCCCCAGCGTTGGCTAAATTGATGTTTTTGTTCCAAATGAATATTTTTGGTTTTGGGGTAAATTCAAAAGCAATTAGACAAGTGTGCAACAAGCCGATGCACGCACAGAAACGCACACACACACACACACACACACACACACACACATCCAACACACAACAGCACTAATTAAAATGAAACCAGGCCACAATGGCTCCGCAACTGAGAAGGCATCCAATTCAGGTGTTGTTGAAAGCACACACTGAGCTGCCACACATATTGTGGGCGTACAATAGCAACGTTTGCAGTGGCAGACACACAACAACAACAACAACAACAAATACCACAGAGGTAACAGCTCAAATTAAAGTGCAACAGACAAAAGCTTCACATACAAGGGGCAACAGTGAACAGGAGCGCTTATCACACAACTGGACACACCATTGGCCAACAATCTTATTAACCAGTGGTCCCACAGATTTAGTCACACACACTCAGACAGACCCCACATCCCTTAGCCCCAAACCATTTCATCAGCCTTTGCGTGATGGCTGAATGAGTTCGCTTGTCTTTGAGGCCTTTTAGTGCGTTTTCGCCTTTGGGCTGCTGTTGAATGAATTTTGGATCGCCAGCAGCATCGGCTTTTACGTCTTACAGTATTAACTACTCCTACATGCTTGTTTGTGTGTGTGTAATGGACGAGTGGGTGCCTCGATTGCGGACTAGTCTTTAATTCACTTAACAATCAAGTTGGTAGGAGCTACAAGTACTTAGTGAAGCAGCACAATCTAAAATTTAACTGACTTCTTAATAAAACTCAGGGTTGACAAAAACTAAACGCTGTTATTTATTTATAAATCTTTATTCTTTATTTAAGTTCTGTCCTAAGGAGGACAATTGTTAAATTTTATGGTAGCATAGGATTCGTTTAATCATGCGTTCTGTCATGATGGTTGTGACGGGTGCTAATGTTTTAATACAAAAAAGTAAATATTTTAATTAAATTCGAAACAATGCAAAGCAACTCTACCAATTGCGGAAACTGCAAAATATCACTAACATGGAAAACATATTGTCGTTAATGGACTATCTGGTAGTCTGGAATGCGACGCTATTTTTGTGCCGGAATCTATCTGGTTTTTTGCAGGTTTTGCTCGGTGAGGAGGGCGAACAGCTCATGATCCGGACACCACAGGCATTAACTGTTATTTAGAGCCAATAGGATTTTTTTGTTTTAGTAAACTATAAATTCTTGCTTACCACTGGGAAACAGCATCCGTAGTAATGTACAAAAAAAAAGAAACAGTTTTTGTTTAAAAACCAACTTTTTAACTTAAAATTAAAATCCGAAAATACTTTTTTTTAATACATTATTTGATTTATTTTTAAATTAAACTAAATTTAAATAATAATTGTCAAAAATTAACGAGCTATTTTACTATCTCGAAATCACTTTGGAATAAAAAGCGTTATCTTTAAATTGTGAACTTCCTTGAGCATTTCTAAATATTTAAAAATATGAAACAAAATTTTAAAAATACATGTTAAAATTCCAAAATGTACACAATTTCAAAAACTGGAAGAGCATTTTTTTTAAATATAAAACAAAATTTTTAAAATACTTGCTAAAATTCCAAAATGTATACGATTTTGAAAACTGGAAGAGCATTTTTTTGAATTACACACCAATATTTAATCCGACCTTCCATTGTTGAGAATCAATTACTGTGTTCCTGCCGAATTGTATTTACTAAGGAAATCCGATCATCACTCAAAACACAATTAGGGTTCCATTCAATCCAATTCCATCACCTTCCCGCCCCAATCTGCTTAAATTGGATATACCATACATCTTGTAAATATTTATGGACGTTGCTCATACATAACTGTCAATGGCAGCGTTATCCTTTGGCGATGACGCCGTCTCAATAATATTTGCGTACTTTCTAGTTAAAATGTTTTGTTAGCAACAAATATAATTCATCATTCATGAATGAAGTACTTCCGTTTAGGCTGTCAGTCCCTTTTTCAATTTTTACACTTGAATATATAAGTATGTAGACAACATTATTTATGTGATAATTTCGCTAAAACGTATTTACAGAATGGCGTTTTTATAAGATTGCAAGTAAATAGAAAGAGCAAAAACAATAAAGTTACTCCACAGCTTACTAAGTTCGTTAAGTTAAACACAGAATGTGCACACTTTTGTCGCCTAGTGTAGCTGTTGCTGTCCCTGTTTGTGACATCTTTTGAGCGATGGCCATGAACTCACCAAGTCTGCTGACCCCCGCAACACTGGCAAGGCATGAATATATTTTATATAAATTGATATATGAGCAAAAAGAAATTCAAGAAAAAATTGCATGCATTTGTAATGAAATTTAATTTTTAATGCAATGCTAAGTAGACGGGCGGCACAACGTGTGCATTTACACTCGTAGGAATATTAATGTAGTATTGATCGCATTTGCTGTCATGGCCGTGTAATCGCATAATCAAGTGAGCCGTCAGATCTAAGGATGCGCACGTAAAGCCTTTAAGCGGATAACACTTTAACGGTGTCAGCACATAAACACCTTATGCTGGGGTCCAAGTTGTCAATGGCGATATTGAAGGAGCAAGCAGCCAGCAACCGAAACCCCTATATACATGTGTATATATAAAATGAGACACAATAAAAGCGGCTGTAGCAATTTTTCATCATATATAGTACCATCCCCAGCCCCCACCCACAGACATTCGTTTATGAACAAATGGTAAGACAGTTTTAGGTTCGCCTTAGCAGAGGGCACATAAAAAATAAATACCATAAAAGGCCAATAAATTCTAAGGCCGCATTTGATATTGCGAACAATGTCGTAATGCATGGGAATCCTTTTTCTTTTTTTTTTAAATAATTTATAACACAACCTAAAATTTATATTGTTTACGCATGTGTGTGTCCGTTTGCAGTTACTGACGAGGTCCTTGAGTCGCGCAATTCACAGGCCAACGTCTATCGGTGGGTGCAAGCATTTCGCCAACATGGACACAAATTGGCAGCCGTAAATCCCATCAGCATCAAAGCGGCACCCAGTCAAAGGTAAAAAGACAGCAGACTGCTTGCGACCAGCGTTATCATATATTTTGTGTTGACTGATCCTCCATTTCCCCCACTTGTCCCTCTTGTCTCCACATCCTCCTCATCGCTCCGCTCTCATCTTCTGCTTTGTACGCATTGTCAACTCTCGGTGTCTGTATTTTGCTTTTTATTGCACGACCACATTTCCAGCGAGCTGCAGGAATTAAATCCCGCATTTTATGGACTCCAGACGCATGAGCCTGTGCGCATCACTGGCCTGTTAAATGTGCCCGCCTCATCTCCCACACACCCCATCCCCCAGAATGTGGAGCAGCTGGAGGCACTGCTCCATGGCATTTACTGTGGCAAAGCTGTCAGTGCCGAGTTCTCATACATTGAGGTAAGGCCATGGAGGGTAAACAAATGGTAACAGAGGTGTTCAAATTAAAGTTCTCCCGCTTATCCCACTGCCAGAATCTGGAGGAGCGCGAATGGCTGGCACTGCATTTCGAAGCCCTCGGCGAGCATCAGCTTAGCGCCGAGGCACGCTGTGAAATTGCTGAGCTGCTAATTAAGTCGCAGGCATGGGATAATTTCATGGCTCTCAAATTTCCGACTGTCAAACGGTATGGTGGCGAAGGAGCCGAAGCCATGATGGCCTTCTTTTGGCAGCTGCTCCGCGACAGTGTGCAAGGTGAGTGCTGCAGGGGCGTGGCCCTGGGGGGCCGAGGGGTTTGGATATGCGTGCAAGTTGAGGCGCCCGTGTAATGCGATTAGAACGACCCCCAAACTCAATACGAGCGTGCGGCTCGCGAACTTTTTCAACAGACAGCCTCTAAGTAATCTACACTTTTCCGCCGCACGTTGTGAGAACTTTAACAAAAGACCATGGGGCAGCTACTTGTTCTTACCACCTACTCATCTGCCCGTTCATCTTTCTGTCCCGAAAACTACTTTTCTCACAGTTTTGGCATTTTTCGCGTTGAAACTGTGCTCAAGGGTTCTTCAACAGCGATATACTTGTAAGTCAAAAATGCGTTAAAATTATAGATTAGAACAGCTCCAACCAACATGTAAATCAAAAGCTCCATTTAGTTTATTAATATGAAACTTTATTTCGGGATAATACAGACTTGATTTTAGCATTACTTTGATTAGAACTTGAATATCTCGTTAGGACAGCAACAATCTATTCCCATTTCTGCTACTTCCCTACTTTTCCAACAAGTTGTAGATTAATCCCATAGTGCTTTGGGACAGATCACATATCATGAGCCACCACGCTCTTGCTTATTTAATCCTAATCTGTTTTGCTTCAAAACTTTTCTGTCCCATAGCCGACCTATCGCACATCGTACTCGCAATGCCGCATCGGGGACGCACGGCCCTCCAGGCCGCAATGCTGAGCATGCGGCCGGCGAAAGTTTTCCGAAAACTGAGCGGCGCATCGGAATTCGCGGACGACATCGAGGCCATGTCGGACGTCATAAGCCACTTCCGTAAGTGCGACTAAACTTTCCCCGGCACACGCGGCATACTCGTATACGTAATTCAATCAAAGCATTTTCTTCGGTTTCGCAGATACTTCGGAGCAGCTGCACGTCCTTGGGAAAAGCATACAGTTCAGCATGGTGCGGAATTCTTCGCATCTGGAGGTAAGCTGTTCAAACTTCCGGAAACTGTATACGCATAAATCAAATTTTTGAAACGAGTTTCCTGCTCGCAGGCAGCCAATCCTGTGGCCATGGGCAAGACGCGCTCCAAGCAGCAACATTTGAAAGATGGCGCCTTTGGCAACCAGCTGTTTGGCCAGCACGTGCTTAATGTGATACTCCATGGTGATGCAGCGTTTGCCGGTCAGGGCATAAATCAGGAGTGCCTTAATATGGCCTATGTCCCGCACTTTGAGGTGGGTGGCACCTTGCATCTCATTGTCAACAATCAGGTTGGGTTTACGACGCCTGGCGAACGGGGTCGATCCACAGCCTATGCGTCGGACTTGGCCAAAGCCATACAGGCGCCCGTCATCCATGTCAATGGCGATGATCCGGAGGCACTGGCAGGTGCCACAAATTTGGCCTTCCGCTATCAACGCGAATTCCGAAAGGACGTTTTCATCGATCTAAACTGCTTTCGACGTTGGGGTCACAACGAGCTGGACGATCCAACATTTACCAATCCACTGCTCTATAAAATTGTAAATCAACGTACATCTGTGCCGGATTTATACGCGGCCTCGCTAGCCGAAGAAGGCGTGCTGAGTAAGGAGCGTGCAAAGGAGCTGCACGATGGATACATGGCCTATCTAGGCGAAGAGTTGTCCCTGGCTCCTACCTACCAGCCGCCACCATCATTCTTCGAACAGCAGTGGGCAGGACTCCAGCTGGCACCCGACAATGAACTGACGTATTGGGATACAGGTCTGGACTACAGTCTGCTGCACTATATTGGCCAGCAAAGCGTCGCCTTCGCGCCAAGCTTTGTGAGTATCCCACTACACAACCATCCTTCTTCATAAAGAAATGATCCTCTTTTTTGTCTTTCCATTTCTATTCGCTTGCATTGCAGAACATTCATCCGCACTTGTTGAAAACACACGTGACTGCACGCTTAAAAAAACTGGAGGCTGGCTCCAAAATCGATTGGTCCACTGCCGAGACACTGGCCATTGGAAGTCTCCTGTATCAGGGCCACAATGTGCGCATCAGTGGCGAGGATGTTGGTCGTGGCACTTTCTCCCATCGCCATGTCATGCTGGTGGATCAGAAGACAAACGAAATGTTCATACCTTTGAATAGTTTGGAGGGAGGTCTTGGCGGTCGCTTAGAAGTGGCGCACAGTATTCTGTCTGAGGAGGCAGTGTTAGGATTTGAATATGGCATGGCTGCTGATAATCCACACAACCTCATCATTTGGGAGGCACAATTCGGGGACTTTGCCAACGGCGCTCAAATTATAATTGATGCGTTTGTGGTCTCCGGCGAGAGTGAGTTGCATTTACAAGAACCACCTAGTCTATGTCAAAATTGGCTTACCCGCTCTACCACACAGCTAAATGGATGGAGTCGAACGGTTTAGTCATTCTGCTACCGCATGGCTACGATGGAGCCGCCTCTGAGCACAGCTCCTGCCGCATCGAACGCTTCCTGCAGCTATGCGACTCAAAGGAAACTGCACGCGATGGCGACAATGTCAACGTGCACATTGTTAATCCCACAACACCAGCTCAATATTATCATGTGCTGCGACGACAACTGGCGCGCAACTTCCGCAAGCCCCTGGTTGTGGTCGCACCCAAGACGCTGCTGCGTCTACCAGTTGCCACCTCCACCCACGAAGACTTTCAACCGGGCACATTCTTCCACAATGTTCTAGGTGCGCTACAAACATTAATACGTTTGTTTTCATCTCTTTTTTTTAAGTTCCTTTTTACTCCACTTGGAAGCTTAGGGCTTCTACAAGCGCTTTTCCATCGAACTCTATTTCTGGCCGTCTGAAGGGTGGTCCGTCACCAGGTTCATTTCTCCTTCAAATTGTGCTAGCCTGGATGGTCCCTTTGGAGTTCTCACGTTCCATTGTCCGATTCTTGTCCGTTTATGCGTATGGTCGTCATCGAAGTGGAGCCGTTTATTTCTCTTGTATCAGTTTCGGTAATCAGTGAATTGTCAATCGAACTGGTGATTGGCCAAATGCGACTTATCCCAGTGGTGGGGCTGCCACTTGTCGCCGCCGGGGAGAGGTGTCTTGGGTGGGTTACTGTTGGTGCTGTCCAGATAGCGTGGATGGATGTGTTTGGTGGTTATTAGAATGACCACGACGTTGAAGGGAGTTTGTCGAGAGGAAAAAGTTAGTTCGGGGGTCATGCTCTGGGGCTTGAACCCACGATCTCTTGTATCCCCTACGCCACCGAGGCCCCCATCATCTAACTAATGCAAAATATTCATCGTAGGTGACACTACTGTACAGCCAGAGCAGGTGCGCAAGGTCATCATCTGCAGCGGCAAACACTATTATAATCTGGCCGAGGAGCGGGCGAAGCGTGAGGTCCTAGACACTGCTATTATCCGTCTGGAATCCCTGTGTCCCTTCCCACAGCAGGAGCTCCAAGCACAGCTGGCGCAATACGCCAACGTACAGAGTAAGTTTTCGACTTGACCAACTCTCCTAGTAACCACTCCAAAACGCTATCCATGCAGCCTTCATCTGGAGCCAGGAGGAGCATCGCAACATGGGCGCCTGGTCTTTTGTGCGGCCACGTTTCGAAAATTTAATTGGAAAGCAGGTAAAATAGTTAAGCACTTACGCACACAAAACCAAAACATAGTTATTCGATACAGTCTTAGGATTCAATTGTACAATATCTGTAAGTTTTTAAAAGTATGTTTTTGTACACTGTAGGGTAAAAAGAATATATCAGGTTTGTACAAAGTATGTAACAGGCAGAAGAACGCATCTCCGACTCCATAAATCATATACATATATTCTAACTCAGCATGACCTACGCATGAACTAGACATGAACTAGACTGCCCATCCGTCTGTCTGGATGAACGCCTGGAATTCAAAAATGACTGACCGCACATAAACGAAACTTGTTTTGTAGATGCTCCTAGTCTCTAGGCAACACGAGTTTATTTTATTATTATTAATTTCCCCCCTATCCCCGCTACAGAATTTCTTCAATACTGACCACATTTTGAAAGCAAAGTAAACCAAACTTTACACACGTAATCTATACACAATTATCTATCTTTCGAATGTCTTTTTTCAAATCGGTCAAGTCTAAGAAGAGTTATTAGCTCGACTGTAGCGTTCTCTCTTGTATTTTATTGAAAAAGTCTCTTCAAGACCATACCACCTATCTAAAATGTATGTCACAAGCTCACATCATGCAACCTCCCACCCACAGATTCAGTACTGCGGTCGCGCCGAGGCCCCCACCCCCGCCACTGGTATTGGAAAAGTGCATAAACGAGAGGCTGATGAGGTTGTTGCTGCCCCATTTGAGCTTTAGTCCGCTCGATCGCTACACAACCGTCCGATCAACTACCTGCCCCGCTCGATGCATCGCTGGTCCCAAAAAAGGACCTACAAAAATCAACAGCTAATTACGGCGCATAGAAGCCACCTTATAGTTCTGTATATAGTGATTCGGGCTTCCAAAAGTTCCATACAATATACATACATATAGTGTGTATATATATGTACATATATGTGTATACATACGCGGATTCATATATGCAAAAGCTCAAAGTATAACCTATAGTTAATATTTATTATGTTTGTGAAACATTTTACAGACTTTCAATTCGGACCATTTAAGCAGCGAAGTGACTTAATTAACTAAATTAGTTGCAAATGGGTTAGGATTTAACTTGGTTGAACTTAAATGTTGAGATAGATACTCGTAATTGGTTAGAGAGATATTAAGGCGACTACGTGGTAAATATAAAAAGATTAAGTACAAATGCTTAGAGCATAAAGATATGAAAACGGCTAAGATACGAGTAATAGGGATAATTAGTCGAAAATAGTTTCCTCTTGGTATATAGTAATCCATCCAGTCATCTGCCAAAGTCGAAACTCTTTTCGGTAAATGTCCGCATAGTAAATATATAAACATGGAATGGGCGGTAGATACATATAAATGGCTTAAGTGAGGTACGGTGGGGTGAACTACATATAAGGCGTTGCCAAGGACTCTAAAAGATTAGTTGGAAATCACTAAAGAAAAACCGGGAAGCAAGTTGTTCGGTACGCTACAAGGTTTAAAATGGAACATCTAAAAACCGGGAAAGATTCAAAGTCTCATCACGCTTAAACTCTAGACGGCGTCAATCGGTACAAACACTAGGAAGCATTGTTTGCTGACCAACTTATATGACCGGCCGGCCGTAGACCTGCTCTAGAATTTTGTAAAAGTCGGTGGACGTCTTATATGCAAAGTACAGAAGTCACATCCAAAATATAAAAGCCAGGCACACGACCATGACCATAAGGACAGTCTCTCTGCAGGACGCGTTATCCCAGCCACATTCCAAATCAAATTTCAGTGCCTGCAAAGAATCGGCAGCAAAGAGTTGAAGATCCGCTATGACACAATATTTACGTAGATACCTACTTCCATAAGCTGCTGTCCGCCCTTATTATCACAACGCACCTCGCGCAGATCGTCGTCATGATCATCGCAATTGTGGCGTCCATACACCTGACAAGGCGAGTTCATAAACGTGCGGAAGACGGTGTCGGTCCAGGTTTGCGAAGAGCAGATGTACTGCCGGCGCTTGCGTTGCCAATACTCTACCCATCTATTTCAAGAGGAAGAAAATGGTATATTTGTTTTTTTTTAAATTATGAAAATATATATTGCTTCATTACCCCAAATCGCAGTCGCAATTCAAATCTGTGTGAGACATTTTGAGATCGGTGAGGAAGACGCTGTTGGGCAAATATGGCACGGAGCCTGTATTCGGATTTGGAATCTTCTTCAGATTTCGATTATTATAGCGAATGTCTAGTGAGATATTGCGCACACGTCCCATATTTTTGAAGAAGTTCGGCGGTAGCGCTTGCAGCGATGTATTGAACAATTGCATATATAAATAGGGGGAACGCATGCCCTGAAAAAATAGAAATTAATATAGAATGTAATATTAAGATATAATATTAAGATATTAATCGGTCCGAAGTCTATAAGTTGACTTCGTACAAATATGGAAAATGATTCCAAATACACCTACCCGCAGAATGCGCTCATTGAGATTGGTAAACTGTGGTCCACTGAATGTCAGATTGGTCAGTTTTGATGGTAAATGACCTTCCATCTCCCGTTGCAGATCCGTTGGCATGCCCAGCTGCAACGTTTGCATTTCCTGTGTTGGTCCCGAACCCTTCTTAACTATGCGAGTGAATGGCTGTGGGGCCTCAATCCATAGTTCTCGTATGTTGTGATGATGTCGCAGCAAATGGGGAATATTAAAGTGCTCCATATGAGAGTAGGCTGTTAGCTTGAGTGAGCGCAGATGGGGCAGTGAGTCGAGGCATCCATATTCGAAATAGTGCAGGCGGAAATTGGAAATGTCTAGCATTTCTAGATCCTCATTCACGCCATCGAAGCTGTTGTTGTTCAGGGATGTAATTGGATTTCCAGAAAGCATAAGTCGACTGCAAATTGAATATGATAATCACATCAAATACGAACTACTTGTATAAATTCCGTGTCTTACCGCAGATGTGGCAGCGATTGCGTCATTAGCGGCACATTTGTCAGATCGTTGTTGGAGAGATCAAGCATGCGTAGATTTGTCATGTTTGTGGCCAACTCTTGCGGTATGCTTGGCAACTCATTGTAACCCAAACGGAACTCCCGCAAATACTTCAGGCGTATCTCAGGCACAGTGCTAAGCGAAACATTTTCCAAGCCCAACTTAATCAACGAGTTCTCCAATCCCATAAACGATTTATCCATAACCTTGAGATCACGATTATGCGAAAGATCAAGCACGGCCAATTTCGACATGGTGGCGAACACGGCATCGTCAATACGAAGCAAGTAGTTGTAGGAGATGTCTAGATACCGCAGGGACTGTAGACCGGTAAAATAAATAAGATTTCCCCTTTCATTAAGAAAAGAGTATTGCATTTACCCGAAATTTGTTGGATAAATCCATGCTATGAATGGTTGATATAAAGTTATTGGACAGATGCAGTTCACAGAGAGTGAGGGCAGCCAAGCTCGACAGAGAAGACGAGGGTATCTTTAGTAGCATGTTATGGGAAACATCCAATCTGAAACAAATAAAGAAGTTCTGAGTAAGGATAGCAGCTTGAAAGATCCTCACTCACTTCTCCATGCCACCATTGTAGAAGAGATTGTCCGGCAGACCACGCAAATGATTGTGCGAAAAGTCCACGATCCGCAAAGACTGTATAGGCTTAAAGATGTCCTGAGGTATGTCGGTCAAGTAGTTGTGAGCAAAGTAGATTAGCTGCAGTTGCTTGGTATTCTTGAAAGCATCAAAGTCTAGTTCGTGTATCCAGTTGTAGCTCAAGTCAAGCCACTGAAGATGTGGCATATTGCCAAACACATCGCGGGTGGTATTCTGTTGATAAGTCATGGCTTTATAGAGCTGCTGAGTAAAACGGTCTAAAGCTACAAACCATTAATGAGTTATAGCCCAAATGCAAATGCGTCAGCGAGATCTCCGCAGGCCTAAAGTAGCCGGGATGTATGATCGTGATATTATTGTGCGACAGATCCAGAATTTTAATATTTGAATGGTAGACTCCACCTGAAAAAGGACGCATATAAAGCTAACCTTTTTAAATATAAAGTTGTTAATAATTTACTACTCACCATGCTCGTTGCGACCACTCCACGAGGAGTTGTACATGAGCTGTCTGATCTGGTTGTGACTCACGTTGACATTCAAGTTGGAAAGCGTGCCAACCTGATCGAAGTAGTCGAAGTTGAAGTTGGGCAAATTATTAAAGGCCATATCAAGTATTTCCAGCTTGGGCAGATTCTGAAAAGACTCCTCCGCCAAATTGCTCATCTTGTTTCCGCGCAAACTCAAATATTCCAGCTCATCCAAATTCATGAACGCCCTACGTTCCACCTTGTCAATTTTGTTATCATCCAGCTGTAGCTTGCGCAACGCTTCCAAATCGAAGAAAGTGTGTTGTGAGACCTGCGTCATTTGATTGAAACGCAATGAAATCTCTTCCAGCTTAGAATGTATATCTCCCTGGAATGTGCCCTTAAGCACCTGCTCAATACGGTTGTCATGCAGCTCCAATAGACGCAGATTCTTCAGAAAATGGAAGCTAGTATCGCTCATCGTGCTAATGTGATTGTTGCTAAAGTCCAGCTCCTGCAGCGATGTCAGATGACGCAGTGCCTCGGCAGGAAGAGCGCTGCCTGAATAGCCGTGCGACATTTTTAACGAGATAAGCGAGTGACCGATCTGCAAGCGGAAATAAATCTGTGTTGGGGCAGGTTTATACCTATGTATACAATCCTACCTCATGGAATGCATCATTTTCAATATTAGAGATGCCGTTCTCACTAAAATCGAGCCGCTTCAAGCCACGCACATGCTTGAAGGCGTGCGATTGGATGCCCGAGAGGCCAGCTCGCGTTATTTGTAAGTCCTCCAGCTCCACACCAAAGTCCTTGAAGTCCTCGGGCCCCACTGATGCGGAGCCCATTCGGGAGATCGAGAGTGAGCGCATGTTCCGCATTCTGGTCATACTTTTTGCAAATAAATACAAAACGGTTTGCAAGGGTAAGGAGGGGTGCAGGGAGAGCGGATGTGCGTGCAGGTAACTTACTTGCGTAACGTCTGCAAATTAGTCGGATCATTGCGATCCCCGCTAAGATCCAGCTTGAGAAGTGTGTAGTGCATAGCATTGAAGGTTTCGGTGGGCTTCTGGATTTTGATTTTATTGTCCCGCATGCTGATGACCCTGCACAGGTGGGGGTGGACAAGAATGAATGAATGCATGAATGCTAATTTCTCTTGGGGCTTTTTTCTTGTTCTCTTTCTTTCCGTTTCACGAAAGGAGGTCACACACCTAACCCACATGTATGTTTATATCTTCATACATATAGTATATACATACATATGTATATACATACTTATATGCAGAGAAGCCGTACAGTGTCGTGCATGTGCGGGAAGGGAGGGCGATGACAATCGCATTACGGGAGGGTTGAGCGCCAACTCACCTCAATACATCGAAATTATTGAAGAGCTTGTGATGCAGTTTGGTCAAATTGTTGCCGGACAGATCCAAAATCTGCAAACTATTGACCAGGCTGTCGAAGGCTACAGGTGATATGTTGGTCAGGCCGCAGTAGCGCATATAAATTTCACGTATGCGAGCCGGCTTGAAAGCATCTTCCTATGGATTGATTTGAATAATAATTAATGGGTTAGAGGGCTCGAGGATTCGAGGATTCGAGGATTCGGCTTTCCCTCACCTTCAATGTATGTATGGGGTTGCCATCAAAGAATGTGCGATTTACAACATCAAAGTACTTGAAAGAATTTGGGGGCAGCATATCAATATGATTATACTCCAAATGCAAGTTGTCCAGATTCAGTTTTGTATTGGCCTTAATGTCGTAGGTCTCGTTGCCACTCAGCGACCAGATTACGTTATGTGAAATGTCCAGGGTGCGCAGACTTTTAAGCGGTCCCAGTGCATCGTACGGTATTTCCGATAGAATGTTGTCCGTGAGCAAAAGGCGCGTCAGACGAGGCATGCCATCGACAAAGACAGTGGGATCAATCTCAAATAAATTATTTCCACTGAGATCCAATGTCTCTAGAATAAGTAGGCCAGAGAAACTATGCGACTGCAGCATTGAGATGCAGTTCTCACGCAAGATCAGCGTCTGCAGCGAGTCCTCCAGGCCGCGAAACGAATCATGCTGTATGTGCGTTATGTGATTATATCCGAGATCCAAATGGCGAAGCTTTTGCAAGTGGCGTAACGACTTTGAGGGTATCTCGACCAGATCATTTTGCGGCAGTATGAGCTCCCAGAGTGACCGCTCCAAGCCAGTAAAGGCATCATCGGGTATTTCGGTCATGTGATTGCCGGATATCTTTAGACGGTACATCCCCGTCGATTGCAAAAAGTATGGTTCGATCTCTCGCAGGCCAGTATTCTCCATATGCAGCATGAAAACCTATCCCGCATTCATCCAAACAATGCAATTTCAAATATATAATGCGAAAAACTTCCTACTAACCTTAGACTGATTAACCATGCGCGGCAGTGCAGGGAATGGCACATTTTTGCAATGCACTATGCCCAAATCGGTCGAAGACTTGGAGCATGTGCACATCACATTATAGGTACAGGGCGGATAGCGCGTCTCTTCCATCTCACGACTGAACATCGAAGCCCGTGCCAAGGACATCCAGATCATGATAATGAGCGTAATAGTCAGAAAGGCATAGCCAAATTTGAAGAAAAACTCGAGGCCCTGACGAAGGCAAAATATGGATAATAAAAAGGCATGCGGTCTTATGAAAAAACATCCATCTAACGTATTAAAGACCTTTCCCCCAAGTTCGTTGACATACTTATATAAATAAGAGTTCATATATTTTTTAAAAATATTCGCTATCCCACATCTTGAAATGCCCATTTGACAAATTCACACTAAATTATTGAATACATACATATGTATATATTTTCCAGTATTAAAATATCGAGTATCTCGGTAACTCTCGGAACTAGTAAGGCGTAGGCCAGTGATACGGCGTTTACTTGCAGCAGGCTGATTAGTTCAATAGCCGGCATCCTTACAAACTTTCGCACTGTTCACTTTTAGGGCTGCCTATGCTATGTCTGGCTTGCTTACAGATTTTTGTCTTGCCACTCAAGCATATCGAATGTCCTTGATATTAAATCTACGCTACAATCCATATGCACTGAATTTTAAAGTGCTCATCTCGAGCCATACACACCATTTTGTTAATTGGATTAAGCCCAGACACACACGATAATTGGCATTTAGTACAAACTCGGCTTAGTATTATTCAATTTAAGGCAGATTTTGGACACTTTGCATGAGCAGCGCACTTTTTTCTTTCTCAGTCCTTTCCACAGGACACGCGTCGCTTTGACGGGCCTAACTTTAGCACACCAGCCAATTATCCAGCTCTGGTTTCCAAATGGCAAAAGGCGCCGTCACGTCCGTAGTGCAGCGCGTTCAAAGCACGTCTGAGACTTGAAAATCAATCGGGGCGAGCTATACAAGACAACTGTCGACTGGCTGCTCGTCGCACTAATTGGATTGTAACATATCTGACCCGTCCACGGATATTGGCGGTTGCTGTTGCTGTTTTTGTTTCTGTTACCAAGCTTGTTCCGACTTCCACTTGGCAATTGGCACACGACTTTGTCAATTTGCTGCAATTGCTACACACTTGGTTAAAATCCGAGCTCTGGCCAAATCATTATTTGTTTAGAATTTGCCAAGCAAAACAAGGAAAAGGGGGCACCCCATTCAAAAAGGGGCAAACTTTTACAAATATGCAAAGCTTTCCTCACGACATTTAAGCTTGACTTTGTGCAATCAACGCATGCGTTCCCTCAAAAATGACGACGACAGCCCCTGTTGCGGCTTAAAACTTGTAAGAATTCGCCTAACATGATTTCTGCGTGCGCCTTCAACGCATTGAAGGCACGCAAGTGGCGAGCACGAATTCAAGTGCGAAAATCGACATGTAAAACAAGTGATTGCCTAAGGTGGTGATATAAAATCAAATGTTATTCACAATTTGTATAAATGTAATATCAACTAATATTTAAGGGGTTTAAATATCACTTAAGCGATGCAATTTTGCGATATAGCCAGGAATGATATGTCCGCTCTTTAACCAGCTCCTTATCTGCAAAAAAAAATGGAAGCAAAATAACAAAAATCATTAGTTTGAAATAAAAACCAAATTTTTCTAACTTTTCTAACTAAACGAGACGAGAAAAAAATGGTAGTACCTGGTAAGGCCACTCACATGTTAAAACAACACAATTTGAATGACCTTTACAATCATCTTCAAAGAAATTTGCGCCGTTAAATTTCTAATATACTACTGCTGTTTCGATTACTATCTTTCTACTCTCACTTAGTCTATAGGGTTAGTTTATCACATCCATCATATCACCAATTTAATTATTAAAATTTAATGTAAATACTCTATTTACCGTCGCCCTGAAACCAATCCGCTAGATCGGGCGGACATATGTTCTCCAGATTAAAGTAAAAGGTACTTTGAAGCTGACGAAATTTATTGCTCGACTTCATGGTAATACGACGCGAGTGGGGATCCTTGCCATCCAAACGCTCGCGTACATAGTGGGACGACAAGTGTATTTCCATCTCGTCACAAAGCTTATCATCGATGCTTTCAATCAGTGGCGCTGGTTTCTTGAGGAGCTGTGCACAAACATCGTTAAATACTGCAAAGTATAGGAAGTTAGTCAAACTTATTGAGAAAAGCGCAGTAAATTACCATTGCTTAGATTCAAAGTAAGATGTATCATAAGTAAATGCTCCAGAGTGCAGTGTATTTGAAAGAGTTTGCCAATCTTGACCGCTGTTTCGGATTCATCAAAGTAACTGTTCCTGAAGCCAGCTATTTCAACGTTTTGTTGCTTGCCACCGGCGCTTTTTGGATTATTTGTGTGATAGAGCAGCGTTTTACGGATGCTGCCGACATTACTACCGCTTGTAGGCTCGCCACGCGCGGCATTGTGCAAAGATTTACGCAGCTTAGACTGGCCTACCAAATCAGCATCGTTTGCCTCGCTAGCACCGCTATTTGTGCTATATAGTGAATCACCGCCATTTCTTAATAAATTAGCACTGCAAACTTTACTTTCCGTGTAGATAAACTCGTAGTCCTTGTACATCTTCTCCAAGCCAATTTCAAGCAACAGCTCCATGGGCTCAGAGCCGCTTAAGCAGGGAATAGCAAGGCGACGATTTGCTAGCTCAGTTATGATTTCCGCCAGGCGATTCTTGTTCGTGGGTGTATTCTTTAAATGCATTAAATGAGTGGAAAAGACACAAATAAAATCAATAATATAACATACCACTATATTGCAACGAGCAGCACAGTTAAATAACATATTGAAGGCCATTTTTAAATCTTTGTAGGAGGAACAGCCTGTGTTCAACAGAAGAAGAAAGTTAAATGAAACAAATGCTACTTATAATTGTAGTTACATTTAAGTAGCTCCCAAAGTTTATCCGTCAAATCTGTAAGGCGGCGCACCTTAGCACGGTGCAAGGCCTCCTCAATATCGCACTCGATATCGCCGCTGCTGTATGTATCTGCATAACCGGAAACTTCCGTCAAAGTCTTATTGATCGAATCGCGCAGCTCGTCCATGTCAATTCCACGTCCACAACGATACACAGGATCGCGCCTGTTGCCCGCTTCATCATCGTTGTGATAGGCGATTATATCTTCGCGTATGTACAACAAAATTCTCAGCTGATTCATCAGATCCTGCGTAAGGGGTCCACAATCACCAACACGGAACGTTTGCTTAAGAGATACCTCGCAGGCAGTCAGGTCAGTTAGCAAAGGAAGTTGTGCATGCGTTGACCAGGAGCAGCGCAACGACATATTCGGGTTAACCTGATAAAGGTTTTCGATGTGTGTTTCAAAGGAACCAGCCATCGCCTGAACATGCTGACGCACAAGTGCCTGGGACGTCACCATGTAGGCGGGCAGCACGCCAGTGTAACTGAGGATGCCACGCGAAAAGTGCGTCACATTAAATTCAAATTGCAGCAACTGTGTGCGGCTATGGTCGCTGGCGTCACAAAGGAACCATACGGAACCGACACCATCGCTGCTTTGAAACTCCTCGGTGCATAAGATAGCGCGAGCCTTATCGACCGGTACGCCGCGCTGATATTCCTCCTCAGGTTTCCATGGATTCCGATTGACAAGACCCAGATCCAAAGATATATCGGCAATGGCATCAGCAAGGCAGTCATCTTTCAATGGACTGCCTGTTAAATCGAGATCGGGACCAGAAATCGGGCACTCTGATTTCAAGGTCAACTTTATGGGCGTCTTTTCTGTCGCACCGCTACGATTTTCTTTAAAAAATAACACAATTTTGCTGTCTATCTCACAGGGACCTAAAATGGTCGTTAAATACGTTGGCGGCGCGCCATAGGTAATGGTGTAATTTTCGCCATACTTGCGCAGTAGTTCCGCGTATATATTAGCTAGATTGACAGACATTTTTTATATAAATACAAACAAATTAAAAAACAAGCGGCAAGTTCAAAAAGCACAAATGCAACAATGCGCTATCAACACTACAAAAAAGTGCTGCCAGTAGGTCGCAAAAACTGTTCAACAATTACACAGTACTAACATCGTTAGCTCGATAGCTCTATCGGACGGTCGCACGTGTTGAGTTTGTTTTTATTTCGTGAATTGCGACCATCTTTTGTATTATTTTAAGCATGGCAGACTTTGAAATGGAAGCCAGCGAGTCCGAGTTCGAATCGGACGACAATTCAGATGCTGAGGTAAATACTTAATACCAATGTGCTATTGCAAAGTAATCGCCTCATCATATAATTGCAGTTACAAGCGGCTTTCGAGCGCGGCGACCTGAAACCGGGATTAAATGTGGAGTTTAGTGAGCAACGCGTTCGAATTAATGACATTGTAAGTCTTACTAGCCTTTAAGTACACCTACGAAAAAATAATTACCTTTCATCTCTTATAGCAAAAACTTCTTGCCAAAACAGAGGCTATTCGTATGAAATTGCCTTGGGTGGAGCGTCTGGATATGGTAAACAACCTGGCTCCTTTGGCACCTGAACTAGCCGTGCAGCTGGAGAAGCACGAACAAAAACGTGCAAACCAGTTCAAGGGAAATGCTAAAATACCTTTTATACGTCCCGAGGAGGATCCGGTTTTAAATGATTTCAAACGCGAAATGCTGTTCCATCGACAGGCACAGAGCGCTGTCCTGGAGGCTATTCCGCAACTCCATGAATTGAATGTAGCCACTCGTCGGCCGGACGATTATTTTGCCGAAATGGCCAAATCCGATGAGCACATGCAGAAGGTGCGCGCTAATCTAATGGCCAAGCAACAGGGACAAGCCAAGTCTGAACGCATTAAGCAGATTCGCGAACAACGCAAGATGGGTAAGATGCTGGCTAAACAAACGAAGGTTCAGCGCGAGGCCGAAAAGAAGGAAATGCTTGACAAACTGAAGAAGTTCCGAAAGGGAAAACTCAAGAACTTGGACTTCCTTGAAGATGCTAAGGCACTTGAAGCCAAGCAGAAGCAATCCGCGGATAACCGGAAACAGCGCGACAAAAAATTCGGCTTTGGTGGCAAAAAGAAGGGCATGAAGCGAAATACCAAGGCCTCAGCTGCCGGGTTAGAATCCGAGAAAAAAACGCGTCGTCAACGTGGCGTCAAAGCAGGCGCCTCAGTCAACAAACGTCTAGGAAAATCACGTAGAATCAAAGCCAAGACTAAAAAATAACTCATATTTAAAAAACGGAACTAGTTTTAAATGAAGTTTACAATCCATGTGTAAATTTATTCTTTAACTATAAATATGTACATTAAAATTAACGCAGGTCTACTACTCGCTAGACTTTCTTTTTTTTCTTTTTTGTCGACCTCACTGCCGAGTCGACCTCCTCTGCTTCATTCTCACCCAACCGCCTGCTTTTATTTCTATTCTTTTTAGTTTTGTAAACGACGACACTTTCGACTATGTCTTCACTTTTCTGAAGTTCCTCCAACTTTTCCCGTTCCTGTTGCTTCATTGCCACCGTTTCTTTACTTTCGTCCAATTGTCTGGTTTTCTTTTTAGTTTTATTAATGTCGACACTTTCGACCATGCCTTTACTTTTCTGAAGTTTTTCCAACATTTCCTGCTCCTGTTGCTCCAGTCTAGCTAATTTTCCTCTTTGTTTTATTCCATGTCGAGCACCTTTATGTGCTGTGCGACCGCCACAGGCACGAAAGAGTTCCTCATCACTGAGCACGTTCACAGAAGCTACTGCTATGTCCTCCATCTTGACGTAATCCTTGCTTTTCACCTCACAGTTGCTTTTAGTCAGTGTCGCCGATTGCAAGAAATTTTGGTAATATGTACCGCCTTCGCCTGCTCTTGCTCTCTGTTCTGTGGCTTTTTTCATTTTTTTAATGGAGTAACTTTGTGTTGAAATCTCGACAGCTTCTTCGCCTTGTTTACGTGCTGTGCTCACCTGGCCATCTTTTTGCACCCGCACATCAACATTTTCAGCTGCTTCTTTAAAACAACGTACCCACCAGTGGTCGTTGAATTCTTTTGAATGGTCAACGCCCAAACCGGCATTGTCGAATTTTAGATTGGCTTTCAAAGGCACTGTTATGCCGTCGTTATTCCTACCCAGCCCATCTCCTTCTTTCCAGCCATATTTGCCCAATATTTTCTTAGCGAAGTCCATGGCAGCTCAGAGGCGAAGCCGAAACGTGGTCACAAGTTATGCACATCGCACCAGTGTTGCAAAATTTCTCCTATATTTGACCATCACAGCTGACTCTCATCTCTAACATAATGCCTGCGAACCGCGAAAATTGAATGCAATGCACAGCTACTGATTATGTTAAAATAAAAAATATGTTACCAGTGAAACCGTGCATACATAACGCCTTTAATTCTGTTTTTACACGGTTTGAAAATTAAAAATTGCATATATATTTCTTAGAGATAAGGAACCAATCACATATTTTTGCATATGATCAATGTCTTTTACGCGGTTGTTTCTGGAACCAATCCGCCGCGTAAAAACAGAATTAGGTGTATAAATGTGTGAAGCATTTGTATCATCAAATTGTACTCTGTGCAATCTATCGTAGCTGCGTTCCTGGAACCAATTTGGGTCACTAATGCCAGAATTTATATTTCACTACGCTTGACTTGTAATACACATGAGAAATAAAAAATAAACTACACATACATTAAAATAATAATGTATTACCCAAACTGTTTTCAAATTCTATTTTTACATTTAAACATAGTCATTATCAACCCATTCAAAGGAGTTAATGGAAAGAATCATTTTATTTTACACATTCAGTTCTCCTTTATTTCACGTTTCATTGATGCAATTCTTTTCATCGTATTGTTCTTTGCTGATGACAAACCCAAATTTTTTCATATGATAACTTTATATTAGTGGCAATGAAGAGTTAATTACATTACATTAGGCATTAAATTTTTGAAAAGAAAATTCAGTACGGGCCACGTAAATGAAATCCTTGCAGGACTAAAGCATCGCACACACGAACCACACACACATAGACACCCTTCCTCCTTTTATGTTGTTATTGTGCAAAGAGTAAACACGTGTTGCCAGCCTCGATAGTTGTTGTCATCAAGGTATTTTTCGGGGGGAGAGAGAGCACGAGCGCGCCTTTCTTCGCACAGATGTAAAGGAAAGATGTCAGTGTGGGAAGAACGTCGTTTGAGATGATGAAATGGGGGATAACCCAAAACTCGAATTCCCACTTATTACAATTATTCTCAATATAATCAAATCTTTACACAAGATTTTTTCGCGACTGGGGTGCAATTCGTTATTATCGTGACTGAGAATTCGTCCTGTATGACTGCTTGTTTTTATCCTCCGCTAGTTTTTTCAATAATTTTTTTATTAGCATTTTGTTGTTTTTTAAACTTAAATCAAAGTATTTTCTTCCTTCTTTTTGTTGTTGCGATTACTAGTTTTTGGATGTTGTTTTTTAAAAACAAAATTATATATTATGTTGGTATTTTATAATTAGATAGTACATGATGTTGGTGTTTCTATCATTCTTTGTTATCATTAATAATCGAAAAACGAACGCTGGTTGTTGTTGCTGGTTGGTTTTCTTATACTTTTGCTTCTCGTTGCTGTTGCCGTTTGGATGCAGTTGCTCTTGGATGGCTATCCAAGCTCATCACACACACACACGCACAATTGCACGAAGGAAACGACGAGCGACGCTTAGAAGGCGAAGAGCAGCAGGAAGGCCATCATAAGACAGAACAGACCCATAGCCTCAGACAGGGCGAAACCCAAGATGGCGTACGAGAACAGCTGCTGTTTCAACGATGGATTTCTGGCATAACCGATGATAAGGGAACCGAATACTGTTCCAATACCGGCACCTGTTGAATTTTTAAAATTTTGTGTTTTGAGATAAAATGGAAAAAATAAAATAACATTAATACATAATGCACAAAAGTAAAATAAAACAATTTCTGCCAAATTACTTGAGCAATACTACTTCAACTCTTATCGCACCAACTCTCTTTTTCGGCCAGTCAGTCACAGATTAGTCTGAATTGAGTTCTGCCTGTCCGTGAGGACAAAGCAGCAAGCACATCGCACTAAAATTGCTGGTCACGAAAGATTTCAATGCATTGCAAGCGGCAGTCAAACGATCAGCGATCGCGAGGGCAACGCTAGGATGCAGCTTTTCTGGTACTTTCGCCTTGTAATCACACAAGTTTCCTGCTAGGAAATGAAGCCCATGACACACAAACACCTTTCAGCATTTGAATGTTGTTACAACAACAGAGGAGCTTTGACCAATTCTCAGACCTTCCCGGGGCAATAGATGTGAGTAATCTGATACTCGTTGTGTGTGCCCCAGATGCTAGATTGTCACTGACTGAAGATGATGGAGTGGTGAGAGAGCAGTATTTTCGCATCAAGCAGCGGGCAGATGACGGAAACGGGCGAATGCTTCTACACATTCAAACCAATACGAACCGGAACCAGCGACACCGACTGTTGCAGCACCAGCACCAATGAATTTGGCAGCCGAATCAATGTCACGCGTGACTGGCGAGGTCTGGAATGACCTGATTTGTGGCAGTAATGCAACGGGGGTTGTGTTCTGGGCGGCCAAAGTTTGGCTCTGGCTGATGACGGCGCTGCTCAATGGTCGCAAGTATTGCTTGGTGTTGTTGAGGAGCTGGAAATGGAATTCAGATCGTAAAAAATTAATTATTATATAATTCATTAAATTGTTAAATATGTTAATGTTGTGCGAGATAAAGCATTTAGTTGTGCACCTCTTTCACTATCGAATGATAAGCAGCTATTAACATTTGCACAGTATTGCGGCTGTAGGCCAAGTTATGCAATCGTTAAGTAATTGTAGGCTTTCTGACATTTGGCAATTGCTTTGGTATCTTTCTCTTAAACCAGCATGTGTTTCATTACAAAATTGTTGGCACGGAGAGTGTAATTAAAATCGAAATAATTAGCCTTAGTTTGCTCGAATTGATACCCAATAAACAAAAGTTTAATAAAAACGTCCCTCCCCCTCTTAAGAGTGTACCGACGACCAAGAGGCCCTTGTACACAATCGGTTGGAAGCTTTCACCGGTTCTAACCTCAACTTCAAGCATCAACTTAACATCTTCCAACTGGTTACACAATGCCCACAGCTCATTTTACATGCTGCAAAATTGTTTCAACATTTACGCGCTACATTTATAAAACAAATCAATTAAACAGTTTGGCCAATAACAACCTATTTATCGGTCAAATGGTAACCACAAGGCACGCACATAACCTCAACAGCACCTACAACTTATGTAACTGTGTGCGACCAATATACATATGAATGTATGTTTTCACCGCGGCCATTGGAAGTTCACCATAGGCGCTGTTCGGGTATGTAGAAGGCGGCGAGGGCAGCCACAAAGCAGCACAGATTTTCTTCTATATGTCAAAAATCGATGCAGCTATACACGCACATAAATTATGTAATTAACGTAACACAAATTGGTCCATCTCGCACAACAAATCATATCTTTCATGCACTTACCACATTCCTGGCAACGGGGGCAATGCGAGAGACTGTCGACACAAACATTTTCAATTGATTTTTATTGGTTTTTTCGCACAACGACGACAAAAATTGAAGCTAGCGCACGGAGCTCTGCAAAAAGATACATACATTTACATTGAATTGGACTGTAACTTCAGTAAATAAATTGTTTTCTATAAGTTTTCCACTGCAATCTGATGCCGCTTGTCACCGCCGCTGACGCCTGTAACTTGACCGAGATTACGTAATTGAAGAAGTAACCGCTGTATTAAAAATTTTCACAATTATGAGAAAAATACGCACATTTTAATTGAATATATTAATAATTAAACACTTTTCTCTTAATTTGCCAAAATTTTAACAAATCTACAGTGACTGACGACTTTTCTATGTGACGCAACGACTCCACACGCACACTAAGGCAGTTTACACAAAAAGCACTGACAGTTCTTTTGGTCGTGTGACATGTGTGTGCGTGTGTGTGTACATGTGCCGCAAGATGGCGACAGCCGTAAAAATACACGTTCGTGAAAATTCACATTTTTCATTGATAGTTTACACATTTACACTTAAATGCTTTTTCATTTGCGCCACTTTTCACGCATTTTCATTTCGCACTGATTATTCAACCAGCGGTAGCAGCAACTTGGGGGTGCTGCGCTGGCGGCAGCGACATCGACGGCAGCAGTTGAATTTTTATGCTTAGCGCAAGATCACCGCCGAACTCACTTCGAACAAACCCTTAACAACAGTGGAACCGTATTGAACGCAAAATTTAACTTTACCCTGCAGTCGCTATGCCAAATCTCGTTTTTAAGGTGAATTGGAAGGCCACCTGGAAGATCACTCGCGCGCATGCGAACTTATCGATAACATATCGGGCATATTTTCAATGAGTTTTTTCTCAAAACAAACGTAAATTTCACTTTAATTTTATTTAAATGTTGATTGTCATTTATACTTGCCTGAAAGAAATGTGCACCCTGAACGCCGAGTTTCATTTGCCAATTTACTTCAGGAAATGCAAGCCTGCGCGGCAAACAACCTTTCTAGTCGTGGTGTAATGGAATTAGGTATTGGAAGCGTGCCGGCTAGTGCGTTCTTATCATAAGCAATTAAAGGCTTTTTAAATAAGTAATACGCTTGGCCAATTAATTTGGAATTTTCTCTAAGCCTACCAACGTGTCCAAACGTCAAGCTAATGTCAAACTTTGCAGAAATAGCCACTGCAAACAGTATATTTCAAAAATCTAGAGATGAGTAAATCCTTGAAATAAAAGTCACGGTGATATTTTGCAGTGAATGTAAAATCAAATGAAAAATTCTTTTAACGGTTTTCAATTTATATGTGTACATAAGCACTTATTAATCAATTATTGAGGACCGGTTAGCTGCATTAAGGTACTCATAAACTTGTAATGTCCATTGAAATTGAATATGTAATAAAATGCAGGACTCACCGTCAGTGTATCTGATGATATATAATTTTAACTTTGATTGGAGTTTAGAAATGATATTGTGTGATATAAATATATATGCATTGAACTTGAATTAGCCATTGTACATAGAGGTTTAGAGGGGTGGCATATCAAAGTACATTACATGAATGTAAGTACTTTCTTGATCAGTATGACATAATGAGTGTATTTAGCGGAGTCTGTGAGGATCTTAGAATATATAAGATAATACTTAAAAATATAAGGTACTTTTATAGCTCCCGTAATTGTTGAGATTATCCACCCTACTGTACATCTACTTATGTCTTAAAATAACGTTTCTTTACGAGAGGAACACCACAAAGAAAACAAATTAAAAGTATGTGAAATTAAATGAATTGAAGCTCCAAAACTGTAGAATACGAATATATATATGTGAAATTTAATATTTAAATATATTTTATGAACTTCACTTATGTGTGTAAGTGGTTCGATTTCTTCCAATCGAATGACTGGTTCTGGTGATGCGAGCACAGTGTGCATCCCTCGCTTGTACACACACACCAACAGCCTCAGCAAATCGCGTCGTAGTGTCGTCGGTGTCTACGTCACGTCGTTTTAATTATGTTTTAATTTTCGATGTTTAAATCTGCACGGAACTGAAAGAGAATGGTGTAAGTACAGGCAGAATTATCCCAATATATTTTATTGTCCCTAAAAACGGCACAATAATCAGTAAGTCTAGGCCTGTGCCATTGTCATTGCAGCCCTCAATTGCATAACAGAAGCATTTGTGCTTGATTGTGTGTGTGACACGCTAAAACGCAACACACCCACACTATCATTGCGCAGCGGACACCAACAACAATAGCTGCGGAAACTACAACAACAACATTGGCTGGGGTGGTGTAATCAAATTAGGATTTCGATTGAGTAAAGTACTCGTATCACTATCGACGACGCCGCAGTAATGCTTTGGGGCTGACTATCGAATATTTCGACTAGTCGACTTTCGATAGTTTACCATTCGTTACCAACAGTATTCGTTTGAACAACTTTACATAACTTATAACGCGCAGTCATATAGTCGTACGCCGAGTGATATGGCCGTGTTTCTGATTAATATTTGTAAATTTAATGGATGCGGCATAACGTTCCCAAGTTTAAGCGATTTAATATCTCACATTGAGTGCACACATATAGGTAAGTAACGAAGATACTTAAAGTGTGCCGTAAAACAAGTGTAATTTGTGATAAAAGTATATCAAAGGCAAACAAACAGCACTTAAATGTCGCGTGATGTTCGTGGCGATGGGTTCGGCGTCGGCACTACAATTTGTTTATTTTATTATTTATATGCGTTAAGGCCGATGGATATGTGTGTGTTAGTTGCTGTGTGTTTGTGGGAGCATTTATTGCTATGGTGAATAAATCTTGATTTTAATGAACTGAGAAAGTAAATTCTTAACGTCAGCTGTGTACAGGATCTTTTGCTGTTTTTTTGTAACGCTGATAAAGTTATGGACAATTTTAGAAAAATCAATATAAAATGCAACACGCTCGCACATTATGCGTACGCGTCCTCGTCGCTTTTAATTCACAATAGGCATAGCATAGTCCGCTCTACCGAAGCCAAGCTGAATTACCTGTGCACACACGCCCATACCACCTTTACAGGTATATATGTATTTATGTATGTATACAACATAAATTCTATGTTGATCATGGCTAACATTGGCAAACCGTGTGAGTGTGAGCGAGTGCGCTGCACTGTCTGTATTGTGTGCCAAACAAAATAAAAGCAGCAAAAAGCCGGTGATCCATAAAAACAACAACAAAACGCTTGCTCGAGTATGGCAAGCCAGCCGAGCAAGCAAGCCAAGCCAAGCCAGCGCAGCATCTGTACCATGAACGCGCCTTCTAGCTTGACCCTTGTGTCTGCGGCCATTCACATTCACAATCACTTGAGTGTTTCGAGCGCGTTCTTTCTTTCCTACAATTCGTTCATTTTTGGCGTCGGAACAGGTGCAGCTGTTGTTTAGTTAGCTAAGACGCTGGGCTTAATACATACATATGCACACATATACATACATATGTACATTCAAACATTTATAAATGGAATGGTCACTACTTTTTATTTCGGGTGTAGGTTAAACTACATCTACGACCATTAATATACACTGATACATTGCTGCCTAAAGCGTAGTTTTCATCTTGCTCGTCCAGCTTAATTTATCAAATTGCGTGTGCTTTAGCCGGCTGTCAAAACAAGCAAACATAAATAGGTATGGTTGTGTGTGTGTGATTAAGTGATTGGTTGAGTGTGCGCGCTCCACCCAAAAACTCCCCCATTTATTTATTTGTGCTGGTGCTCCCTAAAAACAAAATCTAATTTTATCCACTTTGCTGTGCCCAGGTACTTTTGGGCAGCGGCAAACGTACACCCGCAGATGTGTAAATGCAAGTGTGTGTACGGGAAAATCAATAAAATTAAGCTCAGTGTTGCCACTTGGCTTCAATTGTATGCTGATGTTGGGCGGGTGGTTTTATGCGTGCGTCAAAATGGGCGTATATGTATGTGTGTATGTACATACATACATCCATTTATCAGGGGTGGTGCTGACTGTGACGCAAGGCTGCTCTGCCCTGGGGTTTTATATACAATATATATGTATATGTATATATATACATATGTATTTATTTTCAACAATTGTTTGTGTTTAATTTATCTCGACGTCCGAGTTCTCTTTGTTGTGGCTGCCCCGACAGGGTTGGCTCTTCAGCTGACTGTTACAGTTACGTTACATGTGTATACATAACAAATGCGGCTGCAGCTGTTGGGGATGGCAGTCACATGGAATGGCGTTGCCCGGGCATTACATAAAGTTTCCCTTGCTAACACCTCCTTATTGGCACAGACACACACACACACTCACACATCTTTTGCGTTTGTAAGCTGTTCTCTAGCATAGCAACCCAATTGTCATGCATAAATAAGCTTCATTTCATTACGTGAACGCCTGGTATTATAAATAAATGTCTATCATTTCATTATCTATAGTAGAAGGACTTTTGGCATGCGTGCTTATTGTATTTGTAAACTAGACCTGTTCAGCTAGTTTATCAGCTCAACATCTACACAAACGGACGTTGGCATATACATACATACTATATATACAGATACATATGGATACATATGTACTCGTTCAAAGATTTTTCATTTGTCCTTTGCACAGTTGCTAGGCACCTGTTGTGCAACAGACCCACCGGCTTGCTTTTAACACGCGCCTAAAACATGACATATTTTTGAAACTCTATCGATACCTTTTAATGTATGCATGTGAAATTTAATATAAATGCCGTTATTTTACTCCGTCACCTTACTCATAAAACTCTTGGTAGCTAAATTGTGGGAAATTTGATTACCTACGTTTGAATTTTGTGATAAAGTATTGAACTTGAGTGCAGTTTAGGCAAGCAATTGGGATTGTGGGGATGCTTCGCAAAATTTTAATATGCTTTAGTGAGAACAAAGCTATTAAGTTGACATAATTAAAGATATGCGAATGCAAAAATGTATTTAAATTAATAAGACGAGCCGAATGTTGGACTAATTCTGCTCCAAAATAAAGATAATAGTGTTGGTTTCTAATATACATATGTACATAATTCGCCCGGGTAAGCTTGAATGCCCAGTGGGGAATTCGGCAAACGAATTGATATGCATGACTATATCGTTTCGTCATGCTAATTATAGATCCTTTTGCCTGTGAATCCTTGCTTCTTAGTATACCCTCTCATCATTTACTTATAATAAAGGGGTAAATATGAGAATATCGTGATATATTTGATTAGAATGATTGAATTAATATTAAAAATAAGGAATTTTGTACGGTCTATAGTTCCCGTCCCAATGAAATGCAGTCCTTATATTCCCTGAATCTCTGCCCAGAATTCTTATATATGTATATATGTTAAAGATGCGCCACATTGAATTGTACTGGAAAGTTTCAAAACAAAACCACCTATCAACATATGCTTGTGTGTAAAAAACCAACAATCACACATATACGGCCACTCACACATACCAAGTAATTATTATCTACTAAAAATTTCTGCAACAAGTGAATGACTCAGACCAGAGCTCTGCACCAACAACAATAACATAAATACGAATGAGATTGTTTGTGCTCTTCGTATATACTACTTGTATATGTACATACATATATATTTTTTGAAACTGTTAATGGTTTTCAAATTTGTATTAATACATACATATGTAGATTTGTGTTTAAACAAATGCGTCGAATATTTTGATAAACAAGTTGATTAGAGAGAAGTAGACTCACGGCGAGAAGCGGACGCGCCAATACCAACAACAATGACAATGCGACCAGTCGCTGACGTCGACATCCCAGTCACCAGTTTACAGAGCAGACATGTGAGAACTGCGAGACTGCTTAAGGTTATCAACTGACGAGAATTCAAAACTGCAACGCCAATAACAACAAACAGCAACAATAACGAATGCAAAATGTGTAAGCCGAACAGAAAGAGGCGAGCAAACAGCAAAGGCGGCCAAAAACAAACGGCGTCGTGTCGATTTCATCAGCCAAAAATGTAGCAATGTTTGCAATAAACATATCGTCTACTATACCATGTACATATGTTTGTGTGTGTTTGTGATGTTGTTGTTTCTAAAGCAATATATTGTTATGTATATTAATATGTATTTTAAAATATCTATTGGGGGTACGTGAAATAATGTGCCGTCGTCGTGTGAGTCCCAAAAGTCACGTAGGCGGTAAATACTTTTGATCGTTGTTCAGAGTTTATCCGCTGATAATAATAGGGAGCGATAAACCAGACGCATTAGAAGTGCATGTGGGTGGCACGCACCTATTATACATACATACAATATGTATGTATGTATGAAGATATAAATTATACATACAATATGTATGTAAATATGTACATGTGTGTGGCGCCCTACTTGTGGTATATGCCACACTTTTTCCATTTAATGAAGCAAATTAAGTGCAGTGCTATCGAATTCATTTCGCTATCGCTCGATATACTTGTACATACGTTAGGGTGGCTGGCGTTATCTGCACCCTGCATCTGTTCATTTAACCCCAACCAGTGATTTTTTTTCCATTTAATGGGGTGAATAGGTATATCGCACGAGCATGACCTTTGCATACCCTCCTTGCTGCAGCTCATCTACTAATTTTTTGTTGATCCAGTCATTCAAATGGGAACTATCTTGTACTTGTATATGGTACAAAGCACCGATTGCTGAAACTTCAGATTATAAAGCGACATTATAAAACCCTTTTAAACTTGTACCTAATTTTACGAATAACTCTTAAATACTATATTTATTTGTTATTTTGTCTTTCTTGTCTTCTAGGTGTAAAAAGTCACAGATAGTGGGGTCAAAGGTTAATTTCTTTTTGCGATCACTCCTATGTACCTCACTGTTTAAGTGTTGACAAGAATAAAAATAAACAATCCTCTATCTACAGTATCAGATTACTCTCAACGAAGAGTCGTACATATTTATTAATAACAAGTCTTAAATACCTTGTTGCCGATCCCCCAAACAAAACATTTTTTAATATCTAATTCTAAAATTTTGTTGTTGTTTTAATTGAATAAAATTAATAAAAATAAAAAGTGTATTCCGAAGAAAAGCTTGTCGGACTTAGGAGAATCTGCGTGCCAAGTTTGGTTATTCTAGGTCTTATACTTTCTGAGATCCTTGTGTTCATACCAACAGACATTTCTGTATCGTCTCGTCATACTGATCAAAATTTGTGGGGTCTTTCATGCCTACCCCTTTGGTTACAGGGTATAAAAAACCAAGACTGAATCTGTTGTTATCACCGGCTCAACATGCATATAGTAGGATTAGGATTAGACTTACACCCACACAAACAATTGTGTCTATATATGTATTTATGTAAGTATATACATATGTATGTATGTCCACCTGTACCATAGACTGGCTGATTAAGCATACTCAGAGCTTTTGCTTGTCTCGCTGATAAGATAAACCCATAAAACATGTGCGTGCAAACAGAGTCTGGTCATAGAATTCCGTCACGCCCCTATAGAGGCGCTATTTCTATCGTGCGTTCCATATGTGCGATGTGAATGCATATGCGTCAGCAATCCACGACTAAACTTTGTGGGTCGGTTAGTCAGTTAGCGACACTTTCACATACACGTACTTGTATATACTATGTATGTATGTATGTAATGTATACTATAGTACATTATTTATTATAACCTTTTTTATATATTTTAATTTTTTGACTGGGGCTTTGGGTCTGTCCGTCAGCCGGTCCGATTGTCGCGCGTTCACCGAGTGCTTGAACTTGTATCAATGCATACGAGTATTTAGCAACCGCCTTCATAATTTACGTGCGGACAAAATAATTTTAAGGCGGAGATTTTGTGAACCCGCATTTAAATGTCACATGTATGTGTTTGGTTGAATTATTCGTAGGCATGCTAATAAAGCTAATTTTGTGCACCCCCTTCTTCTCCACAGACTATGATCCTAAGGTGGTCGAACAGAAGGAGCAGGCCCAGCCTGCATGTCTGCCGCTGAGTTATGTGCTGCGCTTTATCTCCGATGATGCCCGCAAAGAGGCCTCCACTTTCCTGTCCAACAACGGCGGCAACACAACTGCGGGTAATGTGGAGCTTAAGCGAAAGCTGGCTATTAAACATCACAGCTACAGCATGTCGTCCTCCAATCGCAGCAACACGCCCACAGGTATGCACTGCAAACATGAATATGAGCCTTATATCAGATTCCAGAGCACGCTAAAGCTAAAATTCACATGTTACACAACATAAAGAACTAGTCGAACAAGCATAGACTCAATTTGAAAGCAGTCGAATCATATTTTTTACTTAAAACAAATAAAAGTAAGTTAGAGGTTCTTACTAATTCACCGTTGCTGGAATCAGGGCTCAATTATTGACTAAACGTTACGATGCATCAACTGTATTTTCAAGTAGATGGGGGACACCACGATTTTTGTCCCTAAAGTTGATGTTGAATAAACAAAATTGTGTAGTTTCGAGAAAATAATACTGTAAGTATTGTTGTTAAAGGAAGCGAAATGGATGAGGATGAGATGGTTGTTACCGAATCCGAGGACAGCAATGACTCCTGGACCACGGAGGAGTTTAGCTCGGAATTCATAATGCGTTATGGCAGCAGGTGAGTTGATTTTGGCAAAGTAACAACAACAACTACCTGCCACTCACCGATGTGGTCATCTTACAGGCATTCCGGTGGCGGCACCAATGGCACGCCAGGCAATGAGAAACCGTTCGCCTGTCCAGTGCCCGGCTGCAAGAAACGCTACAAGAACGTGAACGGGATTAAGTATCACTCAAAGAACGGTCACAAGAAGGATGGCAAGTAAGTAGATCCTCAGTTTTGGATAATATCCAGGACTTACAAGGCATTTCTACGTCTACAGAGTGCGCAAGGGGTACAAATGCCATTGCGGCAAGAGCTACAAGACGGCACAAGGCCTAAAAAATCATGCCCTGCTCACGCACAACGCACAGCCAGAGAGCGTTCTGACAACTCAGCAGGTGGCGAATGCAGCCGCCGCTGCTGCTGCTGCCGTCGCCAACGGCACGAGTCCTTCAAATGGCGGCCTGACGAGCAATGCCAACTCCAATGTGGGCGGTATAATGCAGCGCAGCGGCTCGCCCTCGCAATCGCTAGGCTCGCTCAGTCCATCGAGCATCAGCAACATGTCTAGCAGCGCGAGCAGCTGCCACGGCGGCAGCGTTGTCAGCAGTCTGTCCAACAACAGCAACGTTAACAATAATAACGGCGGAAACATGTTGCAGCAGCTCAATGCTGGAAGCATTGTAACAATGACCAATGTGTCGCAGACTTCGCAGCAACAACAACAGCAGAATTCTAGCATACAGTTGACGCCACAGCAAATGCAGATTGCAACAACAACATCCACAACAGGTAACAGCAACAACAACAATTTAATGCGCAGCACACTTGGTTTAGTATCTATTAAGGCCAACAACACCAACAGCAATAATCATGCTGTAATTGCTGGCAACAGCAACAGTAATAGTGTCAAAGGCTCTGTGGTCCCCATCAGCAATAATACAACAACTGTTTGCAACACGTCCAACAAAATAACGGTACCAAATTTTGTTAACTTGGGCATTTTAACGCCAGCCACATCGCCCACTAAGAACACGCAAACGCTCACCTTTAATACAACCGGGATGCAGCAGCAACAACAGCAGCAAGCATTGGTGGCATCGCTAACCTCGAACATCTTGCAGCAGCAAAAGTTGCCCGTCAATGGCAACAAAACGAACATATTGTTGTTGCAGGAGGCGCCTTCAACAGCAGGGATAGCAACTGCGACATTGTCGCATCCAACAACCCCTCCACAGCATCAGCAGCAGCAACATCATGTCCTGCCTATGACTCCAATCAGTCCCACCAGCAGCATTAGTGGCAGCAGTAGCAAGAGTAGTTCGCCAACACCACAGCAGCAGCACAAGAATCTAACAACTACAGTGGCCGCGGCTAAAATGTCGCCAAAATCGCCCCAAAAGAAACAACATATAATTGCCAATATTCAGCTCAGTGCCAGTCTTGCCAATGCGAGTACAGCGGCCACAGTTGTAGCCCCATCAACAACTGTACCTGAACCCATGGAGACGGATGAGGCTGGCGATGGGGGAGTCGATTGTAATGTCAATTGCGACAGCAAATGTAACAGCGCGGCTGCTTGTGCTACTGTTCCAAATAGTACAGGCGATGGCAGCGAGGACTCCTCATCATCATCCACATCGTCTTCGACTCCAGCCACACTTATTGCTGCTGCTAGTGCAGGAGCTGTGGCAGTTGCTGCCATTGAAGTTGTCAGCGCTGGTGTAGTTAACGATGAAACGTAGCCTATACTTAAGAAATTACTAATGCGTCGTAAATTGAACACCTAAAGGGCTGTAACTGCACCTATATTTGTAACTGGAACTTGCTCCTAACACTAAATTGAAGGCCCGTCTGCGATAAAGCTAACATTCGCGCTTCTCTCGTATACGAACAAAGCAACAACTACAACAACACATGGACACACATTTTCATACACATTCTACAAACGAGCTTCGTTTTTAAACCTTAATTTAGTTGGTAACTGTAACTATATCCTGTAACTATATCGCTAAACAAAAAGGCCGTGTTTTGTGGAACGCCGGCAGAGTCACTCACCAAACCCATTGGAAGAAACATTTCGTAGACTGCTTTTGCTTAGATCAGACATAAGTTGTGTTTAACCTTATTTTTAAACACGATTCGCATTCGATTGTGCAATATTGACTTTGTATGATTTATACCTTATTTTACACTAAATTATGCTATATACATAGTTTATATATTTTTAAAATAACAACTCATGTGTGTATTACAACTATTTACAACTGCTGATCTCCTGTTAATTTAATTATAAAAACGAAACAATACGACTTTATGCAACCAATCATGAATTGTAATAAAAAAAAATTACCATATTTGGAATTTTATTTATAAAATGATTCCCTTTTATTGCGCACTATGCTGCATATGGTTAGGACTAATACCTGACTGCAATTATCAATTATCAACCCAAAACACACAGAACTTTCAAATATTATTTGAAAGCAACTCAAGTATTATATACATAAATTTGTAAATCTGTTTATCGTTTAAGTTTTAGTAAAATGATTTCGACTTTTCAGCTATCAATTAAAAATAGCTTAAGGTTCAATATTTTAGCGAATTTAAGTCCAAGGGCTACAACTATTTCGCATTTCCCCCACACACACAGACACAGTTGCGAAGCTTAGTGCAATATATTTAAACTTATTTAATCATTTATAAATTACTTAATTTGTTTAAATTTACTCGATTTTTATGTTGTATTTGGGAATTTTTCTTTTGTTTTATGTTTTTCGTTACTTCTTTTTCCTTTTCTCTCTACTTATTGCAGAAACCTCTTACTCCTGCTCCTACACGCCAACAACAAACAGCAATTCCAACAGCAACAGTAGCCACTTCAATGAGAGCAGCAGTAAACCAAGCACAGCAACAACAACTCCAATTAAGAGCACGACTATGCGCGCCACAGCAACAGCAACCACAACCGCAATGACGGCTAACAAGACAACACCTGCAACAACACCCATGCAAATATCGCCCACCTTCATTGAGCACAAATATTCTGCATTGGCCATTAAAGAGAAGTTCTTTTCGAGCCTGCGTGCTCCAAGTAAATCCACACCAGTGACGTCTTCCGGCGATGTTGCTGCCAATGTTGGCGAATCAGGTGGAAGTGCTGGCAGAAACATGTTGGGTGCTGTTGCTGTCGGCCAAATGTGTGCGCTGCAAAACGAGCCCATTCATCAAAATCTCTACAAGAAAACGATCAATTGAGTGCGCACATGATGGGCGTGCGCTACAGAGTTGGCTGTGATGAATCAAACATATATGTACATAACATATGTATGTATGTAGCACTAGAGAGGCAGAGCAAGAGGATTCCTCAATAAGGCAAAGAGAGAGAGATTGAGGAGACAGTGAGAGAGGAGGGGCAAAAGCGCGGTCAGATGTGCGGTTAAAAGCAAGTTTAACAAAATATGTAAACTGTTATTAATGGAAAAATAGAAACATAAAATTGGCTATCTATTGTTCCGTATGATTGTAAATTTTCTTATTCATTGCATTTCTAACAGCAATTCAAAGCAACTCAAACAAAATATATTTAGAAATATAATTGGACCCATGCTCATACATCGCACAATATACATAATATTAGAATAATTCAAAACTAAAAAAAAAAACTACCCATTAACTATTTTAGTAAAACGAAATTCGAAGGGTCTTCTTCAACTAGTCATTATTGTAGTTAAATTAAAATTTTCATTTTCATAAGAATTCATGTATGAATTAATATATATGGATATATATAAGTACATACGTCTATATATGTACGAGTATATATACGGCTGTAGGGTAACTTTTTTATATTCTATTCAGTTTAATCGAAAAATTAATGCGTGACAAACCCTGCCCGTAAATGTTTTAAATAAAATTGGCAAACAAATATACATATATCTTTTTAGCAAAATATTTTAAAAGTGACGAAGTCAAACTTGCCAGGACTTCGTCCTTTAATTATAACTAATAAAAAAAATAAAATTATAATTATGTCGAATATCCAAAAAAAAACCCATCAGCTAGATAAAAATTTGATAAATATGATGTGAACAGATTGCTTTTAGTAGTCTGTTTTTAATTAAAATCCACAATAACTCCACTGTAGTTATAGTATTATTCGATATAAACATAAATTGTATATTGTACCTTTAATTTTTACAAAATATTCAATAACTTTCACTTAATATATGTATATGGATATTTATGTGTGTGTGTTCGTAAAATATTATTTATAAATCAAAGTTGGGCGTCCTTAAGTGTAACAAACAACATATTTATTAAATCGCATATATAATATCAAATATATATGGATTCATATAGGTACACATGTGTGTATATGTATGAATAGTCAGTCATATTCAAAGTATTTAATGCATGTATCAAACAAATTAAATTAAATATTCAAAATTCTTAAAATGTAGTGAACAATAAAAACGAGAACATTGTAATTGGGTTCCTTATATATGAAAGAAAAGCAAAAACAAAACGATGAAAAGTAAATAGAACAAATTCGATTACATTTTACAAGTAAACCATACCATATACGATTTAATAACCTATGCCGCAACCGCCAAACAATTTTCAAAAGGGCATTTGCAGACGCTCAGCGTTTTAAGTGAGTAGAGCGACAAACTCGCCCGCAAGAAATTTATCAAATATTTATGTACCGATAAGACCACACGCTTAAGCGGCTAAATGCGGCCGTATAGTTTAGCTGACAACTTTTATATACATATTATATAGACTTTTGCGCTATAAATTAAAAAAAAAAAGAAGCCAGAACTTTGGAAAAACCACTCAAGCCCTCTAATGAAACAATAATTTAAATATATAATTCTATATATTTACATTTAAATCTATGTATGTCATCGTATATAAGACTGCTGTTATGTTCGTAAATATATTTAATATATGTATGTATAATTAACAAAAAAAAAAGAAGAAAAATTACTAACAAAAAAATTTAAAAACAAGCAAAAAAAAACCTTCGAAAAAATAAAACCTACATGAATAGTTAGTGTATGCATACTCTACCTACATACATACAAACTACATGAACTATTGTACTATATAACGTAAATTGTAATTTACTAAAGCCGTAATTATATGTAGAGTAATAACAAAACCATAAATATAAACCGTAAATCAACTAATACCGTAGAATTGGGGTAAAGTTCTAGTAATTTCGGGAGTAATAAATGGGTTGAGAGATTGAACAACAAGTAACCCAAAAGGAAAGCAACAACATCATGATATATAAGTAGTAAAATATTCTCTTTTTGCTTTATGTGATCTATTACATACAAATACATAATACATATACAGATATATGTACAATAAAATGTCCTTAAAAACAAAAACAAACTGATATTTTATGATGATAGTATTGCTGCGTAAGATTTAAACATTTTTGTATAGTGTTGGTATTATAGTATAATTATCTGATGGAATGTTCCGTTTATCTTCTCGCTTCCAGTCCGTTGACATAGTCAGCAATTTTTCTCAGCAAACTGGGATCACTTGTTACAGCTTCCTTCCTCATTATTTCATCCAGACCGTGACGATCTCTTTGTTCGTAAGCACAATCAGCAGCCTCTTCGAATAGCCTGTAAGGACAAGATACATAAGTAAAGATATAACTGCGTTTCAAATTGCCCGAAGGATTGACTCACTTAGCACGGATGTACCAATATACCTTCCGATCCTCACGACAGCGAGCGATATACTTGCGAGCCTCACGCGCATTTTCCTGTTCCATGCAAACCTCGACGAATGGCTCATAGCCTATCGGACTCTTCTTCGACTTGGAAAACTTCTCCAGATCATCCCATTTATGATTTTCGGCCAGCGTGCGTATGCGTAACCACCAATATCTGCGATCTGGAACTTTGAAATCACTTTTTATTTTCTCCGCCTCCTTTTGCTCGCCCATTCGAAGCAGTTGCAACATTGTATCGTGAACAGACATTCCATAAAATGGGATATGTCCATGTACACTGTTGTGCTTGGTTGTTAGAGCCTTCTGCAACTTGAGCAGACGCCCTGTATCGGTACAAAGCTCCGCCTCGACAGCACGTCTTCCTTGAGTGTAGCTATTTGCAATTAACGACAAATTGGACTCCAGTGCGTTGCTCTCGATGGCGTTCAGAAAATGATATTCTGCCATAGCCTTTTGATCATCCATAGCGTTGTAAATATCGTAAAGGGCAGTTCGACTAGATTGGGCCATAATTTTCTTGTACATGTTTAAGGCCAAAGGGTATCCATTTATGATCATCTGTGGTAAACATAAAAAATATCTAATTAGTCGGCTAGAAACAATTTCGTTACAGCAGCAGCAATTTACATGGAAATTAGACAGCATCATTTTTTTTTTAATTTCCAAAAGCACCGTAGTTACAAGTTCTGTGTCCCCAGATTGAGTAGCGCTAGCCACTGCCCGATCATATTTGCCCAGCTTCAACAACAAAGGGACCTGCAGAAAGGCTCGCGGTTCAAGTTCCAACAACTTAATGGCCAAATCATCACGACCGCTTTGATGTGCTTTCTCGGCAATATTACAAAACGAGATGCCTTCAATAGATGGATTTTTGAATTTTTCGGTAATTTTACGAGCAACTTCATTGTCATCTGAAATACAAAAGGCATATTTTAATTACTAGACAGTGTGCTAATATTACAATCTATCTTACTTGGATCGTGCATCACTTTGTGATAGGCCCAGTGCTCCAAAATAGATGACTCGGGTAGTTTCAGATGCTTTGCCACTTGTATAGCGATAGCATAGTGTTTGCGGAATACCAACCGACTCAATACTACTTCAGGTTTTAGGTACGAAAATCTGTAATAATATGGCCGATTAAATTAGTATAACATCAAGAATTAACTTGTCACAACTTACTGCTTGTATGTCAGGGGCATCGCAATTTTTGGGTGGCGCAGCGCATTTAAAACGCGTAAGATTCTAAGGATTCGAATGTATTCATCAGGGTTGTGCGACGGTATAAACCCCTTGCCAAAGTACGCTGTCTATAATAGTCCAGTTAGATAAACACGATGTATACCAAACTATTTTTACTCTTACCCTCAGCAGGCTTTTTTGAGTTTCAGTACAGAACTCATGGGCAGCTGCCGCGATGCATTCGTTTACAGCGAGATCGATTTGTGACCGACACATACTCAAATATTCATCCGATTTGTATGATTTTTCCTCGAATTTCTTTTGCGCTTCGAACAAATAGCTTGCCGGTTCCTGGCTATTAACCGCAAAGATATTTTCTACACATTTAGGCAGGCGCTGAATCATTTCGTGACTATTTTGTGTGATTACCCGTACACCGTCCATTTCCGCAACTAGAAACATGATAGGATCATAGGGAAAGTCGCTCCTGTCTGCATGTCGATTAACAATCAACAGGAATGAGGGGTACGAGATGACGACCGCATCAGAATCAGAGTTATCGCTGTTCATGATCCATTCAATTTGGAGTGGCATATCCTTGCGACCAGTGTCAAATTCACAATACTTCTGTCGCATGTCCACGCTGCCCAACCATAACAAACCCTTGTTGGTGTACAATGCCAAGTGCTGATGGTTGTACGAAACGGACAACTTGATGATTCGTTCACCATCAGTAGGTTTCTCAAAGAGATTGGCGGTTATAGTGCCCACCGTTTCACCAGGAAATAATTTAATAATCTCTCGCTCCCGCCCCAGCAAGCAGTAGCTATTGCGTTCCTCCGTTATGATCTCCCAACATGTACAATTGGCGCTAGATTCTGTATAATGTGGTAGGTTAGCCAAACAAAATTATGTCCAGGACTAATGTATTTTTTGACTTACGGGGTATATCGGGTAACTTTCGCATTGGCGCCTTGCTGCTTTGTTTCAGAAAAATGCGACCGGAAGTGGTCATTACAGCTACTCCTGTGCCAGCAGTTGATTGAAATACTTTGGCTTCCACAATCTATTCGAATTAAGGACATTACACCAATAACTATCATCAATTACACTCTTATTGACGCACCTTTGTTACACTGGCTTCTTGGCCTATGCTGTAAGACTCCTTCTCGCGTCCAAACATATCGTAAACAAATACTACAGCGTTCTCCTGCACACAAAGCAGCTCTTCTGTGTCTGACCAACCCATGGCAACGAGATTACCATGATTCCACTGCAGAATTAAATAGCGTTCTAAAATACACACAAAAAAACCGATTTACTTGTTTTTTTGGACTTACGAGTATTTTGCCGAGCTCTTGTCCGGTGGTGTCCAAAATTCGTATAATCGGCTTTGCACTGCCCTTGACAGGCCCCACTTTTGTTCGATCGCGTATTGCAGCCAAAGGACCCCCATAGGGCGCGACCACCACCTGCATATACTCCAGGTCCAAATCAATGGGCCAATCGGGAGTCGTCAACTCGACTTTTCTATGGGCGTATCAGAACAAAAGAATTAAAAACGTAATGGTATGATAATTGCTTATCCCACCTGTAATAGTCAGGCCGAACTTTAAACCATTCACCAGTATCGTGCATTATCGGCATTTCGACGGCTTTTTAAAATAATTATTAAAACGAATTCTGTTTTTCTGCCGTTTACCTTTTTATAAACTTCTTTATTGTTATCGACTTGTATCAAGTAGTGTTGAACAACGTTTTATGTCTTTAAAACCAATTTTCGCGCCTTCATTAATTCAACAGCGTCTCCACATAATATATTGATTTTTTGTTTTTATCTTATTATAATTTGAAACCTTCCAGGAATCGAAAATCAGATAGCACCATGCGTGGATCCTCTAATTGTTTTTCCTTATAATTATCAATCCGTTTCAGTATATCGGCATCAAAGGATGATGCCTCTATAATCTCATCCAAAATGTTGGTATTCTTTTGGCGAAACGCACAGTTCACAGCGTCCTCGTATAATCTTGAATGATAGAATATACCAATTATTATTAGTTTCAATAAACCGGAACATATCTCACTTTGCACGGATATACAGAGCCACCATCCGATCGTCACGACAACGAGCGATATACTTGCGAGCCTCACGCGCATTTTCCTGTTCCATGCAAACCTCGACGAATGGCTCATAGCCTATCGGACTCTTCTTCGACTTGGAGAACTTCTCCAGATCATCCCATTTATGATTTTCGGCCATCGTGCGTATGCGTAGCCACCAATATCTGCGATCTGGAACTTGGAAATCACTTTTTATTTTCTCCGCCTCCTTTTGTTCGCCCATTCGAAGCAGTTGCAACATCGTATCGTGAACAGAGGTTCCCGAAAAGTAGATACGGTGCTTGGTGGACAAAGTCCTCTGTAGCACCATTAGGTGCAATGTATCTGCACAGAGTGTAGCCTCAGCGAAGCAGTTTCCTTTGGTGTAACCGTTTTTCATAACCGGTAATTTAGTTTCGAGGGTTTTTTCCTTGATAGCATTCAGGAAATGATATTCGGCTATTGATTTGTGGTCGTTTTCGGTAATATAGATGTCACATATATCGCTGCACAAAGATTGTAGCAATATATTTTTGTACATTTTTAGAGCTAGGGGAAGATTTTTTGAGATCATCTGAAAAAATAATAAAAGTTTGGCCCTTTTGTCGAAGAATTAACATAACGCAGTTAATATTACAATCAAGTCCAAAGGCATCATTGTCTTCTGGATTTCAAGTAAGGCCAGAATCAAAAGTTCAGAATGTCCATAGAGCTCTGCTTTAGTCAAAGCTAGATTATGCTCCTTAAAGTTGAGAAACATCATAACCTGTAGCGGTATCTGAGGTTCCTCATTTAAAAGTTTTTTGGCCAGAGCTTTGTGTCCACGTAGAAATAGCTTTTCAGCTATTTCAGAATACGAAATGTATTCAAATTTTTTTAAGTACTTGATTATACTTAAGACAAAATTGTAGCGTTGACGATTGGCTAGTAAATTAATTATACCATCGAGACGAAGGCAGGAAAATCTGCAAAAATAAGAGGACGTTAAAACTATTATAAAAAAAATATTACGTATGTATCATGTGTTTGTTCCATAAAGATTTTTGTTTGCACACAGAGTTATAGAAGAAAACAAAAGAAGAAATATGTAATTCTTACTGTTTTAAAGTTATGGGCAGGGACATATGATTGCGTAGTGCATTTAATACACGCAAGATGCGTAGGGTTCGCATATATTTAGCGGGATCGTGCGACGATATATACCCCTTCCCAAGATATGCAGCCTGTTATGATACGTTATGGAATATGGAATATGTAATAGCGAGATATTTTAAATCATACCTTCAGTAGGCTCTTTTGAGTTTCGATAGAGAACTCATAGGAAGCCGCCTCGAGGCGTTCGTTGACAGCCAGATCGATTTGTGAACGACACTTACGCAAAAACTCATCCGATTTGATCGAATTCCTCTCAAAATGTTGGTTGGCCTGAAATAAAGAGCGACTCGCTTTCTCACTATTCTCGGAAAATATATTTTTGACACATTCAGGTAATACTTGTATCAATTCATGACTATTTTCCGTGATTATTCGCACACCATCCACTTCCGAAACTAGAAAAATATCACCACAAATATAGGAAAAGGTTTTGCTTTGCATATGGCGATTCACAATCATTATATCGGACTTGTAAGAAATAATTACTGCATCCGCGTCTGTACTATCAAGGTTCATTATCCATTTGATTTGTAGGGGCAGTTCATTGTGGTTAGTTTTATATAAACCATAAATCTGACTCATATCTATACTTCCCAACCACAAGTGCCCAGAGCTTGTGTACAAAGCCAAATGCTGCTGATTATGCGATATTTTTATAATATGCTCATTGCCGATTTTTTTTGGAAATAAATTGTTCGTCATTATGCCCATAGAAATTTCAGAGCAAAGCTTGATAAGGTCAGTACCGCTACCGATCAAGCAGTAACATTTTGTGTCCTCCACCACAATCTCCCAGCACCCTGGCGTTTCTATGGGCACTGGAAAGGGCGATGACTGTTCAATATATGTGTAAGGCAAATTTCTTAAAGCCGATATTCTAGTGTCCTTTATAAATATGTGGCCTAATGTGCTCACAACAGCAACGCCAGTACTGTATGCGTTTTGAAACACCTTGGCTTCCATAATCTGCAAAGGATAACTTCAGAGCATTGCTAACTATTAATCGACCTATTTACCCTTTTCCCCTCCACTTCTGGTAACACTATTTGGTAGGAATCCGTTTCGACTCCACAAATACTGTATACCGAAACAGATGCTTCCTCCTGCACGCATACCAACTCCTCCGCTCGTGACCAACCCATTGCGATAAGTTTGCCGCGATTCCACTGTAACATTTAAATTATATTAAGGGTATCAGGCGGCAAGAGTTACACACTAATATTTTGCCCAACTCTCTGCCAGAGGTTTCAAAAATGTATATCGTTAAGTTCGCAGTATCACCCACAGAGGTATATTTGGATTGGTCCAGTATCGCTGCAACAGGACCACCAAAAGATGCAGCTGCAAAGTGCATATGCTCCAAGGTGAAATCATCAGGCCAATCAGGTGCCAAGAGTTTAATTTTTCTGCGGGCAGTAAGATCATTCACAGGAGTTATTGTTAGCTAATTTATATAAGCTATAAATATGTTTCAAGAAAAATCGATGGCAAGCGAAAATTATAAATCTATTTTAATCCTACCTGTAGCAATTGGGCTGAACCCTGAACCAATCATTCGCTCCTTCGGTCATTGTGTGGCACTTGTCAAGAATATACTGTCCGTTAGACTTTTATATGTATGCGCAGCTGTTTGAGTATTGCGGTGTTGCCACCTGTTACAAAAACTGCACTCCAATTGGCAGTTCAGGCGCACATGTGAAAGGGCCGATTGTAGTAGCCAGTATTATTCGCCACTTAAATACGCTTACAACCTATTTAAAAATAGTTAATATTAAAATAAATGGCAGACACAAAGCAAGCGATTGTCCAGGGCGTTGATGCGCTAACATTGAATGGGAAGGTGGACTCCGACTCCGTAGAAACGGCTGCAGACGCTCAAGCGCAAGAAGCAACAACAACGGATGATGTCGTGGATCCGTGGAACGTCACAAGCACCAACGATGCAGGCGTTGATTACGATAAGTTAATAAGTAAGTTAAGTTGAAGTGCTCGCTCCGTGGCCAACACTTATTAAGCATGAGCTTATGAAACTTTTATTGACACGTTGCAGAACGCTTTGGCTCAAGCAAAATCGATGATGAGCTTATCGCCCGCTTCGAAAAAGTCAGTGGCAAGCCAGCGCATCATTTTATCAGACGCGGCATATTCTTTTCGCATCGTGACTTACACACCATCTTAACACTTCGCGAGCAAGGCAAGCCATTCTATTTGTACACTGGACGAGGCCCTAGTGCGGGATCCTTGCACATGGGCCATTTGATACCTTTCGCCATGACCAAGTGAGTAACTATACCACCAATCATGAATGTCGGCAACTATACCCTTTCTATTAGATGGCTACAGGAGACATTCGATGTGCCTTTGGTCATACAACTAACTGATGATGAAAAGGCTTTGTGGAAAGATTTAAAAGTTGAAGAAGCCATTAAACTGGCGCGTGAGAATGCCAAGGATATTGTTGCTATGGGCTTTGATGTTAATAAGACATTCATTTTCAACAACTTGGAGTTCATGGGGTACGTAGAGGATGACAATTTACGTTAAAAATGCAGCTCATATCTGTCTTCTATTGCAGAAAATGCCCAGCAATGTACCAGAATGTCATACGGATACAAAAGTGTGTCACTTTCAACCAAGTTAAAGGTATTTTTGGCTTCGGTGACTCTGATATTATTGGCAAGATTGGCTTTCCTGCCGCTCAAGCGGCGCCAGCCCTATCTAGCACATTTCCATTCATATTCGGAAATAAAAAGATGCACTGTCTAATACCGTGCGCCATCGACCAGGATCCATACTTCCGCATGACACGCGATGTAGCGCCACGCCTGGGCTTTCCAAAATGCGCACTCATACACTCGACATTCTTTCCAGCGCTTCAAGGCGCCAAGACGAAAATGTCGGCAAGTGATCAGAATTCGGCCGTCTTTCTCACTGATACTCCGAAGCAGATCAAAAACAAGATCAACAAATATGCCTTCTCAGGCGGACGGACTACAGTAGAGGAGCATAGGGCCCTGGGCGGTATTCCGGATATCGATGTGGCCTATCAGCTGTTGAAATTTTTCCTCGAGGACGACGAGAAGTTGGAAGAAGTGCGTGTGGCATACAGCAAAGGAGAAATGCTAACAGGCGAAATAAAGAAATTGGCTATTGAGGTAAGTCAATATATGATTAAATGGACTTACACCATTGCTTACTTGTGAATAATGTGCCTCTCAGACTTGCACGCCAATTGTGGAGCAACATCAGGCAGCTCGTAAGCTCATCACCGACGAAGTGCTGGATAAATACTTTGAGATACGACCCTTGACCTTTGGCAGTTAGTTAAAAATGCAACAGGCTTAAAGCTCGTTGCATATTTAATATCCATTATACTCGCTATTTATTGTATATTCAAACCACAATTTATATTTTTTTATTTATGTATGAACAAGAAAAACAGCAAACGGAATGTAAACAAATTAATAAACGGCTTCAGTTTTCAAACGCAACGACTGACTCAAAATTTCGAAATTTTTACTGGTATTGGTTCCAACGCATACGCACACACACATTTATGATCGCTGTAACGTTGCAAAAAGAGCTACAAAGTTCTACCTTAAATATAATTCATTGACACCTGAGTCATACCGGGGTTCGTTATACTGCGAGTATATATACATTTAGTAGGCGACGAACAGCCTAAGATCAAAGTTGAATATTTTGGCAATGTCATGTCCATTGTGCCTGCAAAGTGGTACCGCAATCAATTGTCACAATTTTGTAGTTAATTGTTAGCTTCTTATAGCTGGCATATTAATCTACATAATACTCAATAATAAACCGAAATCTAACATTTTTGTACCTATCTGAGCTACAATATGTATAGAATATGTATGTATATTTTTAAGTAATTTAATTTATTTTCATATATGTACAAAAAAAAATCAACTTTATGATTAGTGCTTCGATCTGCGTAGTTTAAAACAATTGAAAATAAAGCCCATAGTTATTAAAAAGTTTTACTTTCATTTTATACCAACAAGAAAAAAAACAAAGATCCGATGTTTTGTTTTTATACTCTTCCATAGAAAGTAAAAGTATAAGTGTATCCGTATTGGGGTGTACATTTTGAAGACCCAGAACGTAGAATTTTGCATCACAAATTATACAAATAGATACATATGTATGTACATACAGTACAATTAAAAATTGGAAAAAGAATTTTCGAATGTAAACTTTTTTGTGTATAACGATATTGGAACCAGATTGATTTGAAAATACTACACCACAATAACAAGTATATTCTAATGGAATATTAGATACTTAGTATAGGCCCACTATACTTACATATATACCAATTCGCGACCCATGACTATGAACGAACAAATTTGTTGTTGTAGGTCTCAAAGAATGAGATACATCTTCGTCACAGATAACTCCTAGCAATTTTAAATATATTTTTTTAGATTCTTAACAGTTGAATGATCATATTTTCATTGCCTTCGATTTTTTAAATTTACCTCAAACATTTATATTCTTGCAGACGCTTTTCGTGCATTTCCTATATGAAGTGCATGTTTCATTACCAGGAAAGCAAAAGCTACCTCATTGCTTGTGCTTATCAGCTCTCTAATAAACTTTGGAGCTGTAGTCTGGGAAGAAACAGCTAAAACAATAGCTTCAATTCACCCAAATTGCAACAACATAAATATATATGTATATGTACATATTCTAGTGTAATACTATAGGCCTGTAAGAAATTCCCGAATGCGAGTTGTTGCTTTCATGAATTAATCGGAAAGTGTGCTTATTACTTAGCCCAATTCAAGAAAAAAAAAAAGTGAAGGAACTTATATGGGTAAATATTTAGACTGGCTACAACTAGGGCTAATCTTATATACACATGCATACTTATGTACTCGTATGTACCTGTAGGTACAAATGAATAACTGATTGGAAGAGCGACTTGCAATTGGCTAAATAGACCAAGAGCGGCTTGCACATAAACATCACACATGTACATATGTACGCATATGTATGTATGTACACAAAAGTTCATGTATGTATGTACATACATATATGGATGGATATATGAAGTTTTATTGTCGTATAGGTAGGTGGGTATATTTTTTAATTAACTCAAAACACTTGTGTTTACATGCGTCAAAAATATATACTCCACGTATAGTATACGTATGTACATAGGTATATACATATGTATGTTTGTATATACAAACATCCATACATACCGTATGTATGAATTTTGCGCCCGCTGTAAAAAAAAATTCAAACTGAAGTTGGGGCGCACGATCGAATCGATCAACATCTCCCAGCCATAGAGCACACGTTACTCCGACACCGCGCACGCACAGCCACGACTTGGGTTAAATAGAAGGAAATTAAGCCGCTGCATTGTTGTTGTTGCTGCTGCTGACAGGTACACAGACAGAAGACGAAACGATCCATCGGCCGACAGTGAGGATCGTGGGCCATTGTGTCCGTTTTTGTTGACACACGCACCGCACACAGGCCACTTGTCAAGCCAATTGGCCAAGTAGTTGTAACTATTGCCTATTGGTCTTGAGATGATAAATGTGGGTGCTCTGGAATTTGGCACTGGAATGAAATCGATGGTGGCCGATATTTCATAATGAGCTGAGAAAAGGGGACTCGTTTTTCTAATTCACTATAAAAATAGTCGGCCCTGTTGGAATAACTCAGGTAAACTGTGTGTGAAAAACCGAAAGTGTTCTTTGGTGACGGCGACTGAAACTTGGCGCTCGCTTCAGCGCCCACCGATCATCATTGCATTGCCCGAAGTTGCGACTAACAGACGTGCGCGAGGGCGCGGGTCCGTTAAATTGTACGCCCCAGAAAAAAACAAAAAACAAAGCAAATATAAAAATACATTATTCAACTGAAAGTAGTTGAGTCTGCCAAACGAAATCGGCTTAAGAATTGATCGGCAATGAGTGATCAATTGCTGAGTGCAGTGTCGACTGAGCCACCGGCTCTAATAGCAACCCCAGTGCCCGACGACTCTTATCCGTCGCCCTCGGATACAGAACAGACTGAGGAACCTGTGCTGCTAGAGCTTGGTGCGCAACCGGCAGTCAGTGTTAGCTACACGCTCTCAACAGATCACAGCAGTATGCTATCCTACAGCCCTTCACAGGTCTCGTACTCACCGACACTGTTGACCGGCTATGAGAAGTCATTGCAGCATCCCGGAAATCTAAGCCAGATGCCCTCAGGCGCCTTCAGTATTCCACAGCCGGTATCCATGTGGCAAACGGGTGGCCCCACACCAGTAATAACGTCGAATAATGTTGTTCCTGTGACCCTTGACATTCCCCTACCCATACCCGTACCGAAAAAACGCGTCGAGCTTGTGCCGCCCCCCGTGTTTATGACTTATGGTAGTGGAAGTGCGGCGACGGAAGTGTTAATTTCTAAGGAACAGAATCCGGCGTGGCGAGAGAAGGCGCTCCAAATGGAAAAAGACTATCGAAGAACAGCCTGTGATCGGGAACGTACACGAATGCGTGATATGAATCGAGCCTTCGATCTATTGCGCTCGAAGCTGCCAATTTCAAAGCCTAACGGCAAGAAATATTCTAAAATCGAAAGTTTACGGTAAGTTGAATCAACTCCAGTATTTTCATAGTAGCTTTTATAACGATGAGTTTAATACCATCCATAGCATTGCCATCAATTACATAAACCACCTTCAAGCCATGTTGCGCGAAAATCATGTGTCTGAAACGGAGCTCGTCACCTTCAAAAACACTAATAGTAATCCTTTGCATTTTGAGACCCAAAATCATCTTTCCGGCTACGATTACGATAATGGCGTATTATCGGTATCAACAACAATAGCACCGGCACAAAATAGCAATGGTTGTTGTACTTGGAGTGGTGGCAGCAGCTCGCCGAACTATGAACTGAGCGCCAAAGATCACTGGGGTGCTTAATATGTGCCTCAATTCGCTAACGAAATTTATTAAACATAACGGTTTGTTTTCAAATCTGTCGTTGATCATACTTGCAGGCTGGCAAAAGCTAAGCTGCACGAAACGTATATGGAGCGTTTATAGAGTTGCCAACATAATATTTAAGCAGCAATTGAATTGGCAGAATTGTTAAGACGATTTAATCGATCCAAAGCCATAATTCAAACAAAAATGTCTTTTTAGGTTATATATATTTTAACGTTATTTAACATTTTACATTTGATAATTAGCATATTTAATGCATATTTAGTTCAAATAAAGTGACTGATTGAGTTTATAAACCTAAAAAGTACAACAACGAAACATATCTAACAAAACACTTTTTAACTGATAATGGAATTTGACTGTCTAGCAAATGATAACTTTTGTAATACTTAATTTTAGCTTATCATGGTATTTGTAAAGCCAATTAACTGCACATACTTATACACAAATACACATTTAGCTATCGAACTTCGCAGTTGTGGAGTGGCTTCTGCACCTCGACTTAAAAGGAAGAGGAAAAATTGTGCTGTAGCTACATGATTGTAGTCTCCAGGCTTGTTGTAGACTCTTCCTTAATTATCCTTCTTCATTCTGGTGGAAGTCATACGATAGATGATCGAGTCCCTGCCGGGATCCATTGAGCCAATAGCATAACATATAGCCAATAGGGATAGGCCAAAAACAACCATGAACCACAAAATAATGTTGAAGATAACCGGGTAGTTGTAGTCGTAGTATTCGGCCAAATTATAGGGGTTCAAGGTGTTTGGTGGTACGGCATCGCGTTTAGTACGCGATGAGGATACCTCTTCATCGGTGGTTTGAACAAAGAGGACCGAGCCACTAGATTTTTGAGCTGCGACCAGCAGGCGACCAATGGCAGCAGAGATCAGTTTGTTGGCTTCATCCAAGGCTTCCGACTTATCACCGTGCGCTTTGGCAATGCCTTCGACGGACAGGCGGACGAGTAGCACGTTCGAGGGTTTAAGCATATCGGCCAGATTTTCAGAGGCAGCGTTAATATAACCTATTTCCTGCAGAAACTGTTTGTCAGCGCTGTGCAGTGATGGGTTTAAATGCTTGGTAGGCTTAGCGGCAGGTGCCTCGAAATCCCCAAAGCATGATTTGAATGCTTGGATCTGGAAGGAAACGTTTTTGGAATGTTTTTAGAACACACACACAACAATTATGTTACTTACGCCATCCTCGTACTGTTCAAAATTAATGTCGCACACTGGCTCGTTGGCAGCTTCTAGCTCAGCAGCCAATCCATTCAGCGAATTGCTAGTACTGGACCCGACCAGATCATAAGTTTTGGATGCGCCAGTTGTGGCGATATGGCGAGTTCCCTGCACGTGCACTGCTATTATGCATTTGGCCAAGTTGAAGGGATCAGAAAAAGTCATTCCGCTCCAGTTTGAATCACCATTGACAGCATTGCCCAAGGAAGCGTATAGCACATCGCCAACATTGTAGCTGTCCAATGCGTCATTGCCCTTGAAGCTGATCCCCTTGGGGCTACTCAGCACTGTAAATTCGCCAGACGCATGAACTGCAAGTCAAAAATATTGGGTTATTCGGATTCCTTCTTAGGTATCAGAACAAATAAAGGAATGTATCTGCCACCCCCACGAACTACACAATCGATGATTGGGCCTTAGAAAAAATTTGCACAGCCACAACAAATATGCGCACAATATGCACGGATAAGTGCGATATAAGAATTCAGATGATTTACTTACTTGCTACAATTAAGAGCGAGAAAATCACGCAATTTCGAAACATTTCCACGGCAATATTCTTTTTAATCATATGACGACTGCGAAAACCTGTGCCTACTGCGCTCCGTGTATGACTTTTCACTCGCTGTCACATGATAAGCAGTGTTGTCAAGCGTGTGCAAATATCGCAAAACTACAGCACTTTAAGTGTTGGTAACTGCGATGGCAGTCACTGTTTAACTTGTCAACATTTGTGTGGATTTTGGATTTGTCTATCCATGACTTTCAAAGCAGACGCGAACTTGGCTGATCTGGTGGAGATATGCATGCTCCCGGCTCTAAAAGAAAATCTCGACCAGCTACGATTAGAACCGGAACATTTCGGAAACTACAGAGCACATTTAAAAGCACACCTCCCGATACTGTATGATTTGTTGCAGTCAACCGAGGATACTTGGTTAAATGGCGCGGACCCGGCACAAAAACAGGTACAAAGAGGCCAGCTAAACTGCGAGGACTGCACACTTTATATTGTTTATTTTTTTAGTTGCGAGCAAATCTTGTCTTGTTGCTTTGCGAGTTGACTGCAGTTAAAGACATACTTGAACTCGAGATTAGAGACAAATTTGTTCTGGACAACGCTAATAAATTACTGAACAAATTATCACAACGGCTGGATAGCGACGTGCAAGCACAGATTATCAAATACTACGAGGAGAAACTGCACAAGGATTGTTGGAAGCGTCAGCTTGGCGCTACTCATGGGTTTATCAGATATTTGGAAGTAAGTGGTTGCAATCAAAAAATCTAGCACATCCAGCAATTAAGGTTGTCTTACAGTGCCAGTATTCAGCCTCAGATGCAAGCATGTCCACAAATATGATGACCTTTACTTTAGCTGTGGGTTTAAATGTCCGTGAATGCTATGAAATTCTGTACAAGGAGCTTGGCGTGCGAATTTTTCTTCTGATGCTGACGCATAACGTATGTACGTTGAAATGTGTAAATTTTAAGTTAACTTTTATATACTTTCAGGACGCAACCAAGTTACAAGATCTCAATATACACGGAGTGATATATGATGATGTATTTCGTGATACGTACAACATGGATGGACACACGCTAGAAGGAAAAAAGGCTGTATGGAATTGTCTATGTCTGTGCTTGGATCATTTCACATTGATGGATCGGTTTGTGGTACATAAAATTAGTCCATAGGCCAACGTATATTTTAATTGTACATCTTTGACAGTGGAATCAATGTGACGACATGCTTGAGCGCCTTTTACATATCATTACACTCTCGTCTGGAGCCGAAACATCGATTTGTCTATTGCCATTTATAACAAAGCTTTGCTACCACTTCAGCATTAATCGCAATGAAATTGAAACTAAGTTAGCAGATGACCTTACACAGTCGGAAGCTTTAACAGAATGTAGAGAAGTGTGTATGGCGCTTAACTCATACACCAGTTACCGCTGGGCTAAAAGCATATTGCAAATGCTTGTATTGGAGACGGAAAAACTCCTGCAAGGTATTGAAATTTGCTGTAGTATGTTGTTGGAAATGCTTCGCTGCTATTTGGTATGCATCTTACCCATACCATTGCAAGTCATACGCATGCATTTGCACGAGTTCTTTTACAAGTTTCCCAGTAGTTTAATGGAGAGCTTAGCTGTGCATAGTTTCGAACCCAGAATTACAATGGTAATTATTTAATTATTACACTTACATATATAGATGTTTTTGTACAATTGAACTTTATTTTGCAGCTCGTCAGGCAATTCATTTACACCTTTGTTTTTCAACTAAAAAATGGGTCGTATACCAATCTTCCCGACGATTTGCAAAAATTTCTGATTGCATTCGAGAGTCTAAAATTAATGAATTAAAACAAATTGCTCAAAACGGTATATGCGATTGTAGCCACAATGGAATGTGGAATTATAGCTGCTAATGCCGGTTTTAGACCAAGGAAGAAACCTTTATAACCATGCCTTTGGATTAATGCTGCACAAACGTCTTTCTTCATCGGATACACTTCATAATCGGCGGTCATAATTATTGTTTTAATGGCATCAACTGGCGTGAAAATCAGTGAGAGAATGCTTCCCGTTAGCGTTAGGGAAATCAAACTAATCTCCCACGGTTTATCATCCAGTTTGTGCAATTTAACAAGCAAATCTTGAATCTTTGTGAGGTTAACAAACATATTACTTGTATGCCTACACACGTAAAGAATAATTCTCAAACCGTATTGTATATGGGAGGGGTCGCAACTGCCAAAGCGCAGCTGGTCAAAGCATGGAGTTTGAAGCCGGCAAAGATGTGTTTGATGCCTCCCTTGTGGAACATACAGAAACAGGCATTCGCAAAATTGACATAACTGAAAGAATTTTAATTTGAAGTCATAAAACAAGCATGCTTGTATATGCCTATACTTGCGTCGATCATACACATTACGCGTCAAATCTGTCTGACGAATCATAGCATATTTTACGAAAGGCGTTGCTAGCATTCCAGAACAAAATCCACTTAGCCCAGCTACGGCATTGTTGTCGAATGGCTTGAGTATCGTAATATATTGGCTGTGTTTCAGGTAGTGGAAGAACATATATTGCGAAATGGACTGCACAGTGCAGCGTACAATGGCGCCTTCGAGGCCGTAATAGAAACCACGAATCCCCTTTTTATTGAACATAAGTCTTATGATCCTTCGAAGGGATATATAATGCAGTGCACTAGCCTGCACGTTAACACGCATTACGTCCATCGGATGCGCCAAGACAGTACCTGTCAGGTTAATGAGGTAAACAAGATAGGCTGGTACATTGGAGAGGGTTTCGTATGTTCCCTGGGTCGTCATGTTTCATCATACCAAGAAAATTTTGAATTCAGTTTTAAAAATTTCAACATAACGCCAACTTTGCCAAATATTTTACTGTATATACGTATTTAAAACGTCTTTAGAAAATAGGCCATAAATGAGGAGCAGCACGTTAAATAAACTTAAAATCTGGAATGTGTTATGAAATTAAAGTCGTGTATAATCTTGCGTAAATTATTTTTTAAATCACTATCTGGGTAGTTGAACTTTACAATTTACTTTCACTTATAACTATCAAAATACATCACTTATTAAAATAAATATATCACTTATAAGTGTCTAAATATTTTTTTATTTTTAAAGCGTGCTGTGCAGTTATATTTTTCTGTTTACGATAGAAGGAGGCCTTATCTCGAAAGTAGGAAATTGATTTAATTAATTCCATTTCAGCGCTAGGGACATTGTCATTGTTTTGAATTTGACCAGGAAGATCAAGCTGCTCTAGTTCTTCCATCGTAAGATAATTTTCAATGTTCTAAAAAATTAATGAAATGTCTTAACAATATTGTTTTGGACTTTTTAGTTGCAGTAACTAATACTCACAAGTCCTGCTGTATCGCTGTAGGGGTCAAGCTCCTGATCCATTGGTGCGGTTGTTGTCACCTCACTATTTTTAGGCATTTGCATCTGTAATGTGTTTATGTTATGAACCGTTACCAAGTGCGCCAAAAGCTCCGATTCAGTATTAGGAATTTGGTTGTCGGAGCATAGCAGACATTTTACATTTTGTGTACACATTTTTTCGAAAAATGTCCAAGCTGATGTAAAATTTGGCATATTGCAGTCCATTGTTGCAGATTATTCAGAATACATTCATTTTTATTAGAGCTCCGAAAATTACACGAATTATAAAATACTCGCGAAACATAAGACGCTAATATATTGAATGTTACCAAGATGGTGAAGGTACCCGTATTGACACATCGATAGCATTCATTTGAAAACATCGATGGCTCTGCGATATCCACAAGGGTATTCTTGAAATATGCCCAAAGCCGAAGTTTACTGATCGCGTCAAGTGATTCGCTTTAGTTAAGGGCGGAACAACAATCAACTATTTTTAAGTTCTCTAAAAGGGAAAGTATGATACAAATTTTTAAATATATGTAAATATAATGGCTTACACGAAAATTACTTTAAAACTATACAAAGAGCAATGTTGACTTCAAATGTGGTAGTGGTATTTTAATAATAATTTAAATTCATGGTAATATGCTTTATTACTTTTGCTAAGAAATTTTAAGCATCATCAAATTTTGGATTGGGTTTTGGCAGATTGATTTGGATTCTGGACAATTGTGCGCCGCTAGCCAACACTAATTTTACTCGCTCCTTTTACATATAGTGTTGCCACACTTGTCGTGTTTTGGCCACAACAATGTTGATAAAAAATAAATATAATAATTATAATTAAATGAATACAGATAATTTTAATACTTGCAACATGAATGTAAGTAGCATGCTGAATGTGCTAAAAAGCTCAACGGACAAGACAGTCATATACAAATGCCTTGTAAAACTTCGCACTGACTTAGTAAAAGATAAAGGTAAAACGTACACAACTAAATATTTATTAAAATACCAGTATTAATTCAAAAACAGCACTAATTCCAATTCGATTATAATTATTGTTATTGTTGTTATTGAAGATGGCATCGTTTTGTTTCGTGTGGCTGGGGGAGTGCCAATGATCGTCAGACTATTGGGAAGATTGAATGAGAAAATAATGGAGGTGTCCCTAAGTATATTAGGGAACTGCTGTACAGACGAAGAAGCATGCAAGGAGGTAAATGTTTTAAGTAATTGTGAAATGCAAAATCTAATTTTGCAAAATTGATTATTAAAGGCCGTTGAATGCAAAGTGGTTGCGCCCCTGATAACAATATTGAAAACCATACCCAATCCTGTGATCCAATGCCGTACTTGCCGTATGCTTGGCAACCTGGCCAAGAGTAAAGCCGCTTCTCCATTCCTGAGCCCCCACTACGCTGCCATAGCGCCGGCTATTTGCCACATTATTGATACTACGAGTGCAGTTCAAACGAGGATCATGGCATTTCGCGTGTGTCGCATTCTTCTTGTTAGCTCACAGTTCCTTAAACACTTTGTAGCGGCAAACGGGTTTCTTCAGTTGATGAGCATATTTACGGCCGTTATGAAAAACAACGAGGCATCAAAAACGCCCACACAAGACTTTGAAGTGTCCGCGATAATGGGATTAAAAAAGAACCAGCATCGAGAGAAATATTTTGAAGAGGTGGCACGCAATTTGGAAGGTGTGCGCAGCGATATCTTTGATTATCAAATGTTGAAGAATTCATCCCGCATTGTAAACGAATATATTTTACCCAAAGAGAGCGATGCCATTGAATTGGCTTATGAAATATTAAAATGCCTGTTGCTGTTATCGGCCCATCAGTTGGGCATGCGTACATGGGAGGTGAGTTTCGAATCAAATAAGTACAATACGAATTTTTTGAGTACAATATTCTTCTTACAGCCTCTTTCGCGCACATCTTCGTTCGCACCTATTGTTTATTTTGTGAAGGAGGAAAGTGATCAGCGTGCCCATGCGCTGAAAATATTGTCAAATTTTTGCAAAGATCCCTGCGCGTTTTATATGCTCAGCAACGCAGATGCTATTGTGGTTGCATGTGAGTTGCTCATGGCTGTAAATATGGCAAAGCCTTTGACAGAAAGCGAGTCCCGCCACTGCATTAATATTATCTCAACGTTATCGGCCGATGCGTGCAGTCGCTCTAAAATTCGACGATGCGGCGCGTTGCGAAAATTGGTAGCCATGATCAGGGAGTCGAATTCACAAAGTGAACGATCTTTGGTATGTAACCATCTTTTCTTTTGTTGTCTTAGTTTTTCAAGTCTAACCTCTCCATCTTAAGCTTTTCCACATACTAAACAACTTTCAATACGACAATTTAAGTATGGGATTTATGCTGTACGAAGGGTTGGTGCCTGTGTTGGTACGAGAACTAAATGATTATCTTACCAGTGATGATGAACATCACAAGCGACGTCGTGAGGAACGCTTACAGGGCGGGAAGAAGCGCAAGTTAGTAGAGTCCGCCACTCCAGAGACGATGAGCAAGGCAAGTCACAGTACTGTTAAAATGTTTTTCATTATGTTCATTTTATGCGTAGTTCTCTAAAACCCAAACGCAGGTCACATTGGACTTTGAATCTCCTAGCAGTTCCCCGTACTCTAATCGCACCACAAGTCCGTGTAGCTCGCGCAGCATGTCCCCAGTTTCCTCGAAACTTTTTAACAACGACGATGAGGAGGACTATTCTCCAGCTTGTAGCGACGACGATGAGGAGGATGATGAGCCAACTGATGTTGATACCAATACACGGGAGCACAGAATAACTGCTAATCGGGCCCAGCCGGCGAATGTTTTGGACATTCTAAAATTAATCGATGAGAATAGTGATACCATAGACGATCCCCTGTCTGACAAGGAGGACTTCGATGAGATTAGCTTGGATGTTCCAGCTAAGTTGGCACAAACACGAAGCTTAAGTGGAGATGGTATAGACGTTATTGAGAATCTTTTTTATCGCATTACACTCATGATAAACAAACGGCCGGAGTTGGGAAAACCGGAAACTCTGGATACACTCATCAAAGCCATTAACATGTTTGGAGCGAACAACAACTTTGCCAATTCTCTGACAAATATTCTACTGTAAGTCTCTATTACTGAAATCACGATTCCCTTTTTCAGTCTATGCTATTTTTTGTATTCCGTACCACAGTGAAAGCCAGTTTTTCGCGCAGATTATCAAACAAGGCGTTGTTCATCAGTTGTATCAACTGACCAAAGTAGAGGAGGTACATCAAAAGATTGCTGCTCTCTCAATGGAAAGTAAAACTAATGTATTTGTTATTTACAGACGCGAAAAGACGGGTTTGCATTCCTTGAGACACTCACCAATGTCGGCGAATCTAACTACGGTAAAGAGGAACTGGTCCGACTGTTACGATGCGACGATATTAATGCGCAACGCCGGGCTGCTATATCGGTAGCCTATATAATTAAGAGCCATCGCCTGCTCTATCAGTTTCTGTATGACGGCAATGCGTTAACGCTGCTCTTTGAGCTGTTGTTGCGCAAGAAACTTGAGCCCGATTATGCGTCTGAAGCTGCCGATGCCTTGACTGCCATGTCCCGCTTTACGTTGGGCATTACATTACCTGAAGTGGAGGCGACAGAGAACAGCGAGGATTGCAGCGTACGCGCTTGGTGTGACGATACCAAACCAGATGTTGGTCCCATACTCCTGCACACGGACTGCGACATGCACTTTGTAGTGCATGAAGACTTTACCACTCCCAGTGAAGCCAGTGACAATGAAAGCACTACTGGCATGGAAAAAGAGCCTGTAAAGGTTGGCTTTAACAAGCAGATGCTTTGTGACTCTAGCGAAGTCTTCAACAAGATGCTGAACAGCGATTTTCGTGAAGGCCAAGAGGGCCAGATCCAGCTACAGGAGTACACCGTTAGTGGACTGCGGTACTTTCTTCATCTTGTTGGCTGCCAGGCGGAGTGCATAGCTTCACAGTCTCCAACATCACCCAAGTATGCAGCTCTACTAGAGGCTTTTGAAATGTCACGGGTTTACATAATGCCAGAGATGGAAACTTTGCTGCAGCAATACCTGATTAAATTTCTTGATGCCCACAACTGTCTGCGACTGCTGGAATGGGCGCTGAAAAACTATCATGCGGAGCTAACGGAGACGGCCATCAACTTCTATTTGTGCGCTCCACTGCCAGCACAAGACAAGATCACTCTGTTCCGTGATGCTGAAGATTCGACCTTTGCCACTGAATGGTTTCAATTGCTGAGCGATGCCGTTTACGAGCGCTGCCGTAGTGTCGGCTACTAGAAACTGTTTGATTTTCCACCTGTTTATATGTAAGGATTGTTTATGAGTGATTTAAATTCAGCGATTCTGACAAGTATACGTGCTGACGTCCTATGTATATGTTTAGATAGAGCCGTAAAAATACAAGTATTCTATAACACTCAAGGGCGTACGCAGCTTTTACAAAAGGGGGGCGCCAAAAAACTAAAATTTTGATTAAATAATGCACAATGCATTTAAAAAATAATTTATGCATATGATAAATGAAAAAACATCAACAAATCCAACTCAGTTCCATTTTCAAGGCGAAATAGTGTGTCATAATAATGAACTTTATTTGGCAAAATGTTTTGTAGGGGTCCAAACTACCCCCCTCCCCCTGACCCTCCCTTGCGTACGCCCTTGATAATACACATCCCATAATAAACAAAATTTAGCCCCAGTTTACAAGTTTTGAGATTTTTGTATTGTTTGCTAAAAAGTTGTTTTAAAAAAATCAACAAATGGCTTTTAACATATTACTTTGACAACTTTTAATACTTTTAGAGAAACATTCAAAACTATATTAATTATACTATATAATATTATTCATATGAAACATGCGCATTCTCCACACTAACAAAGTCCGATTTTCGGGCGAACTCTTGAGAAAGGTACCCAAAACCACATAAATATTTTCTACAAGTTCAAGCCTCGAATAGCTAGGTGCTGTGCTTTCGATCGGTCACAGATCGGTAGCTGGGCATCGCACAGAATTGCACTGCCAACCAATCTACTAAAGGGGTGGGACAAAGTCGAAACAACCAGCGATATATCTTGTAACGCCAGGGCTCGTGGATATACAATGCTTTGGGATGCCTACTGGTGAGGGCATCGCGAAATTTACTGAGCAGCTGCTCGTCCTGAAACTGATTGGGCGCCTTAAAGCCAGAGAGGATGCGCAGATATGTGTTAAACTCCTTAAAATAGGCACCATAGTGGTTGCGCTGCTCTTCATTGAATGCCGCGAACATTTCAAAAGCCTGATCCTGCTGGCGAGCAGCTATATTGCTGGCCATTACAAAGGAGCCGGGCACAAAGTTAATCACTTCAACGCCATACTGCTGCAGTTCCATGCGTAGGGCATCGTTCCAGAAACGCAAGGCGGCCTTCGATGCGGCATAGGGCCCAAGGGCTGGCAAAGCCTGAAAAGTAAAATCAATTCAAGTTATTATTTCTATTCAAAAACATTTGAGGACTTTCAAATCTTAGGCCCGGCTATAGCGAATTATTCATATAGCTTTCGGAATTTATTTACCTGCAGTCCACAGTGGCTGGTTACATTGATGATGCGAGCGCGTTTTTGACGGACCAATGGTAGCAGCTGCTTGGTAAGACGCATGGTTCCTAGAACATTGACTCCAATGCAGTGCTCCACCTGCCCCGGCGTCTGCCACTCGAATTCTCCGAAGCACATAACACCAGCATTGTTGACCAGAGCGGTGAACACATAATCCTCGTCGCTGTCCAATAGAGACACCAGCTCTTTCTCGACCCTCTCCATAGAGGCGGGCTGAAGCAAGTCCAGCTCGTAGATATGCATCCGTTGCTGTTGATCCTCTCCATTCAGCTGTTTCAACAGTCGCGCGCCCTCCGAGCACAGATTGTGGCAGCAGGAGACGACGGTCATATTAAGCGCGTTGTGGCAGTAGACAGCTAGCGAATGGCTACATATTGTGTAAGTAATGGGAATGAAGCTAATCCAAATGCTGAAACTCAGCTCCATCTTACCCCAGACCAGAATCGCAGCCTGTGATGACGATCACATTTCGGGAACAGACCGGAAGGGAACGGCGACACAAGCCCAGCGATCGGCAAATAGCGCTAAGGAGGGGACTACTGGCCATGACGGTGGCTGTTTTTTAACTCACGACCATCCGCAGTTCATATAAAACAAAGGCACGAAAAATGCAAAACGATCTTCCCGAAATTTAAATGTACACATGTGTACATACATACATACATACATACATATGTAATTCATTCGTATGTATGGATGTAGGCATGTGTTATCTTTTTATATGCGCACGTCTGGATGTGCGTGTGTGTGTGTGAGTGTCTTTTTGGTTTAAATGAGCGCCTTCAAGCGCTACCTGCGTTAGGCTGGTGCCAAAAAATGCTACAACTGCGAACGGAATCCGAAACGTAGAGTTCGTTTACATAAAGAAACAAGTTTCATAAACTTCTGTTTCAAAGAAGTTGCACGATTTTTGTGAAATGTGGCTTCTCAAATAATGTAAATAGTTAAAAAGATGTAAGATCAATGAAAATTAAATTTTTGTGAACATTTCTACCAAATAAGCATGCAATATTTGATCTAAAAATACAATGTAGTACTACATCTGAGTTTCCCTTTTGTTATTTCAATTCATTGCTCGAACCCATCTGAAAATTGTTGTTGCGGTGCATATATTTTTAATCCAAGTAAATAGTAATAATTGATAATATTTTCTGATAAATAATGAACACTCGTCTTCGGTTTTTCTGCATGTATTTATTTTATTTCTCAATTTTGGTGTCTGCCTTATAAAGTTATTTTTGCAAAGATTGGTTATGAGTTTCTGAGTTTTTAGATAGTTTTAAATTTTGCAAGAAAATGGAGCGAATTTACACAATAAATTGTTTCGATATTAAAATTGTTTGCCTGATCGGATTTCGTTTGTAGTAAATATTTTTGTAGTTCTTTAGAATTTTGCTATCGCACATGCTCTTAGTTATAACTAATAATTGCTTTGCTTTTGTCATTTATACTTTTTATAAATCGTACTTGAAAATATAAAATCTTTTTACATACAACAAGGCGCTTCTGCGTTTAGTAAAAATATACATATTGTGGTTGTTTCCTACAGCGGCTTAAATGTACAAATTTCGTTTGCTCATTTGTTGTATTTAAATATAAAACGTGCATGCTTTCCATTTTAAATATATAAATTGTTGTTTTCGATTTCACAATTCTCTTTTTCAAGGCATTTAGTAGTAGTGTTTGTGGCTTTTGCATATACATTACATATATATATATATATATGTATGTATGTATATAATTAATTTTTGAATATTTTGTAATTTGTTGAAATGTACAATTTAAAAACCGGCTTAGATCCGCTCATTACACTCTTGGGTAATTTGTATTTGCTTGTTTTTTGTTATTTATGTTTATTTTTAAAATTTTTTTTATAATAAATATCACAACGCATCCTTTATTCTCTTTCTTTCATTCAGTTCAACTCTCGCTTGCTCACTTAGTTTAAAAATAGTGTTCTGCTTGAATTCAAGATGTAAATGTTAGGCATATATTTTTAAAAAATATATATAACGCAAATGTAAGGTTTGAAAATTGCACAAAAATACAAATACAGATACAAATCTGTTTATGTAGTATACATATACATAGATAATAGAAAAGATAAATTAAATCATAAACGTAATAAACATAATAATACAAAAGCATTAATTTTTAAAATGGCAGGCAACAGTGAAATGCAGAAGGCGCAATCACATCCTTCGGCATCTTTCAGAAACAAGCCAAAGGATGGGATAGATTGCTCCTTCTGCCGCCTGCCCAGAGGTTACAAATACAAAATATTCGTTACAAACATGAAATTATCGCGCACTTCGTGTTACAATTACAATTACATATAATGAATTTATAATCATTTTAGCGTTCGCATAGTAAGTGTAATGTAAATTTAATAATTACGCATATTGTATAAAACTTAATATAATATTGACTGTGTTATTTGCGCTGAGCGCATCCCACGCGTCCTACGGTTATAAGCTAACCAACTTGGACGACTCAGTTGTGGGCGTGGGCAGCTCCAGCGGATGCTTGTTCTGCGACGAGCAATTAGGCACCAACGGTCCCGACACGGGCGTCAAGCCAGTGCCCCCATCCATTAACGAGTCGAAATTGAAGGTGCCTGTGGACGGTGTTTGTATGGGCACGCCCTGTATTTGTGTTGGCGGCGCTTTGCCGTCCACGTTTAGGTGCATTTGAGAGCCGAATGGTCGCTGCACGGGCAAGGTGTTGGGACGCGTTTTGGGCACCTTGTTGAGTGCGTTGAGTGTGGGACTGGTAATGCTGCTGGGAAAATTGGCGAAATTTACGGGAGCCGTGGTCACAATAAGCGTATTCAGTGAGCCCGAAGGCCCGCCTGTGGGCGTACGAATCGCTGCGGTTAGGGTGGAAATGTTGGGCAGCGGCTGAGCGGCAAATCGCTTCGGCAATGACGGTCCATCCTGATCTAGGGAAGAGTTGGAATCCAGTGCACAATCCAGTGGCTCCGGCTTAATGTGCTGCAACAACTGATCATTGAAGATCACGGGCTTGAGATCGAGCGGCGAATTGCTGCGACCAGTGGAGTTAAGCGTGGCATCGAGGCCTGTGATGGTGCCATTGCTGCTGTCATTGCTATTGTTGTTGTGATGGCTGCTGCTGTTGCTGCAGCTACCAGCGCTGAGCTGAGCCGCCGGTCTAATAAGGCCATTGGACGTGGCAACAGTGAGCATATCCTCGGTTATTTTCTGACAAGTCGTCCGATGTGCCTGGAGTACAAATTCTAGCTGATTTTTAGTGGCATTCAGCATTTCGATTTCCTTGCGCATGGTCTCGCCCTTTTTCTGCAGGGCTTCGACCTCCTCGGTCAGCTCGTTAGTCTGATCGACGCGTCGCTTACGACAACGTGCCGCCGCGAGTTTGTTGCGCTCTCGGCGCACTCGGCGTTTCTCCTCCTCCTCGGGCGACATGTTGGCGGCACGAGTGGGGCGTCTTCCGCCACCGCGACGTGGGGCAGGCGTGGCACTATTTGAGGTATTCGTGTTGCTGTTGCTGTTCGTCTGGGCCGACATGCGTCCAGAGCTATCGTTGGCCGCCAATGCGGCCGTAAAGTTGTTAATGCAACCGTTTGAGTTGCCCAGGATGTTGCCATTCTGATAGCCGGTGCTATCGGTGGCGGCACTTGCTGCAAAAAATCAGACTTTGAGTAAGGGATTTTAAGCGAAGCGTGTGATAATACTTACAAGTATCTGTTGTGCTTTGGTCGTCATTAAATTGGCCCCCGTAGGAACCATTCGAGTCCTCAGAGTCGCTGCCGGCCATGCTGCCGTTGTATCTCTGCAAATTGACCAATTCTAAGGACTGGCCAATGGAGTTGTTATTATTGTTCATTCCAGTCGCCATGTTTGCCATGTTGTTGTTTGCCACATTTCCCAAAGGACCCAAAGGCGGAGGCTTGAAGCCGGCCTGGTACGGCGAGTTAACCGTTTCATTGGTTATCTCGAGAAACGTCTCTTCGATGCTGCGCAACGTCGTGGGTGTCAGTGTAGGTGTCGTCAGCGTGGGCACACTCTGAATTGTAGTTCCCATGTCCCCAAAAGTGGTGAGCTGTAAAACAAAATATTTCAAAGATCAACTCTAGTATACATTTTTGTTTATTTCATTTACACCTATTGATAAAAGTGATTTATGTTGTTTCACAATTAGGATAAATTGAAGCTCTTATTTGTTGCTTCCAAACTATATATCTTATGTACTATACATACATACATACATATGTATGTACACAAAAGTTATTTCACAATTAATTTTGCCTACTTTTGGAGTGTTGGTAGAGATAAGTGCACTTGTAATTTAAGCGCGCTCGATTACATGCTCGTTATTTATCGATAGCTATCGATAGCATCCTACCTGCTGCATAAAAAGCTCTGAAGCAAGAAATTGTGCTATTTCACTGGCATCCATACTAAATTTATCGTTGCTTGTGTTTGTTGTAGTGCTCGGCGCAGATGTATCTGCTTGTTGTTGTTGGGGGTAATTATTTTGCGCATTACAGTTATTGTTATATTCTAGTAACTGTTGCTGCTGCTGCTGTTGTTGTTGTGGTTGGCTCAGAAAAGTGTGCATTTGGCACATGGCAGCCATGGCTGTTGCCGTGTTGGCGTCAACAGTATTGGGCGTGTTCGTGTGGGCGTTAACATTAACGCAGTTAACATTATTGCTGCGAGCTGCAAAGCAGTTGGCGACACTGTTGTTATTGTTGTTGCCGTATGATTGGCTTAACTGAAGTTGCGATAGTTGTTGTTGCTGGTATGCTGCGTGCGTGGGCTGCTGCTGACGCAGCAGTTGCTGATTGTTGTAATGATTATGCGTTACTAATTGTCGCTGTTGTTGTTGTTGCAATTGACTGTACGGTTGTGTATAGGACGGGAGCAGTGGTAGCTGCAATTGTTGTTGTGGCCTATGCTGCTGTTGCTGTTGCAGCTGCAATGCTGTCGCTTGTTGTTGTTGTTGTTGGTATGGATGATAACACGCATTATGCGTTTTATAATTGAGATTTTTCATCATTTGCGCTTTGTCTGATCTAACTTATAGCTAACTTAATAATTAAATATTATTATGTATACGCAATACCGTTACGTATACGCACAGTTGGGCGGCCGATACTATATGACTAGCTTTTAAATTCGATTTGGTTCTTTAAAGCCTACTCTAGCCTAAATAATAAATCAACAAGACACAACAATAATAATAATAAATTATGACAACATAAATAATTTAAAATAGAATTGTGAAACTCAAATATTTACAGCGAACTTTTCTTAGAAAAGTTGCAAGTTTTTGTAATTTTCTAAACGAAATTCTCTAAAATGAGTGTCTTTGTTCTTGTTGTTGTTGCTGATGTGGTGCCGCTTTTGTTGATTGCGGCGCCAAATTTCGTTCGTTTGGTCTTTATATCCCAATTGATTAAATGTTGGTTAAAGTTCGTTTCGCGTGGAGCTAACAGCGTTCGTTTTTTGGGGTTTCCTTGGTTTTAGGTTTTGAATTGGCGTTTCAGCTCAATTTTTGTCGCTTGTTTCCGGCGGCTTTAAGCGTTTCACGCTCAACAATTGTTGAGGCATTAAACTGGGCGCCCCAATAGTTAGGATTGTGCGCAGCTCTGCCAAAGTCAACATAATAGTAATAATAGTAGCTTTAAGGTGGAAACCCTTCAACAATATTTTCCTTTTTGGGTGGCTGTGCAATTATGGCAACAATTTATGGCAACACTTGCTTATAGAATTATATAATAAATTTTCAACTGGCACTGCCTTGCGCTGGTTTCGTGAGCTTTTTAACACACGCCAGCAACATTAATTACAATGCGCCTATTTTTTGTATGTTTAATTAAATTTTATATTCCTAATTTGCAGCGTCGTTTTCATGTGCTACGCCTCTAGATTTGTTTCGCTTTGGCCAACAATACGCCTTTGGTTATAAATGTGGATGTACATATGTATGTATATATTCACATGTATACATATGTATACTCGTATATGTGATTGGATTTAAATTCTCGCTGCCTGCGCTTTTCTCAAAAACCACCGTGGCATGCACAAAAATGTTCGTTGATGTTTTCGTTATTTTTTATTTTATATTTCATTTATATTTCAATTCGTTGGCAATGCACGCGCGCTAAAATGTAGAGAATAAACTAAAGCACTGCAATTCGTTTTGGGATTTTCGAAATTTATTTTCGTTTTCGATATTGACGAGAGCGTGCGCGCGCGATCGCACTTGGTTGGGTTTTTATAGACTTCGGTGGTTCGTTGTTCGTTTGCGACTGATTGACGGAGCAAAATTTGCAAAGGTCTGTGGCCACACATGGGATATACTCGTACACTCTCATATCTACTATGTGTATGTACATATCTGCATATATATGTATATACATACGTGTGTGTCTTGCTCAATTTAGAAAATGTAGTAGTAGTAGCAACAATACCAACAACACATTTAGAATAAACTAAGAATTTTCAAATAAATTTAAATGTTGGCGCTGCTCTTAATTGAGCAGCAGCCTTATTCTCAGTCCCAAAGCTTCGGTCGCACTCACAGTCAACCCACACGAGACATAAAGATTACAAAGACAACAAGAAAAACAACAACTATGCCTGCAGCCCACGCTTGAGTAGTCTGCCAAGAGCACACAACTTCTTGCTATAACATTTTATGGCTAAAGAGCGCTGCAAAATTCATGCGAATTTCGCTAGCAGTTTATATACAAATAGTACAGATATCTAGACGTAAATACATATGTATATATGTAGAGAGATAGTCAGATAGATAGATAGCTACTAGGTACGTAATGCGAATTGTTTTAATTTGAAACAATCGATTGGAAGTCTTTCTCGACGATACGTTTATTTGGCTCTTCGTTTGCCATAAATTATGCACAAAGCTATATACCGTTTAGTGCGTGTTTCAGCTGTCTGTAGATCGCATTTGTCAAAACTTATAGCTCATATATACGTTTTTATACTAGTATTTATAGCGGCCACATCGTCTGTCACATCAAACAAAAGGCAACACAAGACAGATGCGTGTCGTGAACATTTTGACAACAGGTGTGGAACGCGCTGCAGAACAATTGGCCAAATGTACGAGTATGTACACTAATAATAAATAGCCAACATAGTTCTTTCAATGCTGCATCCATCGCCAATTAGTCAGTGAATTCTGTTTATGTCTATACCTCTGTACTATATACATAATTAGGCAGGTGAATAATTCTTGAAGGGTATAAGGGTATATTGGTTTTAGTTTGCTATTTGTAACAGACAGTATCTTTCCGAATTCTGATTTCTAGTAGTTTAACCTTCTGCCCCAGCCAAGTAGAATCAGTTAGGCATAGCTGCCTACCATAGAAATAAACTTCATCTTAAACACAAAGCCTGCAATTTTATATTTTATGACGTACATCGTTTGTATGTTTTCGGTAAATTTATGATTTAGTCTGTTTTTCAACAACATTTTGCGACATATCCTTTCCTGCCTATCTACCAATCCATTACACACCCTTTTCACTTTTCTGTTTGCTCTGGCACATTTATCTTTGCACTGCACAAAACAATAAAATTTATTCTTTATGAACAAAATGACGAGCTTTGTGCTTTTCACTTAACCGCAAGTACCTACATTGTTGTTGTTGTTGTTGTTATTGGTGCTGCTGTTGTTATTGTTTACCTAAATGTTTAAACAACTTTGGAGCGGCTTTGCTTTCATATTTGTAGCCCACTTTCAAAGTTATTTGTTTAATTTTCGAATTGACAAGCACAAAAAACCGCGATGTTTGCTATAAATATGTATGTATGTGCGGACGTAAATATGTATACACACATATATACATACATACATAATATGTACGTACTATTTGTGTTTGCGTGTATTTCAGTCGAGGATTGCGAGCACATTACGTTTATTTAATAAACGCGTTATTTGTGCTGTGCACTGAACTGATGAATCAGTCAATTTAGAAAAATTAAAAACAAATAAGAATACTCATAAGCGCAGTCGCTAGCTTAACTCATACATACACACTCGGTATATATGTAGTATGTATGTACATATGTTCATATGCAAGTTAATAAATAATTGTCTAAATTGAAAGAAGCTCGCCTCAGTGGCCACGAGCTGTCCAGTTCCTCTTATCAGAGCCGGCAAGTTCAGCTTTCGGGGTCAATTAAGCCGCGCCGTTTGCGCACAAAACTGACGTCGACAAGTTATAATTGTTGCTTTTGGTGTTGTTGTTCTTTTTTTTTTCTATTGAGGACATATTTATAGAATGCAAATAAAAGTAGGAGCTAACCGAGCGGTTGACTAAGCGCGTCTATAACAAAATTATGATTGTGATTAGAGAATTAAGTCGGGCGATAAGCAAAGTCTAGGGCAAGAATTGTGTGGCATACAAACAAGCACACACACTTTTAAATATTGCGGCCCATTTGTTTTGGCAACCACTTGGAAGAGCACAACTAGTAGAATAATAAGAGCAACAAAAATATCCACAAGCAATACAAAATACATACACATACATATGTATGTATGTACATAGGTGGTAAGATGGCAAAAAAAAAGCGCAAGCTGCGGACTGCGCTGCTTGTCGCTGACGTGTTTGGCTATTTTTAAAAGCGTTTTAGCCTGGCCATGACGCAATAAAAAGCAAAACAACAACAATCGAATCATTTACTAAATGGCAAGCAAGACAAAATGGCAGCAGCAAAACAGAGACTGACATGAGACCATTGTTTATATCAAACACAAACACAATTAATAATTATGAGACTTAACAGCGCACTGTTATCTAACAGTAATGTTATGTTAGCACAACATACACTGTACACTAAGTATATGTATGAGTATATAAATAGTTTTGATTCGATTTTTAAGCATAATATAAATTAATTTAATAAAAAAATAGTAAAAGTAATAATAAATTGGTAAATCACTTTAAAATTAATATAAAGAAATTCTAATAGCAAAAAATGTGTTACTACATCTTCATTTGGCCGTTAGCGACATCGAAGCACAGACGTTATAAAAACAGTATAATAGAGTAGATATCGAAAGCTGAGCGCACATTGTTTTGTTTTAATCACAGCATTTAACTTGCTATTGTGTATGTATTTATTTGAAAAGCAATTGCATAAATTACAGCTAAATGCACATACGACTCGTGCACACATTTGAGTATATGTGGTGTATAAATGCTTGGTAGAAGGTTACCTTAGCCGCTTGCAAAAACAAAGGCGGCTTATTAGTTTTTGTGTTTAAAGCGCTTCGTTAGAAATGCGCATAATTTCAAATCAAATGTAATTTTTTTCTAATTGGCAAAGAGTTGAACAAAAAAAGATTTTAAAATAAAAATGGCACACAGCCTTGCTGTTGATTCGTTGATATTCGCGCTGTTCAAGTCAATGTTGCCGCAATGTCAGTTGAAACAGAGTTGACAAGTTCAAGTGCAGGCTGTAGAATTGCAAAAAGGCCATTGTGGATGTTGTTACTAGGCCTCTACATTCGACTAGCGCTCTTCCCTTTAAGATGAACCCACCATCTACATAATCGTATGTGTTTACATATACATACATACAAATGTATAAGTATGTACATACGTATGCATGTAGTCTTGCTTGTCATATTTTATTTGGCTGCGTTTTCGCATGCAAATTCGCAGAAATAAAACAATTAATGAAAAGCAAAAACTGATTTGTTGTTGTCTGCTCTTTTCTGTAGAAATAAATAACGACGTGACTGCAATGGCGAATTTCACTGAATGCCTTGCTGATAAAGAGGCAACCCCATGCCCATACCAGGCAGAATTGTCCCAGTGCCGGTCCCTGCACCGGTCCCAGTACCCCTGACGGTTCCAGGCAGTGCCAAGAATTTTGAGTGGCTGCGTGTGGAAGTCAACGACTCCGTCGACGATGATGATGACGACGACCACATCGCCGTTTTTAGGTACGCCACAAAACAAAAAAAACTCACGGCACAGAGCCACCAGCCGCTTGACCAAAGCTCCGACAACGGGCTGGGCGCTTAGAGTAAATAAATATATATTATATATTTATGTATGTAATACAGTAGAAATCGTTTAAGCGAAACATCGGATGTGTTTGCCAAAGTCACACAATTGCGATCTATTGTTTATATTTGACTCACTGGACAGCCTGAAAGTAGGCTAGACAGGGTAACGAATAATGAACACTATATCGATTTCATTTAATATGTAGTGCTTATATTACAAGTTGTAATAAAGGAACCTATTTCATAATGCAAGTTGAAGAATATTACAACAATAAAGTTTCTTAATAGGAGAAGCTGAAAATCTACGACTGGCTAATTAATATAAACAGAATTCGGCAAATATCTAACCCACAGTTTGATGAGTGTTTTTAAAAATCAGAAATTTCAAAAATAATTTATTAAGTTAGCAAGAACTTTGCTGAAAGTGGAGTTGCTCTCGGCAGCTTTTACTGTCTAGACATACAGATTTATGTTCATGTATGTCTGTTTGTATGCTATAATTCTGTTTATATGCATAATCATACATATACACATATAGTATATCGTGAGTTCGCTTGCCTGCTTAGCTTTTATCCATTTTTGGCGCTCAACGTCGCAACGCCCACAACGTCGCTTTTAATGATATTAAAAATACACACACACACACACGTACAATACTTATATGTATACATACATATGTATGCGTCCATATATACATACATTTGTATTTTTATTTTGGCAATTGAATTAAACTTTTAACTGCTGTCAATGCGACCATAACTCAAATTTTGAGAGCATCTTCGCCAGAGTGCAGCTGCAGAACCAACACCCCAAAAACTGCCATTGGACATGGCAAGCGTATAAATTTTAAGCCAATTTCGCACCACTCCGAACAAGCGCTTTGAGTTGGACTGCGTTGCCAATTCCCGCCTCATCCTCGGCCAGCGATCGGGGCAACGTTCACGGCCTTAAGGCTTAAGTGTCATATTAATCAGGCTTGGAGCGCGCTCATATGCCATGGACAGGGCGTGACGACACAGTTGACAAATTTGCATGCGCAGTTTTGTGTGGTGGTCGTTGTTGTTGTTGTTTTTTGTTTAAATATGCATGTATATCGCATATTTATGTCGTGGCGTAACAAAATAACAGCAGCAGTAGCGACAAAGTGTTTTCTTTGCTTAAAGCGGTGCATTGAACCCTTCAGGTACATCAAATTCTAAAAAGCAATCGAGCTTTGTCTATAATAAGCTTGCAAGCTACATGTGTAGTGCC